GTTAAGTGGGTGAGTGGTCAAGTGGGTGAGTGGTCAAGTGGGTGAGTGGTAAAGTGGGTGAGTGGTCAAGTGGGTAGGTGGTCAAGTGGGTGAGTGTTCAAGTGGGTGAGTTGTCAAGTGGGTGAGTGGTTAAGTGGGTAAGTGGTCAAGTGTTCAAGTGGGCGAGTGGTTAAGTGGGTGAGTGGTCAAGTGGGTGAGTGGTCAAGTGGGTGAGTGGACAAGTGGGTGAGTGGTCAAGTGGGTGAGTGGTCAAGTGGGTGAGTGGTCAAGTGGGTGAGTGGTCAAGTGAGTGAGTGGTCAAGTGGGTGAGTGGTTAAGTGGGTGAGTGGTCAAGTGGGTGAGTGGGCAAGTGGTCAAGAGGGTGAGTGGTTAAGTGGGTGAGTGGTCAAGTGGGTGAGTGGTAAAGTGGGTGAGTGGTCAAGTGGGTGAGTGGTCAAGTGGGTGAGTGGTCAAGTGGGTGAGTGGTCAAGTGGGTGAGTGGTTAAGTGGGTGAGTGGTCAAGTGGGTGAGTGGTCAAGTGGGTGAGTGGTCAAGTGGGTAGGTGGTTAAGTGGGTGAGTGGTCAAGTGGGTGAGTTGTCAAGTGGGTGAGTGGTTAAGTGGGTAAGTGGTCAAGTGTTCAAGTGGGCGAGTGGTTAAGTGGGTGAGTGGTCATGTAGGTGAGTGGGTGAGTGGTCAAGTGGGTGAGTGGTTAAGTGGGTGAGTGGTCAAGAGGGTGAGTGGTCAAGTGGGTGAGTGGTCAAGTGGGTGAGTGGTCAAGTGGGTGAGTGATTAAGTGGGTGAGTGGTTAAGTGGGTGAGTGGTTAAGTGGGTGAGTGGTTAAGTGGGTGAGTGGTCAAGTGGTCAAGTGGGTGAGTGGTCAAGTGGGTGAGTGGTCAAATGGGTGAGTGGTTAAGTGGGTGAGTGGTCAAGTGGGTGAGTGGTCAAGTGGGTGAGTGGTCAAGAGGGTGAGTGGTCAAGTGGGTGAGTGGGTGAGTGGTCAAGTGGGTAGGTGGTCAAGTGGGTGAGTGGTCAAGTGGGTGAGTTGTCAAGTGGGTGAGTGGTTAAGTGGGTAAGTGGTCAAGTGGGTGAGTTGTCAAGTGGGTGAGTGGTTAAGTGGGTGAGTGGTCAAGTGGGTGAGTGGTCAAGTGGGTGAGTGGTCAAGTGGGTAGGTGGTTAAGTGGGTGAGTGGTCAAGTGGGTGAGTTGTCAAGTGGGTGAGTGGTTAAGTGGGTAAGTGGTCAAGTGTTCAAGTGGGCGAGTGGTTAAGTGGGTGAGTGGTCATGTAGGTGAGTGGGTGAGTGGTCAAGTGGGTGAGTGGTTAAGTGGGTGAGTGGTCAAGAGGGTGAGTGGTCAAGTGGGTGAGTGGTCAAGTGGGTGAGTGGTCAAGTGGGTGAGTGATTAAGTGGGTGAGTGGTTAAGTGGGTGAGTGGTTAAGTGGGTGAGTGGTTAAGTGGGTGAGTGGTCAAGTGGTCAAGTGGGTGAGTGGTCAAGTGGGTGAGTGGTCAAATGGGTGAGTGGTTAAGTGGGTGAGTGGTCAAGTGGGTGAGTGGTCAAGTGGGTGAGTGGTCAAGAGGGTGAGTGGTCAAGTGGGTGAGTGGTCAAGTGGGTAGGTGGTCAAGTGGGTGAGTGGTCAAGTGGGTGAGTTGTCAAGTGGGTGAGTGGTTAAGTGGGTAAGTGGTCAAGTGGGTGAATGGTCAAGTGGGTGAGTGGTTAATTGGGTGAGTGGTTAAGTGGGTGAGTGGTCAAGTGGGTGAGTGGTCAAGTGGGTGAGTGGTAAAGTGGGTGAGTGGTTAAGTGGGGAAGTGGTCAAGTGGTCAAGTGTTCAAGTGGGCGAGTGGGTGAGTGGTCAAGTGGGTGAGTGGTCAAGTGGGTGAGTGGTCAAGTTGGTGAGTGGTAAAGTGGGTGAGTGGTCAAGTGGGTGAGTGGACAAGTGGGTGAGTGGTCAAGTGGGTGAGTGGTCAAGTGGGTGAGTGGTCAAGTGGGTGAGTGGTCAAGTGAGTGAGTGGTCAAGTGGGTGAGTGGTTAAGTGGGTGAGTGGTCAAGTGGGTGAGTGGGCAAGTGGTCAAGAGGGTGAGTGGTTAAGTGGGTGAGTGGTCAAGTGGGTGAGTGGTAAAGTGGGTGAGTGGTCAAGTGGGTGAGTGGTCAAGTGGGTGAGTGGTTAAGTGGGTGAGTGGTCAAGTGGGTGAGTGGTCAAGTGGGTGAGTGGTCAAGTGGGTGAGTGGTCAAGTGGGTGAGTGGTTAAGTGGGTGAGTGGTCAAGTGGGTGAGTGGTCAAGTGGGTGAGTGGTCAAGTGGGTAGGTGGTTAAGTGGGTGAGTGGTCAAGTGGGTGAGTTGTCAAGTGGGTGAGTGGTTAAGTGGGTAAGTGGTCAAGTGTTCAAGTGGGCGAGTGGTTAAGTGGGTGAGTGGTCATGTAGGTGAGTGGGTGAGTGGTCAAGTGGGTGAGTGGTTAAGTGGGTGAGTGGTCAAGAGGGTGAGTGGTCAAGTGGGTGAGTGGTCAAGTGGGTGAGTGGTCAAGTGGGTGAGTGATTAAGTGGGTGAGTGGTTAAGTGGGTGAGTGGTTAAGTGGTTAAGTGGGTGAGTGGTTAAGTGGGTGAGTGGTCAAGTGGTCAAGTGGGTGAGTGGTCAAGTGGGTGAGTGGTCAAATGGGTGAGTGGTTAAGTGGGTTAGTGGTCAAGTGGGTGAGTGGTCAAGTGGGTGAGTGGTCAAGAGGGTGAGTGGTCAAGTGGGTGAGTGGGTGAGTGGTCAAGTGGGTAGGTGGTCAAGTGGGTGAGTGGTCAAGTGGGTGAGTTGTCAAGTGGGTGAGTGGTTAAGTGGGTAAGTGGTCAAGTGGGTGAGTTGTCAAGTGGGTGAGTGATTAAGTGGGTGAGTGGTCAAGTGGGTGAGTGGTCAAGTGGGTGAGTGGTCAAGTGGGTAGGTGGTTAAGTGGGTGAGTGGTCAAGTGGGTGAGTTGTCAAGTGGGTGAGTGGTTAAGTGGGTAAGTGGTCAAGTGTTCAAGTGGGCGAGTGGTTAAGTGGGTGAGTGGTCATGTAGGTGAGTGGGTGAGTGGTCAAGTGGGTGAGTGGTTAAGTGGGTGAGTGGTCAAGAGGGTGAGTGGTCAAGTGGGTGAGTGGTCAAGTGGGTGAGTGGTCAAGTGGGTGAGCGATTAAGTGGGTGAGTGGTTAAGTGGGTGAGTGGTTAAGTGGGTGAGTGGTTAAGTGGGTGAGTGGTCAAGTGGTCAAGTGGGTGAGTGGTCAAGTAGGTGAGTGGTCAAATGGGTGAGTGGTTAAGTGGGTGAGTGGTCAAGTGGGTGAGTGGTCAAGTGGGTGAGTGGTCAAGAGGGTGAGTGGTCAAGTGGGTGAGTGGGTGAGTGGTCAAGTGGGTAGGTGGTCAAGTGGGTGAGTGGTCAAGTGGGTGAGTTGTCAAGTGTGTGAGTGGTTAAGTGGGTAAGTGGTCAAGTGGGTGAATGGTCAAGTGGGTGAGTGGTTAATTGGGTGAGTGGTTAAGTGGGTGAGTGGTCAAGTGGGTGAGTGGTCAAGTGGGTGAGTGGTAAAGTGGGTGAGTGGTTAAGTGGGGAAGTGGTCAAGTGGTCAAGTGTTCAAGTGGGCGAGTGGGTGAGTGGTCAAGTGGGTGAGTGGTCAAGTGGGTGAGTGGTCAAGTGGGTGAGTGGTCAAGAGGGTGAGTGGTCAAGTGGGTGAGTGGTCAAATGGGTGAGTGGTAAAGTGGGTGAGTGGTCAAGTGGGTGAGTGGTCAAGTGGGTGAGTGGTCAAGTGGGTGAGTGGTCAAGTGGGTGAGTGGTCAAGTGGATGAGTGGTCAAGTGGGTGAGTGGTCAAGTGGGTGAGTGGTCAAGTGGGTGGGTGGTCAAGAGGGTGAGTGTTCAAATGGGTGAGTGGTCAAGAGGGTGAGTGGTCAAGTGGGTGAGTGGTCAAATGGGTGAGTGGTCAAGAGGGTGAGTGGTCAAGTGGGTGAGTGGTCAAGTGGGTGAGTGGTCAAGTGGTAAAGTTGGTGAGTGGTAAAGTGGTAAATTGGGTGAGTGGTCAAGTGTGTGAGTGGTCAAGTGAGTGAGCGGTCAAGTGTGTGAGTGGTCAAGTGGGTGAGTGGTCAAGTGGGTGAGTGGTCAAGTGGGTGAGTGGTCAAGTGGGTGAGTGGTCAAGTGGGTGAGTGGTCAAGTGGGTGAGTGGTCAAGTGGGTGAGTGGTCAAGTGGGTAGGTGGTCAAGTGGGTGAGTGGTCAAGAGGGTGGGTGGTCAAGAGGGTGAGTGTTCAAATGGGTGAGTGGTCAAGAGGGTGAGTGGTCAAGTGGGTGAGTGGTCAAATGGGTGAGTGGTCAAGAGGGTGAGTGGTCAAGTGGGTGAGTGGTCAAGTGGGTGAGTGGTCAAGTGGTAAAGTTGGTGAGTGGTAAAGTGGTAAAGTGGGTGAGTGGTCAAGTGTGTGAGTGGTCAAGTGTGTGGGTGGTCAAGTGTGTGAGTGGGCAAGTGGGTGAGTGGTCAAGTGTGTGAGTGGGCAAGTGGTCAAGTGGGTGAAATGTTAAGTGTGTGAGTGGTCAAGTGGGTGAGTGGTCAAGTGGTAAAGTTTGTGAGTGGTAAAGTGGTAAAGTGGGTGAGTGGTCAAGTGTGTGAGTGGTCAAGTGTGTGGGTGGTCAAGTGTGTGAGTGGGCAAGTGGGTGAGTGGTCAAGTGTGTGAGTGGGCAAGTGGTCAAGTGGGTGAAATGTTAAGTGTGTGAGTGGTCAAGTGGGTGAGTGGTCAAGTGGGTGAGTGGGTGAGTGGTCAAGTGTGTGAGTGGGCAAGTGGTCAAGTGGGTGAAATGTTAAGTGTGTGAGTGGTCAAGTGGGTGAGTGGTCAAGTGGGTGAGTGGGTGAGCGGTCAGGTGGTTGAGTGGGTGAGTTGTAGATCGCTTTTACTGCTAACTGGTCATCGTGTGCCTGAAAGAGGACCCTGGGTCCAACTTTACCTGACTCACATTAAGGAACGCAATGGCGGCTGGACTTATAACATGCTCCACCGTGAAAAAAACACCACATACAAAGATTTTATTTTTTTCATGTTTATTTGACAGAACACATCTCACATCGGAGAAATTTACATTACAGAAACACCGCAGTTTTAAACTGAAGTTAAACACAAATGAGATTTTTTTTTATTGTTTTGCTACAAAAATTTTCGGCCGACTGTTTATGATTTTTCCCTCCAATTATCAAATAGAAATGCGTTTAAACTTAATCCTTGACAACGATTTTGTTATAAATTCAAAACATTTTTACTTGACCTCTAATTCAAAAGTATAAACTTTATAGCTTTGTATATAATATTAACTTTATATATTTAGCATTTCCCAATGTTTAATAGAATACTTTCATATACAAATAATTCAATTATTTTAAACACTATGCAGGTTTTATATTTAAAAATATTTTTTTAATCTAAAAAATTCAATCAAGCGAGGATTAACTATTACATAGAAACAACAGCATCCAAAGATGAGCCTATTTGCACGCTCCGTTCTTCATGTTAGTGAATTCTTTCTCTGTGCAATCCTTCTCCAACAAACAGCTATGGATCGGGTCCCCTATATTGGATATAGCGTCGCAGTATTTTTCGCTGCGAATATTTCTTCGTTCGTTGTCCATTTTGTTCATGCAGTCATCAAACCCGGCTCGACAATTTTTCGATGTTGCTAGGATTGCTTTAGGAAACGACGCGGATGGCTTTGTCTTGCAAGCGGTTTCGTTCAGACTTTTCAAATCTTTACAAGAGTTGTCTAGACATTCAGAAGTCTGGGCCAGTAGTTCACAGAACATTTCCTGCTGTTTTAGAACTGTGGCGAGACTCGAGTCAAAAACACAAGTAACGACTTTACTCTGACATGGTTTGGTCGCCGACTTTAAAGTTGTATACACGGCTGCTTTGTGAGTGCTGGTCTTTTTCTCAACTGAAGCCTTTGTACCACAAGCATCGTTTTTTAGCGATGTAAATTCTTCATCCGTGCAGAGTCCGATTTGTACCATGCACTGATAGCAACTGACGCCGTGATAAGATTCCCCAGCCAACATACACCAGACGCTATCAGCGGTGGGGACGGACACTCCGGCCAGGTTGAGGCACTGGTCGATCGTGGCCAGGCACCCGTGGGAGACTTTAGCTTTGGCCGCATTAAAGTCTGCTGACGTAAGCCCCAGACAAGAGAAGATCACACAGACAGCACACAACACTTGGTAGATGTTCATCATCTAGGGAGAAACCTCAAAACGTCAGCACAGTCATGTTAACATACACAATGTTGGCACAATCATAGTTTAACATACACAATGTCAGCACAATCATATGTTAACATACACAATGTTGGCACAATCATAGTTTAACATACACAATGTCAGCACAATTATATTTTAACATACACAATGTCACCACAATCATATTTTAACATACACAATGTCAGCACAATCATATGTTAACCTACACAATTTAAAAAGTTGGTACATGGCTTTACAGTGTGCTGGGTCTTACGCACATATTTACAGTATCTAAACCCATATTATAACATGCAAATTAATGATATAACATGTAAATATGGGTTCCATGACAAATGATCTCAGGACAAATGATCTCAGAGAAAATATCTTAGACAAAATATCTCACGGACAAATGATCTCAGGACAAATGATCTCAGGACAAATGATCTCAAGGACAAATGATCTCACGGACAAAAGATACCAGGACAAAATATATCAGGACAAATGATACCATGGACAAATGATCTCAGACAAAATATCTCACAGCGAAATTTTAATAGTATTTACGATGATTTTAGTTGAACTTTTTTTATTGACTGTTAATATGGTTTTGTTTACTTTTTTACGTATAATAATTGTGAATAAAATGAATTAGTGAAACCTAACAAACCATCAAAGGTGTATTAAGCAATTGTAGTAGTATTTGATTTGAAAAAATAAATATTAAAACCAACTTACTATTTTAGCCTGAAAGGTATAATAAATGATAATGTATAAAACAAATAAAGTAACGGTAGCTATACAACATTAATGTTCATAACATGCGAAATATCTTTCAAAAATATGAATGGGTCTTCAGGTTTGTAACGTTAAACTATTGTTTTTATTGCATCATCAACACAAACATAACGTGTAAGTTTCTTTTCTGGTAGGTACATCGTTATGATCACACCTCTCCAAAACTATGTGATCATCTATTGTGTGAACTCTTGCTCGACATGTCCTAATTTCACATTTCCAAATCTCTTTGCCTGCTTATGGCATACATCAATTCACCAGAAACTAATGTCCTAATACCTTTCTGCGAGGTAACGAAAGAGACCATAGCAAAGCAATCACCACTAATACTGCTTTGTTTGATGCACACTATGACATACTTAGCTCCTCGATGACCGCTGTCTTTTAAATAAGCATTTGTCACCTGTTTACTAGGGTGTGACCGACGCATAACAATGGACTTTAGATGCTAGTCGTATAGTCCCTAGGAGGGCGGATGTCTTTCCCTTAAGGCATGTCTCTACCATCAAAGCCACCTTGATACGAAGGTGTGTCCTTATTGTTATTCCATCTTCTTTGATCTAGTTTCGTCCACCTGACTTTGTAGGATTGTCTCACGTTTGTCAAGCACACCTACGCTGTCTTTCGAAATTATTTCTTTAATTTTGGTATACTATATTACTAATACTAACCTTAAAATGTTTAGTGCAATATGACTATTTTATACGGCAACCATTTCTTACAATTATTATATAGGTCTATAAACAATATTAAAAATAGTAAACAAAACCATAAGACTGTCAATAAAAAAAATTCAGATCAATTAAAATCATCCAATACACTATTAAAATTTAGGTGTGAGATATTTTGTCTGAGATATTTTGTCTGAGATCAATTGTCCGTGGTATCATTTGTCTTGATATATTTTGTCCTGGTATCTTTTGTCCGTGAGATCATTTGTCCTTGAGATCATTTGTCCTGAGATCATTTGTCATGGGATCATTTGTCCGTGAGATATTTTGTCTGAGATATTTTGTCTGAGATCATTTGTCTTGAGATCATTTGTCCTGTCACCGTAAATATGTTATATCGTATAAACCTATGTTATAGAGCTCTTGTTTTTATCCACAATTTTGCACAGTTTACTACGAAATGTTTAGTTTGGTTAACACTATGTTTCTTATATCTAACTAGATATACAACTGTTGTTTATTTATCGTTTGTTTTATATTGATGTGGTTGTTGATACTAACTTAGCAAAGAAATGTATAGATGCTACTAGCTAGGACCTTTAAAAATTATTCAGAGAGAGCTCTTCCTCTGGACATAAAGTTGACCGTACCCACTACCCCTGACATAAAGTTGACCGTACCCACTACCCCTGACATAAAGTTGACCATACCCACTACCCCTGACATAAAGTTGACCGTACCTACTACCCCTGACATAAAATTGACAGCACCCACTACCCCTGACATAAAGTTGACCGTACCCACTACCCCCTGACATAAAGTTGACCGTACCCACTACCCCCTGACATAAAGTTGACCGTACCCACCACCCCCTGACATAAAGTTGACCGTACCCACTACCCCTGACATAAAATTGACCGTACCCACTACCCCTGACATAAAGTTGACCGTACCCACTACCCCCTGACATAACGTTGACCGTACCCACTACCCCTGACATAAAGTTGACCGTACACACTACCCCTGACATAAAATTGACCGTACCCACTACCCCCTGACATAAAGTTGACCGTACCCACTACCCCTGACATAAAATTGACCGTACCCACTACCCCCTGACATAAAGTTGACCATACCCACTACCCCTGACATAAAGTTGACCGTACCCACTACCCCCTGACAAAAAGTTGTCCTTACCTTAAACTTTTGGTGAGATATAGAACAGATCTTGTGACAGAGACCAAAAACGTTCAGCGTTTTGTTGTGGGAGAGAATGTTATAAGCTACCCCAGGGGAATTTTATCTTGCCACGTGTTTGATACTCACTAATCCTAGCCCGTGACAGAGGCGTAACTCAGGGGTGAGTTTTGGTTTTGAGGGTGGGGCCCCAGGCGCCGTACAAGTGGCGTCACACATGGGTCAGCAGTTCGTAATGTACCGTGCAAAACTGGGTAAAACGGAGATTGAAAAATTGCCTGGTTGAATGCGAAGTCAGACACTAGACACATTAAAAATGATTACAGAGACGCTAAATGTGCTACGTTAATGATAGCAAAAGATGACACATTCAAAACTCCTAAGCTTTTTCTACTTCCGATGTCATTTTTGTGCCTTTGATTTCTTTACTCAGTTTGTCCCTAGTTTTCTTTAAAGTCAAAATTGACTGGCGAAAACCACACAACACCCACTTTTAGGGGTCGTCCATAAATGACGTCACACTCGTAGGGGTAAGAGGTTGTAATTTTGTGAGGGTGTGTGATGAGGGAGACGGGTGGGGGGGGGGGGGGGTTCAGATGGTGTGAAGTCACACTTTTGAATTATAAAAAAGCAATGTTAGAAAACAAATTTTAAAATGTTCGTTCGCGTTTTAGAAAACTGTTTTAATTGATTAAAATAATCTATGCTGACAGAGTTCAGAAATTTTTTTTAGAAAAAATATCGTATTTTAAGAAAAAATTAAATGCAATTTTGAGGGGGTGGGAGGGTTATAGGCTGATGTGACGTCATTTTAGGGGTGGTCTGGCTTTTTGTAACGATGTTTGACAGAGGGGAGGGTAAAAATCTTTTTTAAATGTGTGACGTCATTTATGGATGACCCCTTAAAAACAAACCTACTCTATTTAATTATTTAGAACTAGTACATATGTTTTGACAAAATGAAACAGACCCATCAATGTTTCCCCACCTCTGCTACAGCTGAATTGACAAGATTCAACTGTCCCATCAATATATTTCCCCACCTCTGCTATAGCTGAACTGACAAGATTCAACTGTCCCATCAATATATTTCCCCACCTCTGCTATAGCTGAACTGACAAGATTCAACTGTCCCATCAATATATTTCCCCACCTCTGCTATAGCTGAACTGACAAGATTCAACTGTCCCATCAATATATTTCCCCACCTCTGCTATAGCTGAACTGACAAGATTCAACTGTCCCATCAATATATTTCCCCACCTCTGCTATAGCTGAACTGACAAGATTCAACTGTCCCATCAATATATTTCCCCACCTCTGCTATAGCTGAACTGACAAGATTCAACTGTCCCATCAATGTTTCACCACCTCTGCTATAGCAGAACTGACAAGATTCAACTGTACCATCAATGTTTCACCACCTCTGCTATAGTTGAACTGACAAGATTCAACTGTCCCATCAATATATTTCCCCACCTCTGCTATAGCTGAACTGACAAGATTCAACTGTCCCATCAATATTTCCCCACCTCTGCTATAGCTGAACTGACAAGATTCAACTGTCCCATCAATATTTCCCCACCTCTGCTATAGCTGAACTGACAAGATTCAACTGTCCCATCAATATATTTCCCCACCACTGCTATAGCTGAACTGACAAGATTCAACTGTCCCATTAAATTTCCCCACCTCTGCTATGGCTGAACTGACAAGTTTCAAATGTCCCATCAATATTTCCCCACCTCTGTTATAGCTGAACTGACAAGATTCAAATGTCCCATCAATATTTCCCCACCTCTGCTATAGCTGAACTGACAAGATTCAACTGTCCCATTAAATTTCCCCACCTCTGCTATAGCTGAACTGACAAGATTCAACTGCCCCATCAATATATTTCCCCACCTCTGCTATAGCTGAAATAACAAGATACAACTGTCCCATCAATGTTTCACCACCTCTGCTATAGCTGAACTGACAAGATTCAACTGTCCCATCAATATATTTCCCCACCACTGCTATAGCTGAACTGACAAGATTCAACTGTCCCATTAAATTTCCCCACCTCTGCTATAGCTGAACTGACAAGATTCAACTGCCCCATCAATATATTTCCCCACCACTGCTATAGCTGAAATAACAAGATACAACTGTCCCATCAATGTTTCACCACCTCTGCTATAGCTGAACTGACAAGATTCAACTGTCCCATCAATATATTTCCCCACCACTGCTATAGCTGAACTGACAAGATTCAACTGTCCCATTAAATTTCCCCACCTCTGCTATAGCTGAACTGACAAGATTCAACTGCCCCATCAATATATTTCCCCACCACTGCTATAGCTGAAATAACAAGATACAACTGTCCCATTAAATTTCCCCACCTCTGCTATAGCTGAACTGACAAGATTCAACTGTCCCATCAATATTTCCCCACCTCTGTTATAGCTGAACTGACAAGATTCAAATGTCCCATCAATATTTCCCCACCTCTGTTATAGCTGAACTGACAAGATTCAAATGTCCCATCAATATTTCCCCACCTCTGCTATAGCTCAACAGCCCAGTTGTGTATAAGGATGATGTTTCTTAGTTAGACTGTGGCGTATAAGGATGATGTGGCTGGTTAGACTATGACGTATAAGGATGATGTTGCTGGTTAGATTATGGCGTATAATGATGATGTTGCTGGTTAGACTATGGCGTATACGGATGATGTGGCTGGTTTGGTGTTGCAACTACCCTAGCCATGCCCCAGTTTTGGAACGGCGTGGTCAGACACTAGTGCGATAGACTGCTTGCACGATAGAATCGAGTTTGGATCTCAGTCTCGGGTTCGGCGACTCCTTTTCCCCTGCTCTGACGGTCATCTACGACCGTTAAGGAAAGAGAACTCGGTATAGTACTGACCACATTTGCAGTGGTCACAGAAATAGATCAACTCTACTCCATCTGCCATATATATCGCTAAGTTATGTAAACTTTATTGTTATTTTTTTTTACGAATCTTGGCACGTGCTAATAATTTAGACATTCCATTAATTAAGACACAAGGTACATGCTAATAACATGTTCCTTTATGGCCCTAGGCTTATAATACCTTGTTATTCCGACATTGTGTTCGCTTTTACAAACAGTAAAATAATATATTAAGACAAAACTGTAGCAGCTGTTTTATTCTGCATTTGAAAAGATAACATTCCGATGTTAAAACATACACTTAGGCTGCTTTGCCGTGTGCATGTAATATTTATAATTAAAACAGATGTTCGCCCGTATGGCTCGCCTAATTAAATTTGTACATCAGCACACTAAGACCGATCCCAAAATCTGGCTACTGTATATTTACATTAAGGAGAAATCTCCCCCCCCCCCCCCCAACCTCGCTATAACTACACCAGTGCCTTATATCTTCGTAAACTCTCTGACAAAATGCGACCAATACTGACGTTGAAATTATCCTAAAGTCGACAGCTACCGTATGCTAAACCTAAATTGAATGCTAAAGTAACCTAGCAACGAACAAACCTACTAAAACGTAACCTAGCAACGAACAAACATAACCCAAAAGTAACCTAGCAACGAACTAACCTAACCCAAAAGTAACCTAGCAAAGAACTAACCTAACCCAAAAGTAGTCTAGCAACGAACGAACATAACCCAAAAGTAACCTAGCAACGAACGAACCTAACCTAAAAGTAACCTAGCAACGAACAAACATATCCTAAAAGTAACCTAGCAACGAACAAACATATCCTAAAAGTAACCTAGCAACGAACGAACCTAACCTGTAACAAATAACTGGCCCACCCCTACCCCAATAACAAATAACTGGCCCACAACTACCCCAATTACAAATAACTGGCCCACCCCTACCCATGTAACGTTAACGTTTCCAAAGACTCCACACCTACAAATAATCTAAAACAAAAATACAATACTAACCCACCCCCCATCCATGTAACGGTTGTTTGAAATAATCCATTATAGATATTGTCAAAATCAAGATGTCACAATGTACATGTTACCACCAACATGTCAACAAAAGTACAGCATACTCAAATTTAGTTACAAATACCGCTGTAAACTTAATATCACACAAAACAGCACTTTTTTTTCAAGTCAGGGCACTGTATTTAAAGGAAACTAAGGTACAGTTTATCCACAGTTGCTTCCCATGACAAAACAGTACAGGTAGGAATCGTCAACACGCTATGACAACAATTGGGTTTTAGGGCAGTGGGTTCTAATTCGAACATTGGCGTCTGTTTCACACACAAAAAAACAACTTAATAATCATTAATGAATTACTGTTACTTCCGTACAAGGGGAGTTTACTGGCCGTTCTTCAGTCCAAACTAACATGTCCAAACTCCATGTTGTCCTTCAATTCGTTCTGGCTTTCTCAATTTATTCCCAGGTTCAGGATTCAGTTTTTTTCATAAGTCTCGTACATTGGTATAGGTAACACCCTTGCTCTCATAGACTAGTCCTATCCACCGCTCAAGATGACACCCCTGTTCTCTTAAACTAGTCCCACCAAAATACTAAAGATGACACCCCTATTCTCATAGACTAGCCTCATCCACCGCTCGAGATCACACTACTGCTCTCTTAAAGCTAACACCCCTGCTATCTTAGACTTGCCCAGTGTCAGTGGTGTAACCAGGATCGTCTCATGGGGGGGGGGATTCACATTTTTTCCATCATTATATATATATATATATATATATATATATATATATATATATATATATATATATATATATATATATATATATATATATATATATATAATTTCATTGTGAAGTAACGGCATTAAAGCCTTCGAGTTGCAGGGTAGGACTTTGTATAGTGTGTTGATCTATGGGGAATACCACAACTTTTTGTTGAACTTTTCTTACATGAACAGTGCACGTTCGTGAAGAGACGAGCAGACAATGAGGACACAGCTTTTACTGATTCTTCTAGAGAACCCCCAACAACGGCAATAATGGCAACAACAGCTCAACGATAGTACCAACAACAGCAACATCAAATCCATCAAAAACTACACCACTAGTTTCACATTTCAATTTTTATTTGAAAAAAATCGCAAACAAAATAACAAACAATTAAAAGTATACTTGTATAAATCAGGAAAAATATTTAAAATTACTTTTTGTTTTCTTCCAAAACCGTTTTTGTGACCTTTTTCCAGTCACTGGTTTTCAATATTACTAAAGCTAAAATATTTTTTTTTTGTGGGCTGAAAATGTCGTTAATATGTAACTGCTATTTCAAAATGGTTTTGTTAGTAAAATAATGGTTGTAAAATTTCAGCTCATAATACTAAAACGATTTTGTCATTGCTTCAATTTTTAAAGGGATTAAATAAAACCGAAGCAATTGAGTGGACTATTTAGCTATATACGCAGCTATACACGCAGCTAGAGCAGCAGATGCAGTGCAGCAAGTGCTAGCACGATCAGAGAGGGCAGAACGTGAGAACCACTGCAGGCTGCGGTTTTGGCGCGCACAAACTCCGACTCGGTACAGCCGAACTCGATCCAGCAGTCGTGAGTTGAGTACTTCTCGAAGAGATTCATGAACTCACAGTACTTCTGCGTGCGGATCAAGGTCAACGGGTGCGACCGGCTGGTGACGCAGGAGTCAACACCGGATTGACATTTGTGTGACGCAGCGGCGATGACGTCAGAAAATGGTTGCGACTGGGTTGTCGCGCATGCCGTGGTGTTGAGGCTGGTGATTTCCTCCTTGGTGCAAGCCGCCTTCAGACACTTGGCCTTGTCCATGTTCACCAGCTTGCAGTACTGTTCGTTTACTTTGAAAATGGTGGCCACGCCGGAGTCCAATATACACGACAACAACCTCCCACGACAGTCGTCGCTGGTTGAGTAGATGGCTGTATACAGAGACGTTTTCAAAGCGCTAGACGGGTGCTGGACCGCAATCGACTGACCGCAAGCTTGGTTTGTCATTGACACAAACTCTTCCTCTGTGCAAAGTCCAATGTTGACCATACACTGGTAGGAGTTGGTGCCGTTAATGGACGAGCCGAACAGACGACACCAGCCGGCGTCGTTAGAGGGCACCAAACTACTGGCCATTCTAGCGCACGTGTGTTTTGTCGTCGTGCAAGTCGCGGACACGTGCGCTGGTTGAGCAGGAGACCCGCCGCAGGCTGCAGACTTGACGGCCGTGAACTCCAGCTCCGTACAGCCCAGCTCCAGCATACAGTCGTGGGTGGTGTATTTCTCGGACAACCCCATCACGTCACAGTACTTCTCGCCCCTGATCATAACTGTAGCATGAGACACAGTACTCAGACATTTGTCCAACCCGCGGTGGCATTTTTGTGAGGTTGCCACGATGGCGTCGGAAAATGGTTGGGATTGGGTTGTCTTGCACGCGGTTGTATTCAGGTTGGAGATTTCAGACTTTGTGCAGGCCATGTTGAAGCAGGCTGCACCGTCCAGGTTGATCAGCTTACAGTACTGCTCCTGTTGTTTGAAAACTGTGGCCAGGCTGGACCCAAAGATACACATGACTAATTTACCTGAGCAGTCGTCGTTTAGCGACTTCACAACGTCGTACAGAGACTTCTTTAGCTCGCTGGACGTGTGCTGGGCAGTAGCCGTCTGACCACAAGCTCCATTTTTGAGAGCCACAAACTCCTCGTCTGTACAAAGTCCGATCCTTATAACACACTGGTAGGCGCTGACGCCATCTTTAGTTGCCTCCAACAGAGAGCACCAGCTAGCGTCGCTGGAAGGTTTATGACTCCCCGTGGGTGCAACACACGCGTCTAGAGAGCTGCTACAGGCGTGAGAAACTTTCTTCCTCTCCGCCTTGAAGTCTGCCGATGTTTGCAGAAAACCGTTCATCAGTACACAGACTGACCACAGGAGTTTGTACACGTCAGACATCTTGGGGGGGGGGGGGGGGAGAAAAAAAAAGTAAAAATACTAATTGTATTATATAATTTAAACTGCCCTATTGCATTTTTAGTACTACAAACATGTTAAAAATCGTTTAAGATTCTTATACTAGTACACACATACAAAGTTTCTTGACACAAGCTAAGTTAGAAAGTTTAATCAAGCTCAAATTAAATTTATTTAATAACGTTCTTATGTTAAAATATAAATAAACTAATTACGTAGAACTTCAAACAAGAAAGAACTCATCTGACAACATATATAAACTTTAAAAGCTTCAAAAGAAATAAAACAAATGTACTTCTAACAACACAAAACATAAACAAATAAAAATGTGTTCTTTGTTGCGTCCTCATATTAACCCGTGGATATTTAGTTCTACAACGTATGAGCAATAATCTAATGCTAAAGTGCGGTGTTGCAGATATTAAATAGGTCCAGAACACATAAACTGGTTTCGTTTTGTAACGTGCAAACTTGAAACATGTGCTTAATGTCTTAACAATATAACAGGTCATGTTCTTCTTACATATGATAACTGGTCATGTTATTCATACATATAACAGTTCATGTTCTTCATACACAGAGTTTCTTCCAGACATCTCTTCGGGGGGGGGGGGGGCAAAGCCCCCCCGAAAAATTTTTACCGCCCCTCCCCCCGAACGAAATGAAATGTATATAATTTATATAGATAATATATACTTTTAACAGTGTCCGCCCCCCCCCCCCCCGAAGAAAGTCTACCGCCCCCCCCCCCCCAAAAATTCCAAGTGCCCCCCCCCCCCGGAGAAAAAAGTCTGGAAGAAACACTGTTCATACATATAACAGGTCATGTTTTTCATACATATAACATGTCATATTCTTCATACATATAACAGGTCATGTTATTTGTGTTATAAATTTTATTTATAAATATAACAGTTATAAACATAACAGTTCATGTTCTTCGTGCACATAACAGGTCATGTTCGTCAAACATATGGTAACAGATCATGTTCTTCATACATATAACAGGTTATGTTCTTCATACATATAACAGGTCATGTTCCTCATACATATAACAGGTCATGTTCCTCATACATATAACAGGTCATGTTCCTCATACATATAACAGGTCATGTTCCTCATACATATAACAGGTCATGTTCCTCATACATATAACAGGTCATGTTCCTCATACATATAACAGGTCATGTTCCTCATACATATAACAGGTCATGTTCCTCATACATATAAACAGGTCATGTTCCTCATACATATAACAGGTCATGTTCCTCATACATATAACAGGTCATGTTCCTCATACATATAACAGGTCATGTTCCTCATACATATAACAGGTCATGTTCCTCATACATATAACAGGTCATGTTCCTCATACATATAACAGGTCATGTTCCTCATACATATAACAGGTCATGTTCCTCATACATATAACAGGTCATGTTCCTCATACATATAACAGGTCATGTTCCTCATACAAACTGCCAATGTTAACCTGATACAAGACACATGTGCACATATTTGCTGATCACCTGCATACAACATACACGTCTAATCACCTATGGTAATCCAATTTTTAATTAGATGTTTCCTGGGAATATCGGATCATTTTACATCGACTTTGTTGATCAGGCTTATAGAAATGCTCGTATTTCAAGCAAAATGTTACACACGTATTAAACAACGTAAAAATAGGTTGCGTCCCCTAGTAAGCCATATGAAAAGGATGATCTCAAATTTCGCGATGAAGGTTTTTCTACTCTACAGGGTTCCATGTGAAACATGTCGTGTCAATAGAAACACATGTCCGTGTCAATAGGAAAACATGTCCGTGTCAATAGACATGTCTGTGTCAATAGGAAAACATGTCCGTGTCAATAGACATGTCTGTGTCAATAGGAAAACACGTCCGTGTTAATAGACATGTCCGTGTCAATAGAACAACAACCCCGTGTTCATAGGAGAACATTTCCGTGTCAATAGGAAAACACGTCCGTGTTAATAGGAAAATATTTCCGTGTCAATAGACATGTCTGTGTCAATAGGAAAACACGTCCGTGTTAATAGACAAGTCCGTGTCAATAGAACAACAACCCCGTGTTCATAGGAGAACATTTCCGTGTCAATAGGAAAACACGTCCGTGTTAATAGGAAAATATTTCCGTGTCAATAGACATGTCCGTGTCAATAGGAAAACATGTCCGTGTCAATAGACAAGTCCGTGTCAATAGACAAGTCCGTGTCAATAGGAAAAACATGTCGTGTCAATAGGAAAACATGTCGTGTCAATAGGAAAACATGGCGTGTCAATAGGAAAACATGTCGTGTCAATAGGAAAACATGTCGTGTCAATAGACAAGTCCGTGTCAATAGGAAAACATGTCCGTGTCAATCGGAAAACATGTCGTATCAATAGACAAGTCCGTCTCAATAGGAAAATATCTCCGTGTCAATAGGAAAACATGTCGTATCAATAGGAAAACATCACCGTGTCAATAGGAAAACATTTCCGTGTCAATAGGAAAACGTGTCCGTGTCAATAGGAAAAAATGTCCGTGTCAATAGACGTGTCCGTGTCAATAGAACGCCTGGTATCTTAGGGGAAACAGCCAGAGTTGGATAATTTAAAAGGCAAACCCGAAGGTGTGCACCGAGCGATACTATTTGACACACAATTAAAATCATAACTTACATGCACCTTTACGTTAATTAAAATGTAAACAATCACAAAAATGCATTCAAATCTACTTCTCTCAACATTTTTAGAAAATCGACTCACCTTTGAGTTCACCAAATAATACATTGGTTGAGTATCATTATAACTGACATGCGCAGTCACCGTTTGACTCGTTTCCGTAATCAGATTCTCAGTCATTGTGAGCAGACGAGAGCTCGTGTTGACCACACGACGAGAGTTGATGCGCCACCACAACATTACAAATGTAGTAGTTGACTAATTAAACCCCGCCCAGATAAGATATAGGCCTACTATTATATTTTGATCTGTAATTTTTTTTTTAAATTTACTTAGATTTATCCACAATCCCCTCCCCCAACCAATCTCACATACAAGCAGTGTTTCTTCCAGACTTTTTTCTCCGGGGGGGCACTTGAAATCTTCGGGGGGGCGGTAAACTTTCTTCGGGGGGGCGGACACTGTTAAAAGTATATATTTTCTATATAAATTATATAAATTTCATTTCGTTCGGGGGGGCGGTAAAAAATTTTCGGGGGGGGGCTGGAAGAAACTCTGCATACAAGTTAAAAAATATTAATAAAATAAAACTTGTATACAAACGGTATCCAAGCACTGCACATAAAAGATAAAAAGCACAAATTTTCTTTAGCTTTAATAAGAAAAGTAAAAGCGTAGGGTGCAAAATGTATGTGGCAAAGAATTCACTGTGCACTAAAGACGGTGCACCCTGTATCCTTAGAAGTAACCACTGTAACTAATTTAAAACAGGCCGACGTTTAGTTGTAGGTAAGCTACATTACTTCCCTTGATCAATGCTACATTTTTCTAGCTCCCCATTTCTCTATAGTACTTCTACCATCCTGCCATTCTGCTCTGTTACAAGTATTGACACCCAGAGAGCAGTCCAATACCTACCCACTACGGACATCAGTGGCGTAGCCAGGATCTTCTCAAGGGGGGGGGGGGGGTTCCAATTTTTATCCGGGGACAAGCTTTCGATTTGCACACCCCCCTCATACTTTATATATATACCGAGGGGTCTATGGGGGGTTATGACCCCCCTAACCCCCCCCCCTGCCTACGCCACTGACGGACATAAACCTCTAAGAGTAATTGCTACTTAACACCAACAAGCCATTATTTTTTAAATTTCAAATTTACTCGTCAGATCAAGTTTTCTGAACACTCGATGTTCTAAAATTGTATTTCCCAGGCCAAGTTTCTAAAATTTACACCAGCTAATCCAGCCAAGTGAAGATCTTGCAAATAGCTTTTTCAAACCCCCCTCTCTATAGTATGCGGACAGGGGTTAAAACGTATTCATTTTCTATTTAAATTTATTTTTTTCTGTTGACGTGCCCTGGGGTTAGGGTTAAGGTTAGGGTTAGGGTTAGGGTTAGGGTTAGGGTTAGGGTCAGGGTTAGGGTTAGGGTCAGGGTTAGGGTTAGGGTTAGGGTTAGGGTTAGGTTCAGGGTCAGGGTCAGGGTTAGGGTTAGGGTTAGGGTCAGGGTCAGGGTCAGGGTCAGGGTCAGGGTTAGGGTTAGAGTTAGGGTTAGGGTTCGCTGCAGGAGAGAGAACTAAAACACCACATACCAGTTTTAAGCACACGATTTATTACATTCAAGTAAAGGTTTATATTTGACATATTATTTACATCAGATGTTATTAATAGCATTGTTTGATTTGTTCATTGTTTGATTTGTTGTATTATTTTATTTGTACAGTTGACTAGAGTCGTATCAGCTTTACCTAGCGATGTAAACCTACCACACGACAGCAGCTTGGATTAGTCATAAATCTCTGAACACAGGGCCAGATTAGGCTGAAGGATGAGTCCTTTGATTGATACACACACATGCATACACATAAACACACACGCCGACACACACCAACAGACAAGCAGACTCATTCAAATACAGAAACACATAAAATAACGCACGTAACGACAGACACATTTATAAACCAACAAAAACATATTTACCAACAAAACACAGAGACACACATAAACACACCAATACAAATATTCAAACCCACACGAACAAACATTGTGAAAAACCCACAAACATAGACACACACACACACACAAAGACACACACACAGATATAAACACAAACTACTAAGACACACACACACAGAGAGATAAACACAAACTACTAAGACACACACACACAGAGATAAACACAAACTACTTAGACACACACACACAGATAAAAGACACACCCACACACACAGATAAACAGAAACTACTAAGACACACACACACGCCAACAAAAACACAGAGATGAGCACACATATACCTGTTCTATTGTTTTATTTTGTACATTATAGTCATTCGCTCTTAGTTACGTCGACAGCAAATACTGTCTGTCTGCCTGCCTGCCTGCCTGCCTGCCTGCCTGCCTGCCTGCCTGCCTGTCTGTCTGTCTGTCTGTCTGTCTGTCTGCCTGCCTGCCTGCCTGCCTGCCTGCCTGCCTGCCTGCCTGCCTGCCTGCCTGCCTGCCTGTCTGCCTGCCTGTCTGTCTGTCTGTCTGTCTGTCTGTCTGTCTGTCTGTCTGTCTGTCTGTCTGTCTGTCTGTCTGTCTGTCTGTCTGTCTGTCTGTCTGTCTGTCTGTCTGTCTGTCTGTCTGTCTGTCTGTCTGTCTGTCTGTCTGTCTGTCTGTCTGTCTGTCTGTCTGTCTGTCTGTCTGTCTGTCTGTCTGTCTGTCTGTCTGTCTGTCTGCCTGCCTGCCTGCCTGCCTGCCTGCCTGCCTGCCTGCCTGCCTGCCTGCCTGCCTGCCTGCCTGCCTGCCTGCCTGCCTGCCTGCCTGCCTGCCTGCCTGCCTGCCTGCCTGCCTGCCTGCCTGCCTGCCTGCCTGCCTGCCTGCCTGTCTGTCTGTCTGTCTGTCTGTCTGTCTGTCTGTCTGTCTGTCTGTCTGTCTGTCTGTCTGTCTGTCTGTCTGTCTGTCTGTCTGTCTGTCTGTCTGTCTGTCTGTCTGTCTGTCTGTCTGTCTGTCTGTCTGTCTGTCTGTCTGTCTGTCTGTCTGTCTGTCTGTCTGTCTGTCTGTCTGTCTGTCTGTCTGTCTGTCTGTCTGTCTGTCTGTCTGTCTGTCTGTCTGTCTGTCTGTCTGTCTGTCTGTCTGTCTGTCTGTCTGTCTGTCTGTCTGTCTGTCTGTCTGTCTGTCTGTCTGTCTGTCTGTCTGTCTGTCTGTCTGTCTGTCTGTCTGTCTGTCTGTCTGTCTGTCTGTCTGTCTGCAAACATAATAACTTGAGTACCTCTTTAGTTAGGTTGACGAAATGTAATATATAAGTATTAATTAATTCCGGTAACTGGAAGTGGTACTTTACTCTATTTCCGTAAGAGCACGATAACTTGAAAACTGTTTACTTAAGTTAACGACATTTCATAAATAAGTATAAAATGATCTTATACTTGGATTACGTTCATTTTTTATCTTTACTTTAATCTATTTCCGGTTTCTAAAATACCGATATTTTTAATACCATTTAAATTAGGTGTAGGAAATATTAAACCTATGTATTAGATTATTTTCTTCGAAGCTTTCAAATTGTGAGAGATTTCCGAGGACAGGAAGTAGTAGTATTTTAATCTATTTACGATTTCTCAAAAAAAGACCACTTTTAGCGGACTGCTTCTATTCAAACTTTTTCCGTACGGAACCTCGATGATAATGCACCGTGATATAAAATGCTACTTTATTAGATATTTGATTACATTTTTAAAAGTAATTTTCTACGCAACTCTTTTCTATTAAAAAAACAAATGTGAAAAAACGATTTGGGGAGCTCATCCTGCTTTTTAATTATACTAGCCGTCCCGGCCAGGCCCTGCTCTGGCTTCTGTGAAAAACCTTTCTGTTAAAGACCGTTACCTGTGTGTTTAGTAATCATAATAAACCCGGCATTGCCCACCCAAACCACAACCAACCAAAACAACAAAACGCAAACATAACGCTAACACAATTGCAAATACAAACGAAAACAAAAACCTAACAACAAACCCAACCACAATCACAAACACCAATACAAACACAAAGAAAAAACAAACAAAAAAGCAAACGAAAACAAAAACCTAACAACAAACCCAACCACAACCACAAACACCAATACGAACACAAAGAAAAAAACAAACGAAAAAGCAAACGAAAACAAACCAAATCCAAAAGCAAAACCAACCACAAACACAAACCCAAAGAAAAAAACACAAACGAAAAAGCAAACGAAAACAAACCAAATCCAAACGCAAAACCAACCACAAACACAAACCCAAAGAAAAAAACACAAACGAAAACGAAAAAAGAAAGAACAAAAACGAACCAAATCAAAACGCAAAAACTAACGCAAACCCAACCTAAACACAAAGAAAACACTAACGCGAACATAAACGCAAAGTGCTCACAGTCTAGCCCGGGGCAGAATCGCCTGTTTCAGCTTAATAATCGACTACAGTACCCCAACTTATTCATAGTCTTTTGCACTCACTTAAACGAACGTAGGTGCCAAAACAAACCAAATGAACAATTATAATACTCCAAGCTTATCCGTAAAATACCTACAACATTTGCACTTGATCAATCCCCGCTAATTATGTAATTATTTTTCTCCCAACTCCAAAACAAAATTATAAAAAGTAAATTCTTTTCCACTAATGCAATGCTTTATAAAGGGAAGTAATTGTGTTTTCCTAATTTATCAAAGGGAAGTAAGTGCTAAAGGACTAAATATAAATAATTTTCAGACATAATTAGAATTTTTGTTATTTTTTTTTAAATTATGTTTAATGAACATGCCGACAATTATTACTATCAGTTTGAAAAATGAAAATTATTTCCCAACACTTTCAATAGTAATTTGTTAACTCATAAATGTAGACTATGAGCACGATAATAGTCTAACACTTAAATCCATCGAAGTATGTCAACGACAAACAAACAAACTTAGTTTTACATACAGAATTGAGCTTTATATATTAGATTTAGTAATCGTATAATTAAATTTTAATGATTTACCAAATGTCTAATTACATTTTTTTAAATAGACATTTTTGTACAATGATCGGACATTAATCGTCAGGAATGTTTGAATGAAATCAATGCACTAAAAGTGGGTTAAAACTGAATTCCATGATTCACCACAAACAAAGGAACATAAAACCAAACCAACTAACAAGCTTACAAGCACACATACATTGTAAAGTAAATAAAAGTTTATTATAAAAACAGTTTTAGTTTTCACAATTTTGTTTTATAAATAAATCGTCGTGATTATCACAAACATTGCAAAATTAATCTATATTGTAGAAAAATATCTAATAAAAACTTTGATACCCTGAAAAAAATTACCAATCTCTACACCTTTGCAAATATAGGACAAGGTCAAATAAAGGACAAGGTCAAATAAAGGATAAGGTCAAATATAGGACAAGGTCAAATATGTTTATGAGATCGAATAAAGAACGACGTAAAGTATAGGAAAATGTCAAATATGGGACAAGGTCAAATATAAGACAAGGTCAAATATAAGACAAGGTCAAATATATTTATGAGGTCAAATATAGACCGACTTAAAATATAGGAAAATGTCAATAAATGTTAAAAGTGAGTACCACATTGACTATTCCGCTTGAAGCGAATAGAGCAACATTACAAGCAGGATGACAACAGACACCAGATGACGTGAGCCATTGCAGGCGAATGTTTTCAAGGCGTTTACGTCTTGGGCAGTGCACCCATGGTCCAACAAGCAGGTCTGGGTGGCGTTAGGTCCGGTCAGCAGCATCATGTCACAGTACTTCTGCTCGGTCATTAAGCGGAACTGTGGGCTCAGCTGACCTTTGCTGACCTTCAAGCACTCCCGCAGCGAATTCCGGCACTTCAGCTTACGAGTGATGATGGCGGTTGCAAAAGGTTTGGAATGTGTCGACCTACACGCAGCCGTGAGCAGCTGCCGATGAAAATAGCAGTTTTCCATCCCTGAACAATTCATAGCCGTGGTCAGCACCTCACAATATAGTTCTAACTGTTTAAAGATTATTGCTAACGGGTTAAAGACTATACATCTTAGACTGGTCAGAATACAGCGCTCTTCTAATATGCTGAGTTGCTTGTAAAACTGGACTGTCGAAGGACTTGATTGGTTCAAGTTGTCTGACGGTTGGCCGCACAGATTTATTTTCATTAGATTGAACTCTTTTTCCGTGCAATACATAATGCTGACCACTAGTCTGTAAAACGTCATTCCCAGCTGTATTTGTTCCATGATCTTGCAGTCATCGACTGCGGTGTGGCCTTTTGCAATAGCATAGGACACTTTACATGCCTTTGATATAGTGGCGTTAGTGGCTGGGCCAGGAAGTACAGCATCTGTTGCTAGCCTCGGGGTTACAGATTCTGTAGGGGCTACAGATTCTGTTTCTGGGCTAGAGGTTACAGCTTCTATTGATGGTCTAACGGTTACAGCTCCTGTTGCTAGGCTAGAGGTTACAGCTTCTGTTGCTGGGCTAAAGGTTATAGCTTCTGTCAGTACCACACACACGAGCAGGGCAAACGCCACAGGCTTACAGAAGACCATCGGTCCTGCTTGGAGAGATCAAAACAGTATCACACACTGTATTAATAGATCTAAATACACTATCCCTTCACGCGAAAGGGTTATTTCTACTTCACCTTATTTAGTGGGCTTGAAAGGCGACTATATATATACCCTAGTACGCTGATTGTAAAGAACGCAGCTATTAACAGAACAGAGGTGTTGTGCTTCGTTGTGGTATGTGCTATAACGTTATTATATTGACCATCTCCATCCCACTACTATCCCCATCCCACTACCATCCCCATCCCACTACCTTACATGTCTCACTACCATACTCATCCACAACCATCCCCATCACATTACCTTCCCTGTCTACTACCATCCCTGTCTATAACCATCCCTGTCTACTACCATCCCTGTCTATAACCATCCATGTCTACTACCATCCCAGTCTACTACCATCCCTGTCTACTACCATCCCTATCTACTACCATCCCTGTCTACTACCATCCCTATCTACTACCATCCCTGTCTATAACCATGTCTACTACCATCCCTATCTACTACCATCTCTATCTACTATCATCCCTATCTACTACCATCCCTATCTACTACCATCCCTATCTACTACCATCCCTATCTACTACCATCTCTATCTACTACCATCCCTGTCTACTACCATCCCTGTCTACTACCATCTCTATCTACTACCATCCCTATCTACTACCATCCCTATCTACTACCATCCCTGTCTACTACCATCCCTATCTGCTACCATCCCTGTCTACTACCATCCATGTCTACTACCATCTCTATCTACTACCATCCCTATCTACTACCATCCCTATCTACTACCATCCCTGTCTACTACCATCCCTATCTGCTACCATCCCTGTCTACTACCATCCATGTCTACTATCATCCCTATCTACTACCATCCCTATCTACTACCATCCCTATCTACTACCATCCCTATCTACTACCATCCCTGTCTACTACCATCCCTATCTGCTACCATCCCTGTCTACTACCATCCATGTCTACTATCATCCCTATCTACTACCATCCCTATCTACTACCATCCCTATCTACTACCATCCCTATCTACTACCATCCCTGTCTACTACCATCCCTATCTGCTACCATCCCTATCTACTACCATCCCTATCTACTACCATCCCTGTCTACTACCATCCCTATCTGCTACCATCCCTGTCTACTACCATCCCTGTCTACTACCATCCCTATCTACTACCATCCCTGTCTACTACCATCCCTATCTACTACCATCCCTGTCTACTACCATCCCTATCTACTACCATCCCTGTCTACTACCATCCCTATCTACTACCATCCCTGTCTATAACCATGTGTACTACCATCCCTATCTACTACCATCCCTATCTACTACCATCCCTGTCTATAACCATGTCTACTACCATCCATGTCTACTACCATCCCTGTCTACTACCATCCCTATCTACTACCATACCCCCTCATAAATTCCCAGTTGTACAGAAACCTTATCAAATGTATACGGGGCTAAACGCCCATGCGAAAGAAAACACCAAGATACTCAAATTACATTTACACTTCTTCAGAGCTGTACCTATTAGATCTAGATCTATACCTGCCTTTAGGGTTACACTTTTTTCAAACAATTTTGATCAGTCAGATGTAGAAGGCACTTTAGAATCCAGACTTTTGTTCTGATTTGTTTAGTTAGACCCATTAAATGGGTCTAATTAGTAGGTTGGGAGTTCAAGAACAATCTGCACTAGCGCTAAACGCGAGTTTTAACTTGGTGTGCAACTCTGGAGTCAGGTTTAACTTTCTCGTCTTCACGAGACTAATAAACATTTAGACAAACCTTGACATTTCCGCCTTTACTTTCTCGTATAGGACTGGTAATTAAGTCAACAACCAGTTCTATGGCTCATGCAGGTTTTATTGAGCCGTAGAACTGGTTGGTGACCTACTTACCAGCCCTATAGGCCTACAGAGTGTAGAGCAAGGATTGTATCGTACAAATAAAAAAACAGATAATTTCGACAGCACCGCCGTTTTACCCTTCCTTACTTTATCAGAGCACAGAAGACATTAGTGTAATCGTGCTAAATTATTTGTATCGAGATTTTGATATATCGAGATTTTGATACATCGAGATTTTTATGTATCGAGATTTTGATATATCGAGATTTTGATATATCGAGATTTTGATATATCGAGATTTTGATATATCGAGATTTTGATATATCTCATCGTGTTGTGATTTCCAGAGTCAGACACAGTCTGTGTATGTCTGTGTGTATGTCTGTGTGTATGTCTGTGTGTATGTCTGTATATCTGTGTGTATGTCTGTAAAGGGGATAACTTTACAACTTTACAGAGTTGTCGGTAACCGGAAGTGTACATTCTCTAATTCCGGCTCCTCAAAAGTCGATGACTTGAGCATCCTTTAGATTGTTTGGACGAAAAGGTATAACATTTTATGTGCTGGTTTCTTCCGAATTTTGGACTATTTACGGTTGACCTGAATAGTAATTTAAGATATTCCCTATTTCTAAAAAAAAGACCATAAGGATTTGATAACTTTATATCACAGTTTTTAGAGCATCACATTCTACGAACATTTTGCCTTTTTACGAAAAACAAGCGGTCTTATCAGAAATTTCCATGTCTCCATACCCCGATTGCACTGGACGTGCCGTCCACGGTCCATTCCTTTTTGTTAATCATGGGTAATAATATACGAGATAGTTTACGGAGATTACTCCTGTTATATTTTTATGTTAATTACTTTTATCTTCCTTTTTAAATATCGCATTATTCAGTTATTGTCGTTGTTTTTATTTCATGATAGATGACATTTGATTTTGTTAGGAACGTAATAATATTAATTTCGCAAAAATCAACTTTTCTAAAATAAATGTATTTCCATATGATGTATTAATGCGTTCCTTTTAACTGACACTTTTCTCTTTACTAAAATCCTGCATGTGTATGTGTGGCTTTGTAAAAAAATGAATGACTTTATTCCCATGAGTAATTTTGATTACTTGTCCCTGTGATTTTGTTCCCTGTGCTTTTTATCCATTTTTTATTCTTTAATTATTTTTTTTTAAATATTTTTTTACAGTGACTTTTTTCTTATCACCCAGCACTTCTTGTTGGTTTTCCTGTGACATTTTATTTCCGTGACTAGGCTTTCCTGAAACAGCCTATCATGTGACCTGTAAAAAAGAAACCCTAGGGGGAGTGGCGTGAGACGAAAGACCTCATTGAAAACCTCTTGACAGCTGATAACATACATCCTATAACAATAGCAGTGACGTCACTTTGCTAAGATTAGGGAAGGTATTGTTTTTTCCACGGGTAGGATACAGTGACTGTTTGGGCATTGCCGCTATTACACGTGTTATACAATAGTAGACTGGCTTACATTTTATAAATGAAAACAAAAAGAAACATACATAACAAATTACTCTTTATCTGGTTGGGTTATAGTTTTGTGATGGTTTTGTAAAAGATTAATGGTTGTGTGGTTGGTTTGTGTTGTGTGATATGTGCTGTTTGTGTGGAGTGTGAATGTTGGGTGGTGTGTAATGGTTGTGTGATGTGGAAGTTGTGTGATGTGTAAGTTGTATGATGTGTAGTGATTGTGTGATGTGTAAGTTGTGTGATGTGTAGTGGTTGTGTGATGTGTGATGTTTATGTTTTGTGATGTGTAGTAGTCGTGTAATATGTAGCGGTTATGTGATGTGTAGTGGTTGTGTGATGTGTAAGTTGTGTGATGTGTAGTCGTTGTGTGATGTGTAATGGTTGTGTGATGTGTAGTGGTTGTGTGATGTGTGATGTTTATGTTTTGTGATGTGTAGTGGTTGTGTAATACGTAGCGGTTATGTGATGTGTAGTGGTTGTGTGATGTGTAAGTTGTGTGTTGTGTAAGTTGTGTGATGTGTGGTGGTTGTGTGATGTGTAGTGATTGTGTGATGTGTAATGGTTGTGTGATGTGTAGTGGTTGTGTGATGTGTGATGTTTATGTTTTGTGATGTGTAGTGGTTGTGTAATATGTAGCGGTTGTGTGATGTGTAATGGTTGTGTGATGTGTAGTGGTTGTGAATGTGTAAGTTGTGTAATATGTAGCGGTTGTGTGATGTGTAGTGGTTGTGTGATGTGTAAGTTGTGTGTTGTGTAAATTGTGTGATGTGTAGTCGTTGTTTGATGTGTGGTGGTTGTGTGATGTGTAGTCGTTGTGTGAAGTGTGGTGATTGTGTGATGTGTAGTCGTTGTGTGATGTGTAAGTTGTGTGTTGTGTAAGTTGTGTGATGTGTAGTCGTTGTGTGATGTGTGGTGGTTGTGTGATGTGTAGTCGTTGTGTGATGTGTAGTGGTTGTGTGATGTGTAATGGTTGTGTGATATGTAGCGGTTGTGTGATGTGTAATGGCTGTGTGATATGTAATGGTTGTGTAATATGTAGCGGTTGTGTGATGTGTAATGGTTACGTGTTGTGTAGTGGTTGTGTGATGTGTAGTGGTTGTGTGATGTGTAGTGGTTGTGTATGTGTAAGTTGTGTAATATGTAGCGGTTGTGTGATGTGTAGTGGTTGTGTGATGTGTAGTGGTTGTGTATGTGTAAGTTGTGTAATATGTAGTGGTTGTGTGATGTGTAGTGGTTGTGTGATGTGTAGTGTGGTTGGTGTACCATAGGTTTGTGGTTTGTTAATATGTGCAGATAACATGAAAAAAACGATTTTTGCTTCCGATAAGTTTAGAGTATTCTTTAGATCAGGGGTCTCCAAACTTTTCATCCCGATGACCGTATTGACTATCAAATATCAGTTCGGGGGCCAGAATTTCTTCCAGACATCTGTTCTGGATGACAGAGACCCCCACCCCCTTTTATTTAGAAATATATATATAAATTTCAAGTGCCCCCCCCCCCCCCGAGAAAAAAGTCAGAGAATCACTTTCGGGGATTGACAATACACTCGAGATTGTTCTCAAATTGTTCTTCATGCAGGCTTACTTCATTCTTGAAAATGTTTGTATGTTGTTCCGAACATTGAAAGGTACTTTGATGCAAAAGTTGTAATATTAGGAAAGTTTTCCTTGGGCAAATACTTATTAAACCAACCCACCCGCTCTATAAGGAGGTCATTTGCTGGGCAACTGGCCACATTTACTTCAGTGGCATTTGAACCCAATGCTAATTTTTCAATTTGTTTAGAATTTTTTCCTCAGCCACCTCCAACAAACATTTCTTTTTCAGTTGACAAAACTATCTCCGAGGGCCGGATGAGAGGACCTCGCGGGCCGCAGTTTGGAGACCCCTGCTTTAGATCAAAAAGATGCAAAATCTTACAGTCGCGTTAAATTATACTTATATTTGAAGAACGGAAGAACACATTTTATATTAAAGAAAACTTAAATATTTGACAAGTCAAATAATATTATAATAAAATAATATATAGATCGGTCATTGAAAAGATTCATTATTTAAAAATATTATATTGATATGTCAATGAACAAACAAGATTTTGTGCAGACAGTTTATTGTCTTAAAAGATCGATCACATATCGACCATAGTGTGGGCGGGTCATCTCTTAGACAGATCGATATATAGACACATACTGTTGTCACTGTTTTCAAGCAGAAGATGTTTAATTGATAAATTACTTTATATTGACGTGTGTGTTTAAAGAAAGTTATCACTTGCAGATAAACCCTCTATTGTTTGAAACAATTCCCATTGTTGTTGGATTGATAAGAAATTTGACATGATCCGCGATGTGTGACCACTACCTTGGCCCCATATTGGGCCATCACTTGTATATAAGGATCCCTAATTGTTCTACAGGTCTACTACACACCCCCCGAACCTCACTAAGAAACACCTTGCGATCAGGTAGGAATTCATTGTATTCATGCGAATAAATTTTAATGAATGATTTTTGTCATAGCTTAGTCTTTTAACAAGAATAACTTTATAAACAATGACCGAATATTTTATTTTGTTTTGGTTTATAAGTTTTTGTATTACAGGAAGTATTGCAACCGTGCAAAAAGTTGAAATCGAGATTTTCACAAATCTCGGAGGAAATTTCGCAAATGCGTACTAGATTGTATGCTAAGATTTCTATCAACGTTTCAATTTTTCAGTTAAACATAAACTATGCTCTATTTCCGTTTTTACAAAATAACTTGAGTACTTTTTAAGTTAGGTAGATAAATTTCATGTTTAAGTATAAGATTTTATACTTAAAATTATTTTAACTCCAATATCTAGAATGGTAGTTTGCTCTATTTCCGGTTTCTAAAACAGATTGAAAAAGTTTCATACATTAGCTCCAGTATATAAACTTTTGAACGATTTCCGGTAATATGAATAAATACTTCACTAAACTTTTGGAATTTGAAAAAAAATGTCATTTTTATTAAGCATATTTTAAGAACGTTTCGCCGTTGTGTGTGTGTTTTTTCGAGAGAAATAAACCGGAAGTGATCTCCCCTAAACTTTCTCGAATATTCTTATATAACACTACGGGGGATGTCAACTTGGGACATAGACAATATTTTTAATCCATTTTTAATTACTTAAACTTTTTATTAGAATAGAATCTCGTAGAAAAAAGAATTGCACACCAAGTGAACGCCAAATAAAATGTGCATAATATTGCGGGATATTGTTAGTACTTTATAAATTCACACGCGTTTTTTTGACAAATCGGAATTAGCATAAATTACTACTTCCGTTCAACGGAAATTACTCAAAATTTGATAGAAGGCAGAGAATTAAATCTTTTACTTATATTTGAAATTGCATTTATTTATCTGAAATAGTAATCAAGTTAAAGGCTTTTGGAAAATTGAAAGTAGAAAAAGTTCCACTTTCGGTTATCGAAAATCGCTGAAAACTTAATACGGATCTACAAATTTGATATAATACTAATATATGAAATTTCAACAACCTAGCTGTAACGGTACTCAAGTTATCGTGTTTACAGACAATCATATATACACACAAATACACACACACATACACACAGAGGCATACGGACAAGATTGCAAAATTATGTTTTTCCGACTCAATGAGGTGTAAAACGTCGAGATTTGCAAAAAATCTCGATTTTTATTTATTTTTTTATTTTTTATGCACGATTACAATACTCTCTCTATACTCTGTATATACGAGAAAGTAAAAAACGAGAGTTTTTGTTAATTTCTAAATTCATACAGCCCGATTTCACTGGAAGGGCTTATCTTAGCTCATACTGTACTGCTACATTTTTAAAAGTTTAGGGGAGCTAAATGTCGCTTTATCAAAACAATCAAAATATGATAGTTTTAATTTCAGTAGAATTATTTATTGAGCTAAAACTTAAAGCCAAGTAGTTAAATAGTTTTAGTTTTAATCATTTTTAAATATCCAAGAATGGCGATTTTAACCTTTATTTGCTTTCACTTTATAGTGTAGGAATGAATTGAATGGCTAATATTGTCAAAATGTAGGAATGAATGGCTAATATTGTCATAGTGTAGGAATGAATGGCTAATATTGTCATAGTGTAGGAATGAATGGCTAATACTGTCAGAATGAAAGTCTAATACTATCAGAATGAATGGCTAATACTGTCAGAATGAGTGGCTAATACTGTTAGAATGAATGGCTAATACTGTCAGAATGAATGGCTAATACTGTCAGAATGAATGGCTAATACTATCAGAATGAGTGGCTAATACTGTCAGAATGAATGGCTAATACTATCAGAATGAGTGGCTAATACTATCAGAATGAGTGGCTAATACTGTCAGAATGAGTGGCTAATACTGTCAGAATCAATGGCTAATACTGTCAGAATGAATGGCTAATACTGTCGCCTGACAGCTCGATGTACAGCCTACCGTTCCGCTCTGGGTGTACTGCGTTGTTTATGTTTGTCACGTGATTATCCTAGTCATTGAGGAATGCTTGTTTGTTGTTTTATTTCGTTGAGGGCAACAATTTAAATTTGAACTCATGTTTCCCAGAAAGAACTCACCCACTGACGTATAAACCAAGATGGCCGACTACAGAAGACTCACAGCTCTTTGCCTGCTCGCCCTGTACGTTCTGGGGTTAGAGGTCAGCCTCGTGTCGGCTCAGACGTCAACCGTGGGGCCAGACGCGAAGACCAAACGATTCCAGGACGCCATCCAATCGTGTTCACTACAATGCCAGATGGCCAGCGCCGCCTGCCTGTCAGCTTCCCCAAAGGCTCAAGAACTGATGGCCAAGGAGCAGTACTGTAACGTCATGAACCTGAATGACGGTGGTGTCTCGACCTACGACTGCCTGGTCAAGTCCCATGCCTGCACGCAGGGGGAGTTTGACAAGGTCAAGACCGCGGCCTGCGGCGGGGCCGCCTCACTCGTTGTGACGTCATTCACCCTGCTCTTGTCTGCTGTTGCCCTGTTCCTCAGCAGACAATAAAAACTGTTGTACCATTGATTTTATTCTTTGTTCTTTTTAGGTCTTGCGTGGTGTGTTGACTTTTGAAATTGTCAATAAATTAATCTAGATCTACACAATTTTTTTGTTGAGTATTCTATGCCACGATTCCATCGATTGACTAAAGAACTAATATAGGGAGTCTCACACAAAAAAAGCACATTTCGAATCGTATCTTTGCATTTCTTTGCAGGGTCGTCAGTAAAGTACCTAGTGCATCATTTTCAGTGACCTCGGCATATGAAAGGATAGGTTTCCAGAAAAACGAGCAATCGGAAAACTGCGCAACGGAAAACAGAAAAATGCGCATATACAAACTAATTATACTAATATTCTTTAAATTGGTCATACTTCATGGAAATATGTTTATCATGCTACAATGTACTTTATTAATGTCTATAAATGCTCGAGTTAAGATAACAAAAAAGCTCTACTTCACTTTTTGTGCGCAGTTTCCATTGTGCATCTTTCCGGTCACCGAAATGATAGTGTGATCAGCAGTATGCCCATCCCCATCCACTTTCTTCTTCAGAGCTTGTTGGACTAGGTCAACCATCCCGACGTATTACTATTTGACCCTCTGTAGAAAACCCAATATAAAAATGGGTTACGGGCGTCCTTGCAGAAATTAAACCTGATTCAAGGTGTCTTCTATAAATAACGTCAAGCACTCAAATCTTTAGACCCACTCCAAGAAAATGACTTTAAAAGTGACACCACCCGTAAATTAAACACTATTCTAGCAATAATCAAGTTGTTGTTCATTATTTATATTTTAAACAGTTTTTTTTTTATTTTTGACACGACGGATTTTTCACCGCCCATGCTGTCTGCAAATCTGGCTAACGTTAATCTAATGCTATCCGTAGTAATTTCGTTTTTTTTTTTCCATTATCTCTCAATTAAGGATGCACCTCGAGCTACTGCTAATCTACGTTTAAGAAGTCTGATCCAGTTTAATTAACTAAGCACAACGGTGAACTTTGCACGGGGCAAATTTAAAGAAATCCACAATTGAATTGACATTTATCTATTTTTTAATCTTTAAATAGTGTGTATGTATTGATGTTTGAATCAGTTATTTATCAACTTCACCTGTTGAATGTAACTATTAGAACTTTTAGAACTTTAGTTCCTAAGTGTATTAAGGTAAGGAAAGTTTTATTTTTCGTCATAGCGTCTATGTCAGTATTTTTTTACTTTCTCGTATATACGAAGTATAGAGAAAGTATTGTAATCGTGCACAAAAATCACTTGAAATTTTAACAATTTTCACCGTATTACATCTCAGTCCTTCATCACATCCGAAGTATAGAGGACTTATTTTAATCGGGCAAAAATTATCAATCCAGATTTATCAAAATTAAGAGGTTTTATGCGTAATCCAGTCTGAAAAACTGGGCTTTGCAATTCTGTCCGTATGTCTGTGTGTCTGTGTGTGTGTCTGTGTGTAAACACGATTACTTGAGTACCGTTATAGCTAGGTTGATGAAATTTCATATATAAGTATTTTATCAAAATCGTAGATCCGTATCAACTTTTGAGCGATTTCCGATAACCGGAAGTGGTACTTTTCCTACTTTGAATTTTTCAAAAGCCTATAACTTGAGTACTATTTCAGATAGATAAATGAAATTTCACATGTAAGTAAAAGATCTAATTCTCTACCTTCTGTTAAATTTTGAGTAATTTCCGTTGACCGGAAGTAGTAATTTACGCTACTTCCGATTTCTCAAAAAACTAATGTAAATTTTTAAAGTACTAATAATATTGCGCGCTATTGTGCACTTTTTATTTGGCGTTCACTAGTTCACTTGGCGTGCAATTATTTTGTCTACGAGATTTTATTCTATTTTTAAAACTTTAAGTATTTAAAATGGATTAAAAATCATGTCAATAGCCCGAGTTCCCATCCCCTGTTGTTTTATATAAGAATATTCGAGAAAGTTTAGGGGAGATCACTCCCGGTTTATTTAAATTTTATTGCGTCGGTGTTTTAAACTGGCACTGTCTATAATATTGATAGCATGTCAGTGTTATTTAATCATTAATGTCTTTGTGCATTTTGTCAGTGTTATTTTAATGTCATTGTGCTAATGTCAGTGTTATTTTAATGTCATTGTGCTAATTTCATTGGTATTTTAATGTCATTGTGCCTGTGTTATTTTAATGTCATTGTGGTAATGTCAGTGTTATTTTAATGTCATTGCGCTAATGTCAGTGTTATTTTAATGTCATTGTGCTAATGTCATTGGTATTTTAATGTCATTGTGCCTGTGTTATTTTAATGTCATTGTGCATTTTGTCAGCGTTATTTTAATGTCATTATGTCAGTGTTATTTTAATGTCATTGTGTCAGTGTTATTTTAATGTCATTGTGCTAATGTCAGTGTTATTTTAATGTCATTGTGCCTGCCACATCCTGTTCGCTACTTGCCTTGAATCTCCTACAAAGTCTTTATTTTATATCTAGATGTACCACATTGTTTTATTAGTTTCGATTGTTTTTTTTTTGTTTAACGCGCTTCCTGGACTGTTATGTCGTGGTTCCACAATCACTCTTTACCTGGACTGTTATGTCGTGGTTCCACAATCACTCGCTACCTGGACTGTTACGTCGTGGTTCCACAATCACTCGCTACCTGGACTGTTATGTCGTGGTTCCACAATCACTCGCTACCTGGACTGTTATGTCGTGGTTCCACAATCACTCGATACCTGGACTGTTATGTCGTGGTTCCACGACAAGCACATTCTACAAGCACATACGTCACAACTTTGATCGAGTTTGTAAATCAAGTCCAAACTAAAAACCAATGCGTCGTCTCAAAACTTAAATAGATCTAATTTATAACTTTATTTAACGTTCTGGTAAACCATTGTCTCTCACCGAAATTTTAGACCTACTTTATAAGCTAGTTACTTTATATAATAAATATAATCTACCCTCCGACAGAAACAGCAGTATTAAAACAAGATGGCCGACTTCACAAAGTTAACAGCCGTGAAACTTCTAGTATTGTATCTGATTGGACAATCCTTCAACCTGGCCGCGTCCCAGTCGTCGACAACAGCGACCCCTGACGCCAAAACTAAAAGGTTCCACGACGCCATCATGTCTTGTACTAGCCAGTGCCAGCGCAGAGTCCATTCATGTCTGAATGCGACGTCACAAGCCCAAAACCTGATGGCCAAGGAACGATACTGTGACGTCATAAACCTGACTTCCGGAGGTGTAGTTATACGCCAATGTCTGACTCAGTCTCATGACTGCACACAGCATGAGTTCCACGTGATCAAGGCCGCTGCTTGTAGTAGTGCGAACTCGGTTGGTGTGGCTCCGTCTATGGTTTTGATGGCTCTCTCTATGGTTGTGATGGCTCTATGCTTTAGTTGTGGCTGTGTGTTTCAGTAACGTGTCCCCCGCCTCACCCCCACCCCAGTCACCATCAAAGACATACAGAAACACATATATCTGTAAATATAAAATTACATGACCATTGACTCGGCAACATGCAGTGGCGTAGCGAGGTCGGGTGTCACCCGGTGCGGCATTTAATGGTGTCACCCCCCCCCCCCCCCAGAGGCGTAGCGACCCTTCCCGGGGACAAATTTTCAAATTTTCGATTTGCACCCCACCCCCTCAAACTTTCGATCGATTTGCACCCCCCTCAAGTTTTTCTCTATATATTTTGCTATTTTTTGCCTTGGTGTCACCCCCCTAAATGGTGTCACCCGGTGAGGTCCGCACCCCCCGCCCCCCCCCCTCGCTACGCCTCTGGCAACATGTCATAGGGCCACTCCATACAGCAAACGTCATGCCGCATGGCCATGACGTACAAAAAAACGCCACATCACATACTATTACCTTACAGCAAACGTCATGCCGCATGGCCATGACGTACAAAAAACGCCACGTCACATACTATTACCTTACAGCAAACGTCATGCCGCATGGCCATGACGTACAAAAAACGCCACATCACATACTATTACCTTACAGCAAACGTCATGCCGCATGGCCATGACGTACAAAAAAACGCCACATCACATACTATTACCTTACAGCAAACGTCATGCCGCATGGCCATGACGTACAAAAAAACGCCACATCACATACTATTACCTTACAGCAAACGTCATGCCGCATGGCCATGACGTACAAAAAAACGCCACATCACATACTATTACCTTACAGCAAACGTCATGCCGCATGGCCATGACGTACAAAAAAACGCCACATCACATACTATTACCTACCAGCAAACGACATACAGCATACCTATGCCTGAGATTAAAAACTTTCCTCTTATTTGTTTGACATCACATTAAAATGGAACAATTACAAATTTGATTTCAAAGCCTTTCGAGTTTTAAATCAAACTGTTATGTGTTGTAGTATGTTGTTTGCAAGTAGGGGGTGCTGTGTGGTGTGCTTATAAAACCGTATGGCCTGATCCCCCCCCCCCCCCCCCCCGTGAGATGTGTTCTCTTGTTTTACCGTTTGGACACGTTTAACCAAGTTAAATCACACACACACATCGGTACACACGTGTAGCTGTGAATAGTGTCAAGCTTTGAGTTTTATACCTTGGATGTGTTAGTTGTCCAGCTAGACCAAGCTTGGGTTCCCAAACTAGGGGTCGCGAAGGGTTTCTGGGGGAGGGGGTCACGAACTGGTAGACTAAACCCTAGCAATGAAAAAAAAATATTTAGAAGAATATCTGAAATTTGGCTTTACTAACATCACAGGAAATGAAATAGAGAAAAACAAAGCCTACTGTGCAAAGTTTTACTCAGTCATGAGTCTATGAAATCTTCAAAACTCATTTTGAGACGAATCATTCGGAACACAAAAGGTATGGAATTCTTTCGTCGGCATGAAGCTAGTTGCAAACGTCAGAGACTTAATCGAACACGAAATTTTCTTCAATGAAATAGAGCATTAGTGTAAGCATCAAAAGAAGTCGCTTTAGAAATTTCCAAGCAAAAACAACACAATAGGAGAACATCTCATCAAACCCTGCATGTTGAAGATAGTGAAATTAATTCTTGGGGATTCCGGCGCAGTAAAGATGCAACAAATAGCTCTGTCTAATAATAATATATCCGTAGATGTTAAAGGACAAATTTTGAATGAAATTAACCTTCAGCATTGTTTGCTTTTCAAGTTGATGAATCAACAGACATTATTTCGTGTTCGCAGTTGCTTATTTTTGTGAAATATATTCATTCAGATGATAGCAAAGAAGAGTTGCTATTTTGTGAAGATATTTTTGGAGAAAATAAATACGTTTATTTGAAACTGGATGATTAAAATGGGAAAACGGCTGTGAGTTGATAAGATAGTGCGCCATATATGTTTGGGTCAAAATCGGGCTTTCAGAAAAAGATGTAGCTCCCTAACCAATGGGAATCCACCGCATGATTCACCGTTATGCCCTCGCCAGCAAGACTCTTACGACTCCATTGCTAATAAAAGTCGTACATTATATTAAATCTGGAGCCCTAAACACTTGTCTGTTTAAAGAACTGTGCAAAGCATGAATAAAGATAACGAGAATTTAGCTTTTCTACACTACAGTACGCTGGCTGTCAAAAGAAAATATTGTGAATCGTGTTTTTCTTTTTAAATTGAGAGATGAAACCAAGGTTTTGTCGTAGCTGGCGTATCAGTACTCTACCTCCTACAAGCAAATACTTACACAACTTTGATCGAGTTTGTAAATCAAGTCCAAACTAAAAACCAATGCGTCGTCTCAAAACTTAAATCGATCTAACTTATACATTTATTTAACGTTCTGGTAAACCATTGTCTCTCATCATAATTGTACACTTAGTTTATAAGCTAATTAATTTATTTAATAAATATAATCTACCCTCCGACAGAAACAGCAGTTTTAAAACAAGATGACCGACTTCAAAAAGTTAACAGCCGTGAAACTTGTTGTCTTGTATCTGATTGGACAATCCTTCAACCTAGCCGCGTCCCAGTCGTCGACAACAGCGACCCCTGACGCCAAAACTAAAAGGTTCCACGACGCCATCATGTCTTGTACCGACCTGTGCCAGTTCGCCGTCCGGACATGTTTGAATGCGACGTCTCAAGTCCGATACCTGATGGCCAAGGAACGATACTGTGACGTCATAAACCTGACTTCCGAAGGTGTAGTTATACGCCAATGTCTGACTCAGGTGTATGCCTGCACACAGAGTGAGTTTAACGTGATCAAGGCCGCTGCTTGTAGTGGTGCCAAGTCTATGTTTGTGTTGGCTCTGTCTACGGGTGTGGTGACTCTCTCTACGGGTGTGTTGGCTCTGTCTGTGGTTTTCATGGCTCTCTCTATGGTTGTGATGGCTCTGTGCTTTAGTTGTGGCTGTGTGTTTCAGTAACGTGTCCCCCGCCTCACCCCCACCCCAGTCACCATCAAAGACATACATAAACACGTACAACTTTAAATATAAAATTACATAACCAGTGACTCGCCAACATGTCATATGGCCACGCCATACATACAGCAAACGTCATGCCCCATGGCCATGACGTACAATGAACGTCACGTCAAATAAGATTACCTTACAGCAAATACATACAACATTCCTATGCCGTACAACAAACGGCAGACCACCTGACCACGCCGTACAGTAAATATCATGCCGCATGGTAGGAGATTAAATACTTTCCTCTTATTTCTTTGACATCACATTAAAATGGAACAATTACAAATTTGATTTCAAAGCGTTTAGAGTTTTAAATCAAACTGTTATGTGTTGTAGTATGTTGTTTGCAAGTAGGGGGTGCTGTGTAGTGTGCTTGTAAAACCGTATGGCCTGATTTTCCCCCCCCCCCCCCCCCCGTGAGCTGTGTTCTCTTGTTTTACCGTTTGGACACGTTTAACCAAGTTAAATCACACACATCAACACGACTGTTCACGTGTGTAGCTGTGAATAGTGTCAAGCTTTGAGTTCTATACCTTGGATGTGTTAGTTGTCCAGCTAGACCAAGCAGTTCTGTGGATGCCCTAAAGGTTATGGACACCCAGCTCTGATGTTTCAGCTGTTACAGTACCAGCAAAGGATTTACTGAAGAGATTACGTCGAGATCTTGCACATAGGTACAAGGTTAGGTCTTGTTGAGGTAGACATAACACATTTATTTCCAGACGTTTTTAGGCGGATTTTTTTTTTTAGTTGTTTATATTTTTGTAGATTTAAGGTAGACTCTGCCTATTGGGCATGAGGGTATTTTATAATAATGAAGAAACTAAAGTTTCTATGAATATAGGCCTAAATCAGTGGCCAAAGCCCCCCCCCCCCCCCCACCCCCACTGGGACATGTCAAGTGTTGTCAATCCCTTATGGTGAAAGAACCTGTAGTTTAAGGTTCGCGTCCCATGAATTGATACATGCTCGTGGTGTGTGATCTATACCGGTGTCCGAAAATGCCACAATAATAGAGTATTCTTCCGAAAGGGCTGTTACTAGCTTACTGTAGGTTACTATCATTACAACAAATGTTACAGTGCAAACCATAGCCCTCGCCTTAATTCTAGCTCTTAACTAAATACTTGTAACAACCCCATGTTTGGAAGTGTCTAATGTCAGACATTTAGTTTTAAATGCTACACAGTATTTTATCGATTCACAGAAAAAACAAAGATTTAAAGCAAGATGGTTTACAGAAAAAGTATACTTTTGGGCTTGATTTTCCTCGTTCTCATTGGACATGAAACCTGTCTCGTGACAGCAAGGTCATCATGGCTCGCGACTGACGTCACCAAAACCTGCCTACTCGCCTTGACACGATGCGTGCTACCCAGCACTGAACCGGAAGCTGTAAAGATCAAACAGAAAGTGCACATCTGCCACATCCTGGCACTGAAACAAGACTGTCTGGTCAAGCCTGAATCCTGCACGCAGGGAGAATACGACAAGATGGCCGCTGAATGTAGTGCTGCAGGGTCAGTGCTGACGTCACTAGCTGTGATCCTGTCCGCTGTTACTCTCACACTGTGTGCAATAAGAAACTGATTTCTTTGTTCATAGCTCTTGTGTCTATATATCGGCTTGATATACTTTGTACACAGAAAATAAATTATGTTAATTATTAACCGGATTTTTTTCTTAACTTCCACAGTTAAGCAATACGTTTGTGATAGCTAACTAGCATCCAAGTACAATTAGTATCAACAGCACCCGGGTGTGCCACGATATCTTAAGAAACACCATCTAAAATTGCCGGTGGGCTACCAGATAAATTTGTCCCTTAGAATGTTTTCCTTGGTGGTCATCCACAAATGACGTCACACTCGTAGGGGGAGGGGGGGGTCCGTAATTTTGTGACGATGTGTGATGAGGGGATGAGGGGGGGTTCAGATGTTGCGACGTCACATTTTTGCATTATAAAAAAGCAATGTTAAAAAACGAATTTTAAACGTTATTTCGCGTTTTAGATAACTGTTTTAATAAATTGTAATAGTTTAGACAAGATTTTAGAAAAAATATCGATGTTTAAAAAAAATTCAACTGCAATTTTGAGGGGGGGGGGGGGGGGTAGGTTGAGGTGTGACGTCATTTTAGGGGGGGTCTGGCTTTTGTAAAGACGTGTGACGGAGGGGAGGAGGCAAAAATGGTCAAAAAAGCGTGACGTCATTTATGGATGACCCCTTGGTAGGGCCAGTACAAGATTTACACCGCCATAGTTTGGTAATAGATTACTGTACAGTGACAAGATTCATACGTCTAAAGAATTTAACAGTAAGATAAGTTTGTACTTTGGTAACAAGAAGTGTAAAGGAACGGATTTCTTTCTCCTTGTCAGCCTCAACGCTATCAATTTGTGTGACAGTAAGAGGAACATAAGCACTGGATTTTATAAACCAATCACCTCCCCCCATAGAAATATAGTGGTCTATTGACCTTTTAAAAACTAAGAAGTTTCCTTTGATGACATCCAGTCATTATAATAAACTTATCACAGTGACTTGTCCTTTGTCACTCAGTACTGATCACAGGTTACAGAGAGAAATTTCTTTACAAGCTGAAGTCTGCCTATGATGGGCAACTGACCGACTCCCATTCTGATACCATACATCAAACACAATACCAAACGAAATAATTTGATAGCATTTAATATACATCATTAGACAAATCATTTCCCCCCAACCAAAAAGAAAAGTACACTGCATCATTCACACAGACATGAAAATGATTTTTTAATATAAAGATTTTCACCCAAACCTTAAAAATCTGTTGTTGAAAATCTTAAAATACTACTGGGGAAATGAGTTCTCTTGTTGCCCTGCCTTCACATGGCAACACACTTGTGGACATACCTGTCTTCAACTTGAGGACAAAGTGTAACTTGGATACAAGCATCTATCAGTATCTATATCCAACCAAGTCTTCAACTTGAGGACAAAGTGTAACTTGGATACAAGCATCTATCAGTATCTATATCCAACCAAGTCAAGGTGAACAGCACCAAACTTAGATTTATACACTAAACATGTCTTGCAGTCAGTGAATAGAGTAATAAAATACAGAAATAAATACACCCATCACTTTAAGAAGTCATCCAGCACAAACCAACACATTTCTAGCCTCCCTTACTAACATTGTTGAAAAAATTAGAAAAATAAAATTAGAAAAATGTATGACATTCCAGTTCCATCATCCTATTTTACAAATAACTTTACATACAAACAAGACTTCATTCATACTGTTTTTATGACTGATCCAAACTTTCATCAGTGGGTCACAACATATACTGGTCTAAATGCAATAGCCATCTCTGCATAAAACATGTTGTAAGAATCTTTGCTTAACCCTAAAAGGTTTCAAAATAACTAAATTTACAATGAAAGTTGCCATTTCCAATATTCTTTAAATAGTACTGCATCAACCAATTTACAATGAACCAACTAGTTCTTACATACATTAGAGCATGAGCTTAGCTATGGTACACTATCACAGGAACAAGTTACTTTCACAGTTTCATTTGATAATAAAACTCTCACAAGCTGAGTGCACATCTCTTGTGTTTACCTTTAAACACCCATGGTTCACAGATCATGTACCAAACTAAACAAAAAGAAACACTCCTATGGTAAAAAAAAACTTCACTTGCCCACCAGGCGATGAAGAGAAACAATCAACCAACTGAGCAAAATTGCACTCGGGTATATGTGGCTTGTAGACTCTCACGGCTCGCAGCAGACACTGAGAGAAAGTAACTAGTGAAATAAAAAAACAACAGCCTAAACCATTCAAACACGCAGTCAAATTTACATATAAAACACTATATAAAACCAATCTTCTAAGCCGTCTTTGCACGAATGGCTGCTCTTTTGCCTGTAACTGCCTGAAAACCTGTTTTGATACTAGCAACAGAACATCGACTGCCACATGTCTCACACTGAAGGAAGAAGAGACGTGTGTCTTTCTGCAGTAAGGTGTCTCGAGATCTGCAGGTATGACAAGTTACGTACTCCTCTGTGGAGAGAAATTATTTGAAAATATTTAATAGTGTGCTTACGTGTTAATTCAATTTTTTAATTTAAAATACATTTACACAATGTGCACTAATGTTAAAAATGTATTGAAGTGTGGATAAAACTAGCATGTATGTAAAATAAAAAGTATTTATGTTGAAAAAAATACTGTATTATTGAGTCCACTATCCATGTTGTACTTTAAACATGAAATGTGTGAAAATGTATACTTTTCTTATTTCCAGTATAGAAACAAATAATACAAATACCACTTAAATTCTAATAACAGCATTCCATTTTTAATTAAAATATAAACAGATCTTTAATAGCCTAGGAAGTAGTGAAAATTCTCACAAACACTATCTTTTGGCATTTATGGAATCAGAAGTACATGTACAGAAATATTTAAGGGTTGTGAGTATGGAATATAGTAACAGTTTTATCCCAAACTAATAAATATTGGTTAACAATTAAGTCATTCATAATTAAAACAACACTTACTGATATATCTTCTGAGAACATTTTCTATTTGCTTTTGGGTGTATTTGCCTCTAATTATAAGTTGGTTATTACCGTCAACAGAGCCACTGCAAAAAAGATATTTTGAGTTATTTGATGCTTTAGCTTTCATACACATTTGATTAAACTTTTAAACCAAACATTTTTAGCGAACTGTAAAAGGACGTTTGAACATTTAATGAATATTATATAAGTGAAAGAAGAATCAGCTGTAATTTGTAATTTTTGTTTTTTAGATTCAGAGATGGAAGGTTATGAGTTTTGATTACAGAAATAAAAGTAGAAAAGTACATATCACAAAAGTAATGTCTAAATAAGATTATAAATTCAACACTAAGTTTTAGTAAAACAAATGTTTAGTGCCCTAATGTGTGCATGATACATTCTACAAAATATGGAAAAATCTTCAGAATTATCAGATAAGGACTGAAAAAATCAGTATATTTCCAGTAATAATAATTAAATAGATCTCTATATATATAAAAAGCAATGTATGTTTGTGTGTGTGTGTATGTGTCTGTCCTTTATGCATTACTACACCTCTCATCACATCGACGTGCAACTTTGGGAAGATTTTGAGAATATTCCTGCGGAAAAAAAATTTCAAATTCGAAGGGGTGGCGCCCCGGCAGGGCGCGATTTGTTTTTCTCTAAATACTGTATATAAAAATAAAAGTCGATTTTGGTTTGACACCATTCATCTGATCGCTATCAAACTTTGGTGAGTTCATTAGAACACTTTAAGGAAGGGTTCTGTAAAAAAATCATTTTTAATTTCACAAGGACGAATTTTAGCGAATCACTTTAGTGAATGACGGAATCTGCATCATTGTTTACAGGATGCTATTTGGCACGCTGGTGCCTGTTAGTTTTCAGGAGCCAGGGGCCGTACGCTGCGCCTATGCGGTAGTGTAATCGGGGGGTGGGGGTTCTCCTGAGAGCGCCCCTCTACATCCCTGACACGTGTGTTCTACCGCATTTTTTCGGTGAGTGATTAATGTACACTCAAGGTTTTCACGCGGTAGTGTAGGAAAACCCGTGTCCCGATAATTATAATCCAAGCGCAGGCATTGTTTACATTTAAATAACAGTTTTAAAAAACAAGGTCACGCGTCTAAGAACATATGATTGGTAATGCATTGGTGATATCATTCTAATATATTTCGTCAGACTTTCTTCTATCCCCGTGGCAACGCGCGGGGGACAGGTACGCTAGTATAATTTTTAAAAAAAAACATTTTATTAATAAAAATAATTTAAAATGAAATGTCAGAGCCATATTGATATTATTTTCATTCATTATATTGACAGTGACTCCACTAAAGAAATTAACTTCAAAAATTTAATCCTCAGTGATAGAAAAACTTAATTCCTGTTTCTCGACAGAATCTTCAAAATATAATTACCATTGACTTGTTTTTACTTAATTTGTAGAAACTAATGTACTGAGCAGAGATTAGGCACGTGAAATAGCTCTACACAAAAATTTGTTTAGACAGCTTATGATAGTAATGGGCGGACCAAGCAAAAATTAGCACCTACCTTGTACCCAACTCAGCTAACAAGAAAGCGAGGACGTGTTTAGGCTGTCTGTGTAACCTGTTAAAAAATAAAAGTGCTACTAGATATGTGTGACTAAGTAATAAAATTAGTTTACAATATCTCAGACCCATCTCTACCCATAATGTGTTATTTTAACACGAGGGGTCACTGTGAGGTCACACTAGTCAGGACATCAGCAGGCCTCATACATCATAGCATGACCTGTACCGTAACTTGTATTCCCTCCGACTCCAGCCAAACAGTACCAACTACACACTTGCAGTCAAGGTGAGTTCACACAAGTTTAGATATATTAGTTACATGGAGAGACAGGTTAGTCTTGCCCTAACAGTAAGCATTTGCAAATTTAAAAAAATAGTTTTATGGAAAGTAAATAAAAATGTTGAGATTATCGGTGACATCATTACTTAAAAATTTTCTTCATGAACGCAATAAATAACTGGCATTAGCTAATTTTGTTGGGATTTTACTTCAACGTTAATTGCAAAGTTAATAGGTAGAGGCTAATAGTTATCCTTGCTTACAATAAGAGCGAGATCTAAATATTAAAGAAAAATAATATAAAAAACTGCTTTACGCACAATACTAGTATCATCTAAGAAATTTATCAGATCTATCACTTGACTATACTGCGAGATCACGGTATGGGTCACATTGGGCTATGTTAAAAAAGCACAGATTGCAATAACCGAGATGTTCGGTTGATGTCAGGTAGACTAAAGGCTAGTAATGGTTAAAGACGCATTTATAAATGTTAGTTTAGTCCCGCAAAATGGTTTCCTGCTAAAAATTACTGTCTATTGAATAAAGACAACTGCATTTGAACTTAAATATTTTGTACCAATCTGATTGTCTATTAATATTATATTAAGTTTTTTTAGCGTCGGCTAAGATTAGAACATGAGAGTAGCATCGTAAAAATGACGTCAAGCCCCAGTTGATTACTAGCTTAGCCTTCACAGCAGTGGACATTGTACCATCTACACATGCGCAAAAGGCGTGAAGGGCCAAAAGTGTGTATAAAACACTCAGAGTCTTGCTTAGCAGTAGATTGTATACCACCGACACATGGGCTAATGCTAGAAATAGTCTTGATGATAAAAACTATTTTTAGAATGCCAAAATTTTTAAAATTTAAAACGGTATTGATTATTTTTTATAACTGCAAACCCACAAATTTAAAAACTCAAATATTGCGACTTCGGAAAGTAAATAAAAATTATTCACAAATCCAGAATATCCTTCAGAAGTGGACCCCAACATGTTTCTACAACATATTAAATACACTACTGTGAAAATTAGTAGTAACCACAACTTACAATCTACAAATATCTGCAAAATTTGCAAAAGAAGTTTTTCGGGTACCAACTCTAAGCACTTGAGGGGGTCTCATAACAAACTTTTTCTTTTCTCCAGCTATCATGTCTGGGTTCTTCTCTCTCATTTTGTCAAAAAATCTTGTTAGAAGCTGCAAAAAGAAAGGTAATTATTACAGTAATATTTAGTCACAGAACATAAGACATTTACAACTTGTTTTAGGCAATGGTAAAAAAATGTAAAACATGAGCATGTTAATAAGTTTGATTTAAAATTATTGCACCCATACCTCATCATATGTATAGTCTCTGTCAGAACCAACCCAAGCAGTGTGTGATCCAGAATCGTCACCAATCTGTTCTTCTGTTGGCAGTTAAAAACATAGCAAGTTACAATCTGAGCACAAACATATGGCAATAATAAGGCTGTGTTGAAGTTTTTTATTTATAGATTTTTAAACCAAGTAACAAAATGTAATTCGAAAGTGTGTTGAAATTTGTACCACCGAGACAGAAAATTAAAGAGAAAAACAGACTGTTGGTATGAAACTACGGCAGCGTGCTCTTAGACATTATCATTTTCTGACCAGACTAAATATTTTTGCAACTTTAATGTATCTCATTAAAAACATACACTATTATTGTACAAACTAATACAGCTGATATATTAAATAAAATATTTAAATGCAAACTTTGCCTTATACACATTGTTTTAATTTTACAATCTAGAAAATGGGATTGAAAGTTTTTTTTCAATACTGTAATAATTTGCACGTTTGTTTGAAATTAATGATAATGTCTGATCCTTTTAAAGATGTACATACATTTTTAAATGTAAATCTTCAACAGAATAAGAGCCTAGTTGTAATTGTAACTTTTTAGTTTATGTGGTGAACAATTAGGTTGACTTGAATAGAAAATTTGATGCCTTCTATTTATTGTGAATAAATGATTTTGAAACAATATTTACAAAAATAAAACATTAAAGTCAAAAATAATCATTGGTTATATTTATGCTCTTTATATAGCCATAGACATCTAATAAAAAAAAAAATTTCTCAGTATAGCACACAATATAGTATGAAAAACTGCCTTTTGAGATTACTAGAGTCTTTACTTTTTTCTCCAAATCAAACAGTATCAAATGAACTCAGAGTTCAACTAAGTTTAGAAATCAGGTAATTTAACATAGTCATGTTTTGCAAGGATTCAAAATTAGTGTGAAGTTCCAAAATTAAAAGGAAAGCAACAACAAATGCCGGGGTGCCGCTCATTTTTTAGTGAATCCTGAAAATCTATCGCAAAATTATACCAATCCTGAAACTAAAATTTGAAATTTTTAAAACCCTCAAACTTAATTCGGCACAGAATTTTTAAAAAAATTGGACTATTAGGCCTATTTCAAAATTTCATTAATTTTTGAGACATTTGATTCATATCATGTTCAATATAGGCCTACATTCCTTTAATTTCTTTGTAACAAGCTTGAAATAAAAATTAACATTAAAGGTTGTGCATACAACAAAATTAGTTTACAATGTTAGTCCCTTCTCTAGGCCTACCCCATAATGTGTTATTCTATAACTCACCGCCCCCCCCCCCCCCATGGATGTAAACCACAATAAACACAATATAAAACAACTGTTTATGTTACTAATACTTTGTTAATAGTGATAGTCACAGTGTCTTCTGTTGGAAATACAGAATTGTGGATGACGTCATTTGCTATTAGTTTTTTTTTCCACTAATGTAATAAATAGGCCTGCTAGCATTAGGAAATCTTGTTGGTTAATAGTTACAGATTTAGGTCCAGCACTATACTATACTGCGAGGTCACGGTAAGTTAGCATAGACCTAGAAGAAAACCTAAGGTCGCAGTGACCAAAACATCTGCTGATGTCAGGTAGACAAAGGCCATGAAAGCGACGGCGTAACAATGTTAATTCTAGGTTTATACAGCAGTGGATAATATTGTACCATCTCCAAAAGGCGGAGAGGGCTATTAGCGTGAGTCTTGGTGATAAAAACGATTTCTACAATGCCAAAGTTTTCAAGCTTAAAACGATCTTAATCTTTTTTTTTAAAAACAGCAAACTCTGAAACTTCAAACTCAGATCTTACAAATCCTGAAAGGGAAAAAAACATTTTTAAATCCGGAAATTTGGGATATCCTGGAAAAGTGGAACCCCTCCAAATGCAATAGGTTGTATGAGCAAGGGTAAATTTGAAATACTAGTAGATAAATTATACCTAGACTACACTACCATGCATGTCAGAATTTTAAAATTCGGACTGAAAATTCAAATTCTGAAAAATTCAGATACCCACAAAATTCCGAAAAGTTATATGACTGCCATAATTACCATCATCTTGGCCATCCTCTGCCCCTCCATCAATATTAACTGGCTTCTTCTTTTTCTTCTTCTTTTTCGTAAATTCCAAGTCTTCAACATTAAACTCTGCTTCACCTACTGTTGATTGTATAGTCTCAGATTCTGTGGTTTCCTGAAAATATTTAAAAATCTCATTTCAAGATATCCACAAAAAGTTATAAATTACCTCAACATAAAACTCATTACATCCTGTTTGGGATGATGTAGGTGATCATTAAGGCATATGACTTAACCGGAAGTCAGGTTTCATGACAGTCAGTATGTTCCTGAAACTACCCTGCACTTCCGTAAAGGGTAGGTAAAGACAGTGGTCATGGAAATGACCACTATACCTTCATCTGCTGTATTGAAAAGTCTGGAAGGGCAGCTTTAACTATAACTGTTGATTGTATGTAGTCTAGTACTATATGGCTTCCAGGAAAGAAAATTTTTAAATCAAAACAACTACAAACAAGATAAAAATATCAGGTGTAGGACAAAAGGCTGACATGCCGTAAGGCCTACAAGCATAAAAAATACTAATATCGCAAAATATGTGTTACTGCATAGCTCCTATCTTGACAACCATCGAAATAAGGCATGAAATGAGGTGAAACGTTCAAGAGAAGAGATGGTGCTAGTTGCTATCCTTAAAAGGTGAACCATCAGGTCAAACAACTGGAGATTATGGGAGTGTCTTAAACACAAAGGATTAACACCTAGATATAGCAAAATGCTGTCACTGCTGTCTTTCATAGCTCCTTCTATGTCAACGATGAGAGATAATCATAAAAGAACCAAGTCAAAAGCCGCCGGCATCATCGCCCACATGCAACAAGGTGGAACGCGAAGAGACAATGCTAGTTGAGATCCTTATAAGGTGGACAATGGAGATGATGGGAGTGTACAAAGGATAAACAGATAGGTGGCGTTACCTTATAAGGGGGACAATGGAGATGACGGGAGTGTACAAAGGATAAACAGATAGGTGGTGTTACCACCATATTTCGCAAAGAAATCAAAGAAACCGAATGAAGTGGACCAATCACGTGCCTTGACCACCTGTTAAGTACAGACAAACTTTGAATTATATTTGCGAATTGCGTGAAAAAAAAGTTGTATACTATATTCGCTGGATTCATTAATTCTGTTGTCATTGTGATACAAGTGTGCCAAAATTAATAAGTTATTTTTTGTTTTTTTTGTGTAAACTTGTGATTTCCCTATATATGGACAAACATATATCAGCAACAAATCATCGGTTACAACGTGTGTTTTATTTTATCCTATTCTATGTACCTAAGAATATTAATGAGAAACTTAAACAGTCGTATATAATTACAAATTTTAGATAGTAAACATGTCTGTAATTGTAGTTTTGTTTTTTTATAAAACTTGTCGGCCTTTTGTCCAGATCCCAAAAATATCAGATGGATAAAAGTGAAAAAATCTTGAAGTAATAAAATTAAACTCACAGGTAAAGCATCTCCCACTTCGTCTAACTCAAAAGCCTTCTTCTTCTTCTTTTTTTTCTTCATACTTGTAAAATCCATAGAGAAATCTGTAAAAAATACTGAGTAATTAAATGCTGCAAAACAAAGGTTTACAACTGTATTTAATGTCAATTAATAAAATAGCTACAACTAATACTTTAAACAGTGATGTGTAACAAATTAATATTATAAAGTAGCTGTGCCATACAAATTGAATGTGTATCAACCTGCCCATATCTGTTAACCCATAACCACAAATAATGTTCATATCGATTTAAAATTTAATCAAAGTTTGATTTAGCTTTGAACATTTTGGTACACATTTAACTATCAGGTCTTCACAGTAAATTATTTTTGCACTGTACACATTATCTAGAGTTCCATTTTTTAAAATTTAAATTTCAAGATGAACTTAAATGAAAAGTCTCCATACCTAACACAGATACTAATGTTATCAGTTGTTTAAATTCATAAAACGAGCCGACCCGCAGCGTATCATACGCCGCTATTTAGTTGTTTTATTTTCTACTTTTCAGCAATTCATAATTTGTGAATTCGACAGTACCAATGCTGCCACTGAAAATATTTGCTTTAAAACACTAACCCCCCCCCCTCTTTCCCCTAACCCCGGCCCTACACCCCCCCCCCCCCTGTGAAAGCAGCCTCCTCTTAGTTATTTCTTAGTTACCTCCTGTAAGATTAAAATCGAACTAAATTATCTGCCCCTAATAGAAACCCGGCTCCAAGATTTGTAAACATATAGCTTTGTAAACATTTAGCGTGACCACAACTTACCAGACAATGTGGGGGTGGTAGTGATAGTGAGAAAGAGAGGGGACTGCAAGGAGGCGCTTGCAGCTTGTTTTCTAACGGCTCCCAGAAGAGAATTATATATATAGAAGATATGTGGTTTGTGACAGTGGAAGTCTAATTAATTGTTGAGATCATTCAAAATGATTACTTGACCCATCTATCCCCATCAGATGACTTTCTAGACTGTCGACACTTTAACAAATTGTTTACCATCAGGTACTTTCTCTGGTGCTGACAGTGTTGCTGGCATCTCTTCCTCCTCCTCCTCTACTGGAGCTGGGGCAGGTGTGGGTTGTACATCAGCAGCTGAACCACTGTCTTCTCCCATAGCTGCATCCAAGTCAAATCCAGTCTTCTTCTTCTTCTTTTTTTTCTTCATAGTGGGGTCAAAAGCCATCTAAAAAAGCACAAGGTTATATCAGTGAAATAAGAAAGAATGCTTAAGTAAGTATTCATTAATCAGTTTATTACAAAGTCTATCTTGGAGACAATTAGCCATTTATTAAGTTACACAACCTAGAAGTAGGGACAGTCTATACATAAAAAGTGGTATTCAAAGTAAAAGAAGAACAAATTAGCAAATGCTACTTGGTTAATCGGAGAAAAATAATTCAAAAAGAAAAATGTAGAATTTATGTGTATAGTTATAAAACTACTTTCAAAGTATTTTAGGAAAACATCGCTGCGATGGCAAGCCGTAGTTTCTCTCCATTTCGCATGTGTATCTTTTTTCAGCTAGCATTGGCCTAAATAATATGGATGTCTATTAGGCCTAGGCCTATTTAGTAGTCATGTTAAAAGTGAAAATTGAGTAAATTTTAGATTTAGCAAGACAAACTAATTGAAACTTAGATCTAGAATTTAAAAAAAAATTCTACAGCTGGTCATTCATTAAAATATGGATTGAATAAAGATGGGGATCTAGACTAGATATTAGGCCAATGTATAGACCTAACTAAACTAAGCCCTGCGCTACACATTTAAAGTTCATGTAAAGATCATAATATACTCGAGCGTCATGTCGTGCGGCGTAGAATAGTAGGCTAGACAAACAGATTTCGACTCAATTTTCAAGTAAAAATGCGGAATATCCGGGCCGGCACTTGGACCTAGATTAGAATCTAGACTTAGATCTAGATTCTAAGTTGATTTTCAAAACGTATAATTTTCCTCTTCGACCATTACTTACTAGGTCTTCGTCTGCCATGACTTATGTAATTTGTTAAAACAAAGGGTCACAAAAAAATCTGTTAATGCGTTGAATTTCAGAGAAACCGATTATCGCACGCTTCGCACTCTATCTTGCATCAGATCACTGAATTTCCGGTTTGTAGTAAATGTTACTTTTTAAAACTGAAGAGTGCCATTTTCTGCAAAAACTTATACCTACACAGCTCTAACATACCAGTTGATAGGCCTACACTACAGAGTTCCTTCCAGGCATCTCTGACAAACACACACACAAACATACACATACTTTGACATATATATATATATATATATATATATAGGCCTATAGGCCTATATATATATATATATATATATATATATATATATATATATATATATATATATATATATATATATATAAGGTCTACATAGGCAAATTATAGTTGCCACTCCGTACCATTTTGCCATATGGCGTCAATTTGTGCGCACATTATATTAATTATTATTATTAATCCGCCAATTAATACGGAAAAAGCACCATTTCTTCGTAAATTATTAGATTTCGGTGTCACCCCCTCACCTGTCGTAGATTGACTTATCAGTTATTCAAAATACTCAGCAAAACCTTTTTTCTTCTGTAAAGTTTATAGTTGGTATTACCCTCCTGGACCCTCGGGTGATAGTTTTAAAAGTCTGCATAGTTCATAGTAATTTTTTTTATCTATAGTCAGTTATTAATATAGGTGGATTAACTCTAATCATTAATTGAACTGGCAAAAGGCTTATTTCTTCAATATATTTTGCAACTTTCGCCATGGTGTCACCCCCAACCCCCTAAATGGTGTCACCCGGTGCGATCCGCACCCCCCCCCCTCCCGTCCCCGCCACGTGACGCCTCTGCCGTGTGATGTCATTTTTTTTAAAAAAGGAGTGATGCTATGGTTCTACATGTGCGCTTGATGATCGTCTCTAATTGTATTCACGCTTGCGAAGTTGTGTGTCGGTTATTTTTAAATTATTCTTTTTTATTTTATTTTTATTTTGTCAGCAACTTCTTTCCTTTCGCGTTTGCTGATTAGAGATCGAGATTTGTAATATCGACGTTTTATACCTTCCTGATTAAAAAAAAAAGTTTTGCAATCATCTCTCTTAGTCTGCGTGTGAACACGATAATTTGTATCAGTTAAAATTCAGTTAAGTTGACGAAATTCAAAATATAGCTTACAGGGGTCGTCCATAAATGACTCGTAGGGAGAGGGGGGTCCGTAATTTTGTGACGGTGTGTGATGAGGGGGAGGGGGGGGGGGGTTCAGATCGTGCGACGTCACACTTTCGGCATTATAAAAAAGCAATGTTAGAAAACGAAGACTGATGTGACGTCATTTTATGGGGAGGGGGTCTGGCTTTTTGTGACGATGTGTGACGGAGGGGAGGGGGGTAAAAATCGTCCAAAAAGGCGTGACGTCATTTATGGATGACCCCCACATAGACCTATTAAATCTTTTTCTTGGGTTCTTACTTATTAATTTTTTAAAATATTTTCAAATATACTAAGTGCTACTTAGGTTCTACTCTATTTCTGTTTCTAAAATACTGATTTAAATACTATTAAATTATATACGTAGGTTCCTATAAACTTTTCAGCGATTTTCGGTACCCGGGAGATGTAATATGCTCAATAACTCAAACTGATTTCTTTAAAAAAAATTGTATCATTTTATCATAAATCAGCATATTCAAAGAACTTTTCGCCTTTTTGTTTTGTCTCGCAAAACGAGCGGTTTTCAACGAAAAAAATAAGTTCGTTATTTAAATATACCTACAGAATGTTTCTCGGCTGTGTTGGGACGTAGATTTACATTGAAACATAAAAAAAAAAAAATTAAATTAAATCAAACGACAAATGAAATGTTTGGTCTTTGAACATTTTTAGAAACACAATTTCTCTTTTTTCAAACACAAATAAAAATCATATTTTAATTTAAATTATACGTTTAATAAAAATTAATAGCCACTTTGTTCAAAATCCTGGCGAATCTCTACTGTCTTCAAAAACATATTTTATTTCTTGTATTTTTTCTCTTTATAGGTTTATTATTTTAAGACTTTATTAAGCTTGTTGGCTTGGGTAGTTATTTTTTTTTCATCTCTGTGTCGCTGTGTGCACAGAGAATAGGACATTGGTTGGACTGGTGAGTTAGCATCCACACTTATAGCGGAGTGAGTTGATCAGCTGGTCCTTGCTTGCTATCTGGTACTCCAGGTCGCGACGACAACGACATTCTTGTTCCAGCTCACCCTTTAACCTGCGGAGCTCTTGTTGGTACCGCGAGTCCTGCAAGTGGATGACGAATCTAATTTAGACTAAAGTCTACCGCCCCCCGCCCCCGAATCAAATGGAATTTATATAGAAAATATATACTTTTAACAGTTCCCCCCCCCCTCCCCCCCCGAAAATTTTAGTCCGCCCCCCCCCCCCCCCCCCCCCGTAAATTTTAAGTGCCCCCCCCCCCCCCTTCCGGAGAAAAAAGTCTGGAAGAAACACTGAATTACCCTGATCTGAAAAGTAAAACAGCGCAACCTTAAACTAATCGTATGGAAACAATGTGGTTATGGGTACGTTTAAACAAGAAAAAAAAATTTAGCCAAAAAGTTAGGAAACATGTGTAAATCTTGAAGTTATATGTTCTTGATGTTTCTTCTTATCGTTTATTTGTATAGCTGTGGACGGATTGCGAATCTGTACAAACATAACAACACGCTATGACATCTATGTTCTCTTTTAGTTCAGATTGGTTGAATCAACATTCAGTAACAAATAGTAGTTTTTATTATACTTAGGCATATATATATATATATATATATATATATATATATATATATATATATATATATATATATATATATATATATATATATATATATATATATATATATATATATATATGTATATATATATATATGGATATTCTTAGACATGAAATGAAAAGCACCTCTAATGCAGCACTTTGTTGAACATTTTGAATGTGGTCCTTCAAACAGCAATTATGTTCTTCAAGTTCTTTGAGCTGATGTATAGAGAATAAGTTTTAGAAAATCAACTGGCACCAAAACTGATACCTGATGTAAAAGAACTAACAGAACACAACACTGCAGCAGTTTGTCATGTGTGTTTGGGAGCTGACAGAGTGGGAGGCATGATGAGAAATACATTCTAGTTGCTGCTAATACATGTAACATTTCAATGAACATTGACACAAACGCTTGTTAGAAAAGTAAAAAAAAATAATTATGAAGTCAATGGGAATTTTCCTAGTTAAGCTAAACGAGTCGTATTTGCAGTCAGATTATTCTAGCTAAGCTAAACGAGTCATATTGGCAGTCAGATTATTCTAGCTAAGCTAAACGAGTCATATTTGCAGTCAGATTATTCTAGCTAAGCTAAACGAGTCTCATATTTGTAAGTAAGATTATCTTAGCCAATCTTAACATGTCTAATTACCTTGCATTCTAGTTTCTGATTCTGACAGTCCAAGTTCCTAAGTTCTGTCTCACAATCTCTGTAGTCGTCTTCTTTTCTACACAAACGGTTTTTATATTCATCAACCTAGGGTCAAACAAGGAGATAAATGACGACGTTGTATTTAAATGTAGCGACTAAAATAATATTAAAAAACGATAATGAATCTGTATGTAGCTAGTTAATAGATTAACTAGTAACCAGAGTTTCTTCCAGGCATCTCTTCTCTTTTACCGCCCCCCCCCCCCCCCCGAACGAAATGAAATTTATATAATTTATATAGAAAATATAATATACTTTTAACAGTGTCCGCCCCCCCCAGAAGAAAGTCTACCGCCCCCCCCCCCCCCCCGAAAATTTCAAGTGCCCCCCCCCCCCCCCGAGAAAAAAGTCTGGAAGAAACAACTTTTCCAACTAGAGATGATAGAACTACTATTTATAACACCAAAATTATAATTTCATTAAGCAAATTGATGTTTTTAATGAGTTTTCATAATCCAAAACATTTTTAACTACTGTTGGTGTGTAGGATTTAAAAGAACAAATGTTGTCTAATTATTTTTAAATAACTTTTTTCGTCATTTTAATTTATCAGGAATATAAAATTTATTATTGCAAATTGTCAACAAATAGTCAGCACTTCTCTCTTGAATTAGTGACGTCATTAATGGATGTGCCTCTTGAATCAAAAGCAATATTGTTAGGCTCTTTGTATGTTTAAAACCTACCATTAACAATGAAGGATGTAAGCCTTCTAAAAAAAACCACACCATAATATGTTATTTTCCAATATAAACAGGTGATTTAAAGCAAGCTTAACGTAACAAAAACCACAGTTTATTTTTGAAAATTGCAGGCCCAAAGTTACCTGGTTGTTTAAGTCACGAATTTCGTTACAAGCCGCGTTCAGGTCGACCTCTAGTTTGTTGACTTGCTGTAGGCAATAGGATTTGTCGCCGCACACTTGTTCCAGTTGATTGTTCAAATCTTTGAGATCACACTGTGTATGACAGTAGGGGCATTAGTACAACAATACACTGTGTATGACAGCAGGGGCATTAGTACAACAATACACTGTGTATGACAGCAGGGGCATCAGTTCAACAATACACTGTACATGGCGATAGGGGCATTAGTACAACAATACACTGTGTATGACAGTAGGAGCATTAGTACAACAATACACTGTACATGGCGATAGGGGTATTAGTACAACAATACACTGTGTATGACAGTAGGGGCATTAGTACAACAATACACTGTACATGGCGATAGGGGTATTAGTACAACAATACACTGTGTATGACAGTAGGGGCATTAGTACAACAATACACTGTGTATGACAGCAGGGGCATTAGTACAACAATACACTGTGTATGATAGCAGGGGCATTAGTACAACAATACACTGTGTATGACAGTAGGGGCATTAGTACAACAATACACTGTGTATGACAGCAGGGGCATTAGTATAACAATACACTGTGTATGACAGCAGGGGCATTAGTACAACAATACACTGTGTATGACAGCAGGGGCATTAGTACAACAATACACTGTGTATGACAGTAGGGGCATTAGTACAACAATACACTGTGTATGACAGCAGGGGCATTAGTACAACAACACACTGTGTATGACAGCAGGGGCATTAGTACAACAATACACTGTACATGGCGATAGGGGTATTAGTACAACAGTACACTGTGTATGACAGTAGGGGCATTAGTACAACAATACACTGTACATGGCGATAGGGGTATTAGTACAACAATACACTGTGTATGACAGTAGGGGCATTAGTACAACAATACACTGTGTAAGACAGCAGGGGCATTAGTACAACAATACACTGTACATGGCGATAGGGGCATTAGTACAACAATACACTGTGTATGACAGTAGGGGCATTAGTACAACAATACACTGTACATGGCGATAGGGGTATTAGTACAACAATACACTGTGTATGACAGTAGGGGCATTAGTACAACAATACACTGTGTATGACAGTAGGGGCATTAGTACAACAATACACTGTGTATGACAGTAGGGGCATTAGTACAACAATACACCGTGTATGACAGTAGGGGCATTAGTACAACAATACACTGTACATGGCGATAGGGGCAATAGTACAACAATACACTGTGTATGACAGTAGGGGCATTAGTACAACAATACTCTGTACATGGCGATAGGGGCAGTAGTATAACAATAGTTGACTGATCACACTGTACATGGCGATAAGGGCATTAGTACAACAATACACTGTACATGATAATAAGGGCATTAGTACAACAATACACTGTACATGTTAATAGGGGCATTAGTACAGCTATAGTTGGCAGATCACTCTGTAAATGACGATAGGGGCATTAGTACAACAATTATTGGCAGATTAAAGCATACATGACAATAGGCGTATTACTTCAACAGTTATTGGCAGTTGAGATCACTCACTACACAAACAATGGTACATTAGTACGAGGACTGTTAACATTCCCCACCCAGAGGCGTAGCGACCCTTCCCGGCACCCGGGGACAAACTTTTGATTTGCACCTCCCCCCCCCCCTCAAGCTTTCGATTTGCACCCCCCCCCCCTCAAACTTTCTATTTACAACCCCCTCAAACTTTCTATTTACACCCCCCCCCCTCAATATTTCGATTTGCACCCCCCTCTCAAACTTTCGATTTGCACCCCCCATCAACCTTTCAATTAATTTTTCAAACCCATTTTGACGCCCCCTAAGGTCGGCGCCTCTGTCCCCACCCACTTCTTCGTCTCATGTAAAAAAAAATGTAAGCGCAACATGCGTGTACATTGTGAGCACTAACTTGGCCTTGACTTTACCTCAAGTTCTTGATTTCTCTTCTGTGAAACAGAAACTTCTCGTTCCAGACATTCAGCACGCTGCCAAGACAAGGTTTACAGCATTAAATGGGGGGGGGGGGGTATACCAAGACATGGTTTACAGCATTAAACATTATACCAAGATAAGGTTTACTGTATTAAATGGGGGGGGGGGGTATACCAAGACATGGTTTACAGCATTAAACATTATACCAAGATAAGGTTTACATCATTAAACATTATACCAAGATAAGGTTTACATCATTAAACATTATACCAAGATAAGGTTTACATCATTAAACATTATACCAAGATAAGGTTTACCGTATTAAACATTATACCAAGATAAGGTTTACATCATTAAACGGTAGGGGGGGGTATATCAAGACATGGTTTACAGCATTAAACATTATACCAAGATAAGGTTTACATCATTAAACATTATACCAAGATAAGGTTTACATCATTAAACATTATACCAAGATAAGGTTTACCGTATTAAACATTATACCAAGATAAGGTTTACATCATTAAACGGTAGGGGGGGGGGGGTATATCAAGACATGGTTTACAGCATTAAACATTATACCAAGATAAGGTTTACTGTATTAAACATTATACCAAGATAAGGTTTACATCATTAAACATTATACCAAGATAAGGTTTACATCATTAAACATTATACCAAGATAGGGTTTACAGTATTAAACATTATACCAAGATAAGGTTTACAGTATTAAATGGGGAGGGGGTATACCAAGATAAGATTTACATCATTAAACGGTTCGGGGGGGGGGGGGAGTATACCAAGATAAGATTTACATCATTAAACGGTTAGGGGGGGGGGGTATACCAAGATAAGGTTTACATCATTAAACATTATACCAAGATAAGATTTACAGTATTAAACGGGGGGGGGGGGGGGTATACCAAGATAAGGTTTACATCATTAAACATTATACCAAGATAAGGTTTACATCATTAAACATTATACCAAGATAAGGTTTACTTCATTAAACATTATACCAAGATAAGGTTTACAGTATTAAACATTATACCAAGATAAGGTTTACATCATTAAACATTATACCAAGATAAGGTTTACAGTATTAAACATTATACCAAGATAAGGTTTACATCATTAAACGGTTAGGGGGGGGGGGGAAGTATACCAAGATAAGATTTATAGCATTAAACGGTTAGGGGGGGGGGGGAGTATACCAAGATAAGGTTTACATCATTAAACGGTTAGGGGGGGGGAGTATACCAAGATAAGATTTACAGCATTAAACGGTTAGGGGGGGGGGGGGGAGTATACCAAGACAAGGTTTACATCACTAAACGGTTAGGGGGGGGGGGGGAGTATACCAAGACAAGGTTTACATCATTAAACATTATACCAAGATAAGGTTTACAGCATTAAACGGGGGGGGGGGGGGGATACCATGATAGGATTTATAAAGAAAATTGGGTGGATATGGAGAGGCTGTAGTTAGAATTCTACTTTATCTAAGCTGTTGCAGATTTTGCATGTCTGAGGGTGGAATGGATTGGAGGGGGAAGCCTCAGTTATGCCCTACCTTAGCTAACGTGTTATACATAGTGCATGCCTCACACAGATCGGACTTGAGTTTCTCGTTGTCCAGTGTTAGTTGATTCACCTTAAAAAAAAAATACGCTTTAAAAACCAACATTGCTGCTTTTGTAAGTGTTCAAAGGGAGTTAACTGTGTTTTTAAATAGATGCATATTGGGGTTTGAAGTTGTTTCCCTTTTGGTTTGTTGTGAAATATTTTTTTCTTAATATTTTTTTTTACACACACATTTGTGTGTGTGTTGAAATAAGAAAAGAGTTGAATTAAAATTAAATTATGCCCTTGAACTTTTTTAACAATAATTTTCTCTCATATTTCGATCTTATCGATGTAAAATTTGATAAATTGGCCTCAATAGTTGAGCACAAGTTTGACAGCCGTCTGCAAGGCCAATTTGTAGCCAGTTCGTGATGTTGACATAATTTACCTCTCGCTCACAATTTTGATTCATGGCTTTGAGTTGATAAATTTCAGACGTGGCGTCACGGAGGTCAGCTTTTAGCGCGTTGACCTATAAATAGATCAACCACAACATTAATAATGGTACAAAATCTTAAAATATATCTAGACTCAAAAAAAAAATTCAACATGTTGGATTTTAAATTCATAAATATTAAACTAGCCTACTTAAAAAAAATGCCTATAAATTTCACCGGCGTTGAACTGATATAGCGACATCGTCAACAATTGTAATGGCTAGCTAGCTATGTACATCTACATGTGACTACAATGAGAAGGTAATGCTAGAAACAAAGATGTAATGCTAGAAACAATGATGTAATGCTAGAAACAAAGATGTAATGCTAGAAACAAAGATGTAATGCTAGAAACACAGATGTAATGCTAGAAACAAAGATGTAATGCTAGAAACAAAGATGTAATGCTAGAAACACAGATTTAACGCTAGAAACAAAGATGTAATGCTAGAAACACAGATGTAATGCTAGAAACACAGATGTAATGCTAGAAACAAAGATGTAATGCTAGAAACAATGATGTAATGCTAGAAACAATGATGTAATGCTAGAAACACAGATGCAATGCTAGAAACAAAGATGTAATGCTAGAAACACAGATGTAATGCTAGAAACAAAGAAGTAATGTTAGAAACAAAGATGTAATGCTAGAAACACAGATGTAATGCTAGAAACACAGATGTAATGCTAGAAACACAGATGTAATGCTAGAAACACAGATGTAATGCTAGAAACACAGATGCAATGCTAGAAACACAGATGTAACGCTAGAAACACAGATGTAACGCTAGAAACACAGATGTAACGCTAGAAACACAGATGTAATGCTAGAAACACAGATGTAACGCTAGAAACACAGATGTAATACTAGAAACACAGATGTAATGCTAGAAACACAGATGTAATGCTAGAAACAAAGATTTAATGCTAGAAACACCGATGTAATGCTAGAAACACAGATGTAATGACACGAGAGTTGCCTCCCTGCCGCTGTTACCTCTGCCTCCCGCTCAGCCAGTGCCTGACAGTTTGTCTTGCACTCGTTCTCCAAACACTGGTTGTTGTTCTCCAACACGTTGATCCTGGCGTGGGCTTGACGTAGGTCGTCGTTCAACATGAAGTTCTCGTCTTTCAGGTTGCAGATTTCGTGCTCCATGTCGCTTATCCGCATTTTAAGACCGCAGATCTACATCAACATCTCAGCATTTACCATAGTCAAAAACGGTTTGATAGAACAACACGATCAGTGCTCATTTAAATAATCTCTTTATAGTTTGGATAAAGGAATTTTTTTCCAAAGCACCAATTTCCATACATTGAAATAAAGTTAAGTTTATATATATATATATATATATATATATATATATATATATATATATATATATATATATATATATATATATATATATATATATATGCCTAAGTATAATAAAAACTCCTATTTGTTACTGAATGTTGATTCAACCAATCTGACCTAAAAGAGAACATAGATGTCATAGTGTGTTGTTATGTTTGTACAGATTCGCAATCCGTCCACAGCTATACAAATAAACGATAAGAAGAAACATCAAGAACACATAACTTCAAGATTTACACATTTTTGCTAACTTTTTGGCTAAATTGTTTTTTCAACTGGTTTTTGAAGATGTCGGTTTGATCACTACACGTTGGTCGCGTTTCATCCGTAGGTTCTCACCAGGCTTATCTTCCCCGCCCACCAGGCGCGGGGCACCCTGTACTAACACCTAGTATCCAGCTTGACCGTGAGGACGGGGGTGTTCGGACCTAAATACAGGTTAGGGACACGTTGATGCCTTCACGTATAAAGCCCGAAGCTGTATGACTTACTAACCTCATTGTTGGCACAACGAAGTTTCTCCTCCGTCTCAGCCAAATCCTCCTTGGTATAGCAAAGTTCGTTGTTCAAGTCGGTGACGTGTTGACACTTCTCCTCGAAGGCACACTTGCAGTCTTTGAGCTTCGCACAGGTGTTGGCTAAGTCATCTTCCAGACAGTTGTACTGGAGGGGGAGAAGGGGCGTGGTCATGTCACGTGATGGGTGGTGTCACGTGGTGGGTGCTGTCACGTGATGGGTAGTGTCACGTGGTGGGTGGTGTCACGTGGTGGGTGGTGTCACGTGGTGGGTGGTGGCACAAGATGGGTAGTGTCACGTGGTGGGTGGTGTCACGTGGTGGGTGGTGGCACGTGATGGGTGATGGCACGTGATGGGTGATGGCACGTGATGGGTGGTGTCAAGTGATGGGTGGTGTCACGTGATGGGTGGTGTCACGTGATAGTTGGTGTCACGTGATGGGTGGTGTCACTTGAAGTGTGGTGTCACGTGATGGATAGTGTTCGAGGAGATGCGGACGGTTGGGGGGGGGGGGGATAGAGATGCATCAAGTTAACATGGGACAGACCAATAAAAGAATGGACCATGCGTGAAAAAGGAAAGCCTTAAGAATTAAAGAGAATGCGCTCTGTGTTGCATACAAGTTAATGGATGAAGTGGTGGGTGAGACACGATGTTGTGCCGTTGTATGATGATGTTGTATGCTGATGTAACTACGAGTCCTACAAGGTTTACCTCAGTGTAAGTGTAACTATGCGAGTCGTTTACCTCAGTATCAGTGTAACTATGCGAGTCGCTTACCTCAGTATCAGTGTAATTATGCGAGTTGTTTACCTCAGTATCAGTGTAATTATGCGAGTTGTTTACCTCAGTATAAGTGTAACTATGCGAGTCGTTAACCTCGGTATAAGTGTAACTATGCGAGTCCTACAAGGTTTACCTCAGTATAAGTGTAACTATGCTACAATGTTTACCTCAGTATCAGTGTAACTATGCGAGTCGTTTACCTCAGTATAAGTGTAACTATGCGAGTCCTACAATGTTTACCTCAGTGTAACTATGCGAGTCCTTTACCTCAGTATCAGTGTAACTATACGAGTCGCTTACCTCAGTATAAGTGTAACTATGCGAGTCCTACAATGTTTACCTCAGTGTAACTATGCGAGTCGCTTACCTCAGTATAAGTGTAACTATGCGAGTCCTATAATGTTTACCTCAGTGTAACTATGCGAGTCATACAATGTTTACCTCAGTTTCAATGTAACTATGTGAGTCCTACAAGTTTTACCTCAGTATAAGTGTAATTATGCGAGTTGTTTACCTCAGTATCAGTGTAACTATGCTACAATGTTTACCTCAGTGTAACTATGCGAGTCCTCCAATGTTTACCTCAGTGTAACTATGCGAGTTGTTTACCTCAGTATCAGTGTAACTATGCTACAATGTTTACCTCAGTATCAGTGTAACTATGCGAGTCCTACAATGTTTACCTCAGTATCAGTGTAACTATGCGAGTTGTTTACCTCAGTATCAGTGTAACTATGACAGTCCTGGTAACGCTTGAAGCAGTTCTCCAGCTCCCTTTTTTCAGCCTCCACGTTGGCTAGCTGGTAGAGAGGGGAACAGATGTAACGGCAGATACTTTAAATGGACACACACCTGGATACGCACCTGGACACACACCTGGACACACACTTGTAGACACCTGGACACACACCTGGACACACACCTGGACACACACCTGGACACACACCTGGACACACACCTGGACACACACCTGGACACACCTGGACACACCTGGACACACTTGTACACACCTGGACACACACCTGGACACACACCTGGAGACACACCTGGACACACACCTTGACACACACCTGGACAAACAGTTGTACACACCTGGACAATACACACCTGGACACACACCTGGACACACACCTGGACACACACCTGGACACACACCTGGACACACACCTGGACACACACCCGGACACACACCCGGACACACACCTTGACACACACCTGGACAAACAGTTGTACACACCTGGACAATACACACCTGGACACACACCTGGACACACACCTGGACACACACCTGGACAATACACACCTGGACAATACACACCTGGACAATACACACCTGGACAATACACACCTGGACAATACACACCTGGACAATACACACCTGGACAATACACACCTGGACAATACACACCTGGACAATACACACCTGGACAATACACACCTGGACAATACACACCTGGACAATACACACCTGGACAATACACACCTGGACAATACACACCTGGACAATACACACCTGGACAATACACACCTGGACAATACACACCTGGACAATACACACCTGGACAATACACACCTGGACAATACACACCTGGACAATACACACCTGGACAATACACACCTGGACAATACACACCTGGACAATACACACCTGGACAATACACACCTGGACAATACACACCTGGACAATACACACCTGGACAATACACACCTGGACACACACCTGGACACACACCTGGACACACACCTGGACACACACCTGGACACACACCTGAACACACATGAAGGACTCACATTCTCCTCCGTGCACCTGAGTTTCTCCATGCAGCAGCCCATCTTACACTTGAGCGCCTCGACGTCCTCGTGACAGTTGCAGAGTTTTTTCTCCGTGTTCTCCAGCTCTCTGGTGACGTCACTCAGCTGGGCCTCCAGGCTGCCGGACACAGCCGGACACAGTTAGTGGCTTCATTAGTAGCAGCTACATCCCACCCCGCCAGTAGTTCTAATGTCCCCACCTACTTCACACAGTTAGTGGCTTCATTAGTAGCAGCTTACACGCATCCCACCCGCCGCCAGTAGTTCTATCTAATGTCCCCACCTACTTCAAACAGTGTGCTACACCTTCCTCCACTTCCCTCTCCACTTCACTCCGTGAACTTCACCCCCCCCCACCCCCCACTTATACTACCTATGACTCCACCTACTTCAAACAGTCCGTGTACTCCACCCACCCCCACCCCCACCTACTTCAAACAGTCCGTGTACTCCACCCACCATCACCACCACCCCCCCCCCCCCACCTACTTCAAACAGTCCGTGTACTCCACCCACCCCCACCCCCACCTACTTCAAACAGTCCGTTTACTCCACCCACCACCACCACCCACCCCCACCCCCCACCTACTTCAAACAGTTCGTGTACTCCACCCCCCCCCCCCCACCCCCACCCCCACCTACTTCAAACAGTCCGTACACTTCTGGTCCAGGGCCGAGTTGACACATTCCAAGTCCCTCATGAGTCGCTGGTTGTTTCTCTCTAAACATTCTTCCTGAAACATTAGGCACCTCTCAATACTGGGGCACAGGGCACCAATACTCTCATGGGCACAGGGCATAAGGCACCTCAATACTTTTATGTTCACAGGGGCATAAGGCACATCTTAATACTCTCATGGGCACAGGACATAAGACACCTCAATACTCTCATGGGCACAGGGCATAAGGCACCTCTCAATACTGGGGTACAGGGCACCAATACTACCATGGGCACAGGGCATAAGACACGTCGATACTCTCATGGGCACATGGTATAAGACATCCACCAATATTCTCAGCATACAACTCACACACTGATAAATACAAATAGAAAATAATAAAACCTCGAATATCCTGCAATAGACACCATGAAAGTGCATGCAATAGGCGCCCTAAACGTACCTTCAATAGTCACCCTAAAACTGCCTGCAATACGCACCACGAAAGTGCCCGTCAAGTCAATAAACCAGCCAGTATCTGTGAATCAGACAAGCTTTTCCATTGACCAACCTCTCGTGCAGGTGTACCATACCTTTTCTTCCAATCGACCCAGTTCATCTTTCATGTGTTCAATCGTGCACTCCATATTTCTCACGTTGGTTTTACAGATCTCGTATTCTGTGCGCGTGGTCTGGAGTCTGGTGGGTTAAAGACAGGAGTTTGTTTAGTCTAAAACACCAGTACATGGTGGGTTAAAGACAGGAATTTGTTTAGTCTAAAACACCAGTACACGGTGGGTTAAAGACAGGAATTTGTTTAGTCTAAAACACCAGTACACGGTGGGTTAAAGACAGGAGTTTGTTTAGTCTAAAACACCAGTAAGTGGTGGGTTAAAGACAGGAATTTGTTTAGTCTAAAACACCGGTACGTGGTGGGTTAAAGACAGGAATTTGTTTAGTCTAAAACACCGGTACGTGGTGGGTTAAAGACAGGAATTTGTTTAGTCTAAAACACCAGTACATGGTGGGTTAAAGACAGGAATGTGTTTAGTCTTCTTCTTCTTCTTCGTTCTTAATTTTTAGTGTTGGGAAGGATCCAGCCTTATCTGCAAGTGGGTTTGAACTCGAGACTTTTTTTTCGAATTTATCAACCATGAGCTTTGCCGACTCGACCATGCTTCCATCACAATTAAGGATTACGTGTCAACTGGTTATGCGCCATTGAGACCATTGACTCTGATTTCAGCCTGCTTTTCTTTTTGAATTTACTTCCATAGCCTTTGTCCAACCAAGAACAAACTACAAGGCAGCAGTTGTTTTGATTTTTGGAGTTGTCTTTCCTAGAAGAGTGGTTGTCCCCAGCTAACGAGCCTCATCTGCCCGAGGGTTCGAACTCGAGACTTTTCGGTTTAGCAACCATGAGCTTTACCGACTCGACCACGCCGACCCCTTGTTTAGTCTCAAACACCAGTACGTGATGGGTTAAAGACAGGAATTTGTTTAGTCTAAAACACCAGTACGATGTAATGATGGGTTCAAGACATCTGTTCGTGTTAACAGTGTATGCAGTTGTCCTTAAGTATTGATTTGTATACTGTTTTCTTTTAACCAAGCCCATGTTCTCATATTTGGTGGTACTAATTCAGCGTTTACGTGTTCTATTAGAAAACATATGTAATTGCGTACATGTTCTAAAATAAAAACCACGTGAAATTGCTTACATGTTCTATTACTAAAAGGCGTGCAATTGCTTAGATGTTCTATAAACAAAAGGCATGTAACTGCTTACATGCTCTATGAATAAAAGGCGTGTAATTGCTTACATTTTCTAATATAAAAACCGCGTATAAATGCTTACAGATTATAGTACCAAAAGGCGTGTAATTGCTTACATGTTCTATTACCAAAAGCATGTAATTGCTTACAGTTTCTCGTACTGCTCATTCTCACACGAGCAGCACTTGAGTTGCTCCTCCAGCTGGCAGATCTTGGTGTGGGCCTTGTTGATTAGACACTGCTGCTCCGTCACAGACTCGCTCAAGATACGGTTCTGTTAGACAGACAGACAGACATACAGACAGACTCACTCAAGATACGGTTCTGTAAGACAGACAGACAGACATACAGACAGACAGACAGGCAGACAGACTCACTCAAGATACGGTTCTGTTAGACAGACAGACAGACATACAGACAGACAGACAGACAGATTCACTCAAGATACGGTTCTGTAAGACAGACAGACAGACAGACGTACAGACAGACTCACTCAAGATACGGTTCTGTAAGACAGACAGACAGACAGACAGACATACAGACTCACTCAAGATACGGTTCTGTAAGACAGACAGACAGACAGACAGACTCAAGATAAGGATCTGTAAGAGAGACAGACAGACATACAGACAGACAGACTCACTCAAGATACGGTTCTGTAAGACAGACAGACAGACAGACGTACAGACAGACTCACTCAAGATACGGTTCTGTAAGACAGACAGACAGACTCAAGATACGGTTCTGTAAGACAGACAGACAGACTCAAGATACGGTTCTGTAACCAGACAGACAGACAGACGTACAGACAGACAGACTCAAGATACGGTTCTGTAAGACAGACAGACAGACAGACAGACAGACTGACTCAAGATACGGCTCTGTAAGACAGACAGACAGACAGACTCAAGATACGGTTCTGTAAGACAGACTCAAGATACGGTTCTGTAAGACAGACAGACAAACAGACAGACTCAAGATACGGTTCTGTAAGACAGACTCAAGATACGGTTCTGTAAGACAGACAGACAGACTGACTCGCTCAAGATACGGTTCTGTAGACAGACAGACAGACAGACTCGCTCAAGATACGGTTCTGTAAGACAGACAGACAGACTCACTCAAGATTTATGACTAAATTCTAGACATGTAAAGAATATAACTAAAAGTTTATCAAAATGAAGAAAATAACAAAAATACAGACGCGAAGAATAGAACAAAATGTAGACAACAATGAAGGGAAAAACTCAAGTTACCTCTTTCTGTATCTCCTCGTAGAGTCTCTGGACTCGGCAGATTTCGTTTCTTAGGGCAGAAATTTCACAATTAAAAGCCGTGTTGTTCTCGCGTTCTATGTCCAGTTCCTCTGATGCTTGGTTGTAGGACTCCTTCAGCTTCTGAATCTGCTGAATCTTCTGTCTCTCTCTGTAATTCAGGTCTTCCTGTGGGATAGAGGGAAACTGGTACAACTTCTGTACATAACACTACCTTCACTAGATCAATTGTTCATTCTAATTGACCCACTTATTATTCAAACGTTTGAGTGGTTTTTAAAATATTACCTAGAAAGGACAACATTTTTATAACGTCACTATTTTCATTAACAAGCACTTGGCTAAACGAATTAAGGCAAAGATGTATAGACCTAGAAACTAAACAACCTAGACGTGTAGGAAACACGTTTGGAAAGAACCGGAAGGGGCGTTACCTTTGCTTGCGTAACCTCCTCCACCATCTGTATCAACATCTCGTTCTGCTCATTTAGGTCCTTGACGTACGCCTCCAGTAGTTGGATGCGCATCTGTTCAAATACCGGGTCACAGGTGTCAACAAGTATAACAAACATGTCAACAAGTATAACAAACATGTCAGCAAGTATAACAAACATGTCAACAAGTATAACAAACATGTCAGCAAGTATAACAAACATGTCAACAAGTATAACAAACATGTCAACAAGTATGACAAAACATGTCAACAAGTATAACAAACATGTCAACAAGTATGACAAAACATGTCAACAAGTATAACAAACATGTCAAAAGTATAACAGACATGTCAACAAGTATAACAAACATGTCAACAAGTATGACAAACATGTCAACAAGTATAACAAACATGTCAACAAGTATGACAAAACATGTCAACAAGTATGACAAAACATGTCAACAAGTATAACAAACATGTCAGCAAGTATAACAAACATGTCAACAAGTATAACAAACATGTCAGCAAGTATAACAAACATGTCAACAAGTATAACAAACATGTCAACAAGTATGACAAAACATGTCAACAAGTATAACAAACATGTCAACAAGTATGACAAAACATGTCAACAAGTATAACAAACATGTCAACAAGTATAACAAACATGTCATCAAGTATAACAAACATGTACAACTTGTGACGTATGTTAACGAATCGACAATCTTTCAGCATTTTTGTCACACAATTTTTTCTACTATCTAGACTGAAATCGCTTTTTATGTAAAAAAAAAAAAAACTTTCTCTTATCTAACAGTACTACCTAACTATGTATAAAACTTTGATTATTTATCAGTAGTGTAATTAATGCTATTATTAATTTAATAAATTTTAATTAACCGTAATTGGCTACTCAGCATTTTAGCATCTGCTGATGCTGCTCTGTAAATATACAATAGAGATAAATCAACAGAGATGGAAACTGCTAACACCATTATCTTTTATTATAATTTCTTTTGATGTGTAGTGAAATCACTTAGGTTAAGATTCATAGTTACGTTCAGATAAACATAAGACTGGTTTACGAGCGCACACACACAGCACAGCATACAACACCACATTCAAGTTCCCCATATAAATTAGACCACACCTCCCTCACATTCCCCTAACGCTAAACAGTTCCATGATCGCCAAAAGGCGATCTGCTGTACATAAAGCCCTATCAACTACGCTATCATACAAGTCCCAGCACCCTGTGACTACGGCTATCATACAAGTCCCAGCACCCTGTGACTACGGCTATCATACAAGTCCCAGCAATTGACTAAGGCTATCATACAAGTCCCAGCACCCTGTGACTACGGCTATCATACAAGTCCCAGCAATTGACTAAGGCTATCATACAAGTCCCAGCACCCTGTGACTACGGCTATCATACAAGTCCCAGCAATTGACTAAGGCTATCATACAAGTCCCAGCACCCTGTGACTACGGCTATCATACAAGTCCCAGCAATTGACTAAGGCTATCATACAAGTCCCAGCACCCTGTGACTACGGCTATCATACAAGTCCCAGCAATTGACTAAGGCTATCATTCAAGTCCCAGCACCCTGTGACTACGGCTATCATACAAGTCCCAGCAATTGACTACGGCTATCATACAAGTCCCAGCACCCTGTGACTACGGCTATCATACAAGTCCCAGCAATTGACTAAGGCTATCATACAAGTCCCAGCACCCTGTGACTACGGCTATCATACAAGTCCCAGCAATTGACTAAGGCTATCATTCAAGTCCCAGCACCCTGTGACTACGGCTATCATACAAGTCCCAGCACCCTGTGACTACGGCTATCATACAAGTCCCAGCACCCTGTGACTACGGCTATCATACAAGTCCCAGCACCCTGTGACTACGGCTATCATACAAGTCCCAGCAATTGACTAAGGCTATCATTCAAGTCCCAGCACCCTGTGACTACGGCTATCATACAAGTCCCAGCACCCTGTGACTACGGCTATCTTACAAGTCCCAGCACCCTGTGACTACGGCTATCATACAAGTCCCAGCACCCTGTGACTACGGCTATCATACAAGTCCCAGCACCCTGTGACTACGGCTATCATACAAGTCCCAGCACCCTGTGACTACGGCTATCATACAAGTCCCAGCACCCTGTGACTACGGCTATCATACAAGTCCCAGCACCCTGTGACTACGGCTATCTTACAAGTCCCAGCACCCTGTAACTACGGCTATCATACAAGTCCCAGCACCCTTCCAGCACCCTGTGACTACGGCTATCATACAAGTCCCAGCAATTGACTAAGGCTATCATTCAAGTCCCAGCACCCTGTGACTACGGCTATCATACAAGTCCCAGCACCCTGTGACTACGGCTATCATACAAGTCCCAGCACCCTGTGACTACGGCTATCATACAAGTCCCAGCACCCTGTGACTACGGCTATGATACAAGTCCCAGCACCCTGTGACTACGGCTATCATACAAGTCCCAGCACCCTGTGACTACGGCTATCATACAAGTCCCAGCACCCTGTGACTACGGCTATCATACAAGTCCCAGCACCCTGTGACTACGGCTATCATACAAGTCCCAGCACCCTGTGACAACATCTATCATACAAGTCCCAGCACTGGATGTCACCATCTTACCCTAGTTGTGTCCTTGCCTGCGCAGTCCGCGGCGTCGAGCTTCATGAACTGTTTCTTGTAGAGGGAGGTTAACTCCCCTCTTAAGCTCTCCATTTTGTGTGTAGTTTGTACAAGTATTCCAAAATTGGGTTTACAATTTTTGAAATATTTAACGCTTACCCCCAGAAACTAGGCAATCTACACATTTCACTTTTTTAAACACTTCACAAAAAACGAGTTTATTTGAATGGCCAATGTTATATTGCGTTTAAAATTATACCCAACTTTAACTATTGGAAGGTTAATTACACGAAATTTTAATTAACACCTAAAAAGAAAATACGCCAACCTTCTAAATATCTAAGTTTTAAATGTGTTTAATATTTTGGCCTCTACATTAGCTTCGAGCCTATTGCTGAAGCTAGTCAGGTTCAAAATATTCGAGGGTAGTCATAACATTGGCTGAACTAGAGGAACAACCCTCCCTTGACCTAGCATGCGCGTGTTGAGAGAAAACCAAACTGAAAAGTGACATTTTCGGTCACTTTCAGGTTTGTGGGGTGGAATTTGAAAACCATTGGATGTTTGAGGCTGACGCTTGAAAGAAATTAAACGCAAACTCCGGAGTGTTGTGATGTCAAAGCCAGTTCTGAGATGCCAGGATAATGACAATCCGCAAAGTGACTTGGGTGTGTTCACAGGAAGTGCTACACATCCCATAATGAACGCGTACTCTGGCGCGAAATGTTTTCAGGATCTTCCCGACTTGCAGTGAATGTAAATTTTTCTTGTTACTTATTTAAAATACAGGTTTAAACTCTTATTTATTGTAAATGTTTCAACCAAATAATTTCGTCTGATTTAAAAATCAGATTTTTAAGGTAGTCAATGTTGTTCTACTCACTGGAAAATGTCAGTCATTGTACTAGAGAAATTGCAAGCGAGAGTATCAGTTTATTGTTTAAGCCCTAAATGTATTTCTGTAATAGCAGAAACTGTCCTTACTGCCGTAACTTTCTTGCTAGATCTTATAGTATTGTTCTTCTATTCGTGACCGTTTTCATTTATTTGTAAATAACGCTGTTTGTTTTTCAAATACAATAAATCAAAATAAAAACAAATTAGAATATTTTTTAAATAATTATAAGTGTAATTAGCACGAGTTAACAGAGTAATTTTAAAAAAATAATGATCAAGGCTATATAATTTCCACTACATACACAAATATAAACTCAAATTACAATAGATAATGATGATCAGACTTCATTAATTATAGAAACACAACTGTTAGCTGCTTTTTATCGAAGTGTACAATAAAATGTTATCAACCCCTCAAAATTCCACGGTCTGCCACAATTTTAGTAAAGGTAGCAGTAGAGTTCCTCGTCGTCCTTGACCGTGCAGGGTCGCTGAAGTCGACCTTGAACAAGCCGAACTTGGGCCTGTAGCCAGCGGTCCACTCAAAACTGTCGGTAAGTGATCGATAGGTGTAGGCCTTGACGTCACTTCCGTCTAGACGGACGGCTGGAATAAAAGTGGTTGCTAATGGGTTAACATTTGGACGAACATCTTACCTAAAGATTAATGTTACCTCATTAAAACTGAGTAAAAATTAAGTCTTCAGAAAACATTGCATAGGTTATCCGTTTATGACTTGGTAGCATAATTTGTTTTTAGGCGAATCCAATGTGATATATCATGTATTTTCTAATTGATAAAGTTAAATTTAAAAAACAAACTTCTGTAAAGTCTTGTCCTGTAAGCTGAATAATGTTATAAAATCTCAAATTTAAGGTACGATTATAAAATCTAAAAGTTAATGTAGACTATCAGTAAGTAGAAAAATAATTAATATATATTTTGAAGTTACAAAAGTGAATGTAGCCTACGTTCGTTTTAAACTTTAAAATTTTAAAAAATTTATTTCAGTAAGTTTTATAATGGCAAGCTTAAATTTGCCCCCCCCCCCCCCCCCCCAAAAAAAAAAAAAAGAAGTTTTCTTTCTTAATAGCTAAGACTAAATTCATTGTTTCGTTGTTGTCAGAGAGATTTTGCAAAAATCCAAGGCAAAAACTATTTGTGGGGAGAAAAGTCGGCGCCATAAAATAAATACATTTTCCATTCCACTCGTTTTTAATAAAGTCGACACCGCCCACGACAAAAAACCTTGCTTTAAAAACGGATGTGTAGTTTAAGATATATTATAACTAACCAACAATTATCTTCAAAATCTGAGCTTCTCACTCGAGTTGTAAACATAAATGGTGATCACCAGCTCACCTGACTTATCGAGAGTCAGCTATTAGCTCTAGTCATTTCTCATTTGTAAATGAAAATAGTTAAATTAAAATTTATTTTTTGAAGAGTAATTTAGTTAGATTAAAAATTAGCTATTCTCGCATTGCCAGCGGAGATATTGGTTGCTTATCCATACAGTTTGAAAGAAATCGCTCAATAAAAAAATGGTCTAAACTAAGTGGCCACCATTGCGACCTAAGACAAGCTTGAAGACGAGTATACGTCTTGACTAGTCAGACGAAACATCAACTCACCTTTGAGTACCTCGTCCACGTGCTGACGTATGAAATCAGACCTGAAACTGTCGTTCAGATCCCCAGCCTCGTCCTTGACCCCATTTCCTGTGACCATGACCTGGATGTTGTTGTACCGTCGTCTGATGGCGCCCAGTACAGCCCGCAGTCCCTGTGGATTCGATCTGTTAGGGCTGGGGTAATCGGTCAGAGCGAGTACTCCTTCCTCTGTAACGTTAGCATCTCTGCCCACAGATTTTGTATTGTAGTAATCGAGTCCGAAGAAGTCGGCGCTCCCTATGTTAAAGTAAAATAAAAGGCAACCCTAAGGTTAGGAATGTCGTTTATCGAATGGAGATTTACTTTATAAATGTGTGTATTTTATTGATGAGTATAAATCTTTAAAATTAGTCGTATTACAATATTTTTTATGTGATTTTCTACCACTAATGTAATGAGTGTATTTATATTGCTATAGAATTGTGTTGAACTTCAACAAGCAATGTTTGAACATTCTGGTGCAAACAGCAAACGACTACCTTGAATATTAGACAACAGAAGCTCACCTTATTAGACAATTAGACAACACAACCACTTCTTTAGATATTAGACCACACAACCCACCTTGAACAAGCTCTTGTTCTGACGCCGACAATGGAACCAAGTCTTGTCCAGCTGTGACTTTGACCTCATCAGAAAAGTCGCCGCTGCCAAAGATGGGGTCAGCAAAAAGCCCAAAGCTGTACTCTGTGACCCGCTCGGCTGACCGGGCGTGGCTGGGGTCTCTGGGATTGTTTGGACTGGCCAGTATTGGTGCCAGAGAGATGCCCACAAATCCTGGGGGTACAGGTATGAAAGAAGATCTCAGTCTTATTCGTTTAATTGTTTTTCTACCTAACTGATCATCTTGTACGAGCTGACCCGCGACGTAGCATACGCCGCTATTGAGTTTAATTCCTATTTTTAGTAATTCATAACTTGTGAATTCGACACTACCAATGCTGTGACTGTAAGTATTTTGCTTTAAAACACTATCAGTAGCTAGTAAAGGACGATTATCCTCACCCTCACTTTTCATCCTCTTCCTACCCCCCCCCCCTTCGCCACCGTCAAAGCAGCCGTATGTGACGACAGTTTACAGACGACAATGAAAAGGTCAAGCAGAACATGTTATTACCTCCCCTTAATTTCAAATCGTTTAAAAACTAAATTATCTGTCCCTAATAGCCGTAACTACTATTGTCAACAGCTCACCAGACTGGTGGGGGTGGTAGCGATATGGTCCGTTGAGCTTACGTCTTGCTGGTGTCTCGCATGGTCCCCACGTAGAGAATTATATATATATAGATACACAATCTAACGTTTTTGTATAAACGGATATACAAACAAAATGTCTATTTATATCTGTATCATTCAAGTGAGCAGTCGTGATACCAAAGGACCATCACCTTTTTGCTCAGCTTTAAACTCCGTCTCGTACAGCCTGTATGCACGTGCGTGAGCGAGCAAGACGTTTTTGTAGACCTTGTACCTGTCCTGCTCCTGACCCGCAGGTAACAGGGACGGCAGGTTTTCTGGCAGGGAAAAGGTCGACCAGTAAAATACCTGTCGGACAAAAATATTAAAATAAAAATTTCACGAATTGGATGTTGTAATCTAGTGAAGATAATGAAAAAAAGGTCGATGTTAAATTATTGATTTACCTTCGTCCCAAACTGTTCGAAACAGACCCGGGCTAGGTAAAGATATTCATCGACCATTGCAGGCTCCCACCAGCCGGTTTTCTGGGGATGTTAAGTTGTGAGGTAAAATACATTCTTCATAGATTGGCAAAGTTGGATGACAATCGAATATTTCTCTAATGTGTTGAAGTAATATTTCTAACAAGATGATTTTTTTGGGGATTGACTATAGTAGCAATAAATAAAGCATTGATTCAGCTATGGCTGTCTACACGTAGACCACAGAGGACCTCGAGTCCTTGAAACAAGCTGACCGTACCGATATTATAGCGTTATTGCTGATTTTACCAAATCTTCTGGTCACTAGGTGAATTGTCAACCTGGATTTTCTTGTCGATGTTTGGAATAGACTTCACTCACATATATGGTGTTTAAACATAATATCAAAGCACTAATTTTAAGGGAAAATGGTGTTTTAACATAATATTAAAGCACTAATTTTAAGAGTAATTTTAAGCATATATAAATGCTATTTTTTTACTTTAATAATTAAACCTTGATTATTTGAAGTTTTTCGCACTTAACACAAAAAGAATTATCGCTAGACTGACCTTGACCTCAGCGGTGATTTAATAGTTTCGCTTGACTGACATTGAGCTGCCTGAGGAAGTTTTTTGCTGGACTGACCTTGACCCCAATCGTGGTTTATTTTAGCTGGACTGCCCTTGACCTCAGTCGTGGTTTTATTTGAGCTAGATTGACCTTGACCCCCAGTCGTGGTTTTATTTTAGCTAGACTGACCTTGACCTCAGTCGTGGTTTTATTTTAGCTAGACTGACCTTGACCTCAGTCGTGGTTTTATTTTAGCTGGGCTGGCCTTGACCCCAGTCGTGGTTTAATTTTAGCTAGACTGACCTTGACCCCAGTCGTGGTTTTATTTTAGCTGGACTGACCTGGAAGAGAGCCGGGTAATCCCATTGGTTGATGACGACAGCAGGCACTAGACCAGCGTCCAGCAGCTGGTCAATGAGCGTGTGGTAATAGTTGATGCCAGACTGGCTTACACCTCCAGCACTTCCGGTTGGCAGGACACGTGACCAGGTGATTGGGAAGTAAAAGTGGTTGGCCTGTAGGGAAGTAAAAGTGGCTGTGAGAATACTCTTGAGGGACATTAGTTGGATACACCTGACATTACCTGGATACATCTGACATTACCTGGATACACCAGGCATTACCTGAATACTCCTGAGCGACATTATATCCCTGGAGATCTGAGCACTGACGTCCAAGACTGAAGGCACCAGACTTGTCGTGTTGAGGAGAAGATCCACGACACTGGTCCCACGATCTGTTGGAGAAATAATATAATTCAGCAAACTTTTAAAAATAAGTTCACACTAGCCTTTAGTCTGGTCACTTGTTCACCTCGTCTGAATCTAAATGAAAACTCACCTAAACATGTTGACAACTTATTCAAATGATAATCAGAAAACACAAACTAAACAATCAAATTAACCCCCAACTAAAACTTAATCCTATAAAGAGGCGTTAGTGAAACCTATCACACGCTCACATCTGAAGCCCACTTAATAGTTTCGGCCTCGTGTAAAATTGTGTACAGACTATTAATTATTTAGGGGCTTAATTAATAACCTTAACACCACGGCTAGCGTAAACCAAACCTACAGCGTTGGCCTCTACCTTAACTTAAACTTCTAATGTACAAGTAAAAGTAAATAGATAGACACTAGTGTTGTCTATTTTAAAAAGCGTCTAATTATTTTACAGGTTTATTGATATTTTAAACATTTAAAGACAAAAACCGAATTGACATTTTAGAAGAAAATGTACTTGTTCAAGAAGATTGTAATTCACGGGTGTGGGCTGAAGTAAGCGGATTTCGGGAAGTGTGAATGTCACATACCTTGTAGGTCAAGTTTTACAATATACAACTGAGGCTACTGATGTATCAGTCGTACAACATACAACTGAGTCTACTGATGTATCAGTTCTATCAACATACCCATAAAACTGAGGCTACTGATGTATCAGTCGTACAACATACAACTGAATCTACTGATGTCTCAGTCTTACAACATACAACTGAGTCTACTGGTGTTTCAGTTCTATCAACATACAACTGAGACTACTGATGTATCAGTTGTATCAACATACCCATACAACTGAGGCTACTGATGTATCAGTCTTACAACATACAACTGAGTCTACTGATGTATCAGTTCTATCATCATACAACTGAGGCTACTAATGTATCAGTTCTATCAACATACAACTGAGACTACTGATGTATCAGTTCTATCAACATACAACTGAGTCTACTGATGTTTCAGTTCTATCAACATACAACTGAGACTACTGATGTATCAGTTCTATCAACATACAACTGAGACTACTGATGTATCAGTCGTACAACATACAACTGAGACTACTGATGTATCAGTTGTATCAACATACCGTGGTTGTTGATCTCCCCTTGTACGTCAAACCCCACTGCTGACACACCAAAAGAAAAGGCATCAGGAAACTGGCCGTAGTAGACGTCATTCTCATAGAGAGGTCCAGCTCTAGTCTTAGGGTCGGTTGGGGTTCCTTCTATAAAGCCGTTCTGTCTGGAGGGGGTTACAGCAATGGAAAGTGGAGATTTTAAACATGAATGGCCTAAACTTGTTCACGGTAAAGAAAAAAAGCTTCAGAAATAGAATGTCTGTTAGATAACTTTTCGAACTGTTATATGAAAGAAGAACAATGGGAAAAGAATATGCAGCTATTAACGTTTGCCTGTGGAGCAGTAAATGAAACATATGGATGAACTCATTAGAACTGCGTTACAAAATCATCTCTACAGTTATGAGAATTCAATTATAAAAGCTAATTTATACACGAGTAAAAAGTTACTTGACAGTTATAGAGACACCTGTTTCGTCCGGCTAACTGGTCTGTGTGAACACAGACTAACCTCTACATTAATAAATTACTCACCTATCAAGTCACTGGCATTCATCCATAAGACATTGAGACTAATTTATACAGGCAGTACATCACCTGTACAGACACTAACTCACCTGTACAGACACTAACTCACCTGTACAGACACTAACTCACCTGTACAGACACTAACTTACCTGTAAAGACACTAACTTACCTGTAAAGACACTAACTTACCTGTACAGACACTAACTCACCTGTACAGACACTAACTCACCTGTACAGACACTAACTCACCTGTACAGACACTAACTCACCTGTACAGACACTAACTCACCTGTAAAGACACTAACTTACCTGTACAGACACTAACTCACCTGTACAGACACTAACTCACCTGTACAGACACTAACTCACCTGTACAGACACTAACTCACCTGTAAAGACACTAACTTACCTGTAAAGACACTAACTTACCTGTAAAGACACTAACTTACCTGTAAAGACACTAACTCACCTGTAAAGACACTAACTTACCTGTAAAGACACTAACTCACCTGTAAAGACACTAACTCACCTGTAAAGAAACAAGACTCACCTGTAAAGTGAAAAAGACTCAACTGTAAAGACACTAAGACTCACCTGTAAAGAAACAAAGACTCACCCGTAAAGAAACAAAGACTCACCTGTAAAGACACTAAGACTCACCTGTAAAGACACCAAGACTCACCTGTAAAGACACTAAGACTCACCTGTAAAGACACTAAGACTCACCTATAGAGACACTAAGACTCACCTGTACAGACACTAAGACTCACCTGTAACGACACTAAGACTCACCTGTAAAGACACTAAGACTCACCTATAAAGACACTAAGACTCACCTGTAAAGACACTAAGACTCACCTGTAAAGACACTAAGACTCACCTGTAAAGACACTAAGACTCACCTATAGAGACACTAAGACTCACCTGTACAGACACTAAGACTCACCTGTAAAGACACTAAGACTCACCTGTAAAGACACTAAGACTCACCTGTAAAGCTCATACAAATAGCGAGCTGATGTTTTGGGTCTCCGTGTTCTGTTGGGGTGGTTAAAATCCACCTGATAGACGCCAAACTTGACGGAGTATCCAATCGACCACTCGAAGTTGTCCAGAAGTGACCAAGTGAAGTAGCCTTTCACGTTTACTTTGTCCAGTACGATAGCTGAACAGAACACAATCAATACATTATGTATATTATGACACTTATACTGTAAATATTTCTTATAGTCTATGAATTAGAATATAGTGCTTATAATATGTGTCCGTAATATCAATGTAAGTAATCATATTCTACTATTGTTAGACAATAAAGTAACTGAGAGGCGGAGAAGTACACCCGGATCCCGTTTGGCTCTACTGTTCTGTCTTTATAATGACTACTTTCTGAACCTTTGCCTACCTATGGCGTCAAAAACACTATCTCTAATATTGCTAGGTAGATAGAGACACAAACACTGGTAGACTTATGGGATACACAGGTAGACTTATAACATAGGCTACAGGTAGACTTATACCATAAGCTGCACAGGTAGACTTATGGGCCACATAGGTAGACTTATACCATAGGCTACACATGTAGACTTATACCATAAGCTGCACAGGTAGACGTATGGGCTAGACAGGTAGACTTATGGGCTAGACAGGTAGACTTATACCATAAGCTGCACAGGTAGACTTATGGGCCACATAGGTAGACTTATACCATAGGCTACACAGGTAGACTTATGGGCTACACAGGTAGACTTATGGGCTAGACAGGTAGACTTATGGGCTAGACAGGTAGACTTATACCATAGACTACACAGGTAGACTTACAGGCTACACAGGTAGACTTATACCATAGGCTACACGGGTAGACTTATACTATAGACTACACAGGTAGACTTATGGGCTACACAGGTAGACTAAGGGGCTAGATAGGTAGACTTATACCATAGGCTACACAGATAGACTTATGGGCTAGACATATAGACGTACCTTTGAGAACGTTGTTGATATAATCCTGTAAATAGAGCACACGACTTATGGGCTAGACAGATAGACTTATGAGCTGCACATATTGACTTACCTTTGAGAACGTTGTTGATATAATCCTGTAAATAGAGCACACGATGGGGGTCGTCTAACGTGCCGTTATCGTCACTGATACCGTTTTCTGTGATGTAGATGGGGATGTCGCCGTATTCCCTTCTTATCCAGTTCAGAACTTTCCTCAGGCCAATCGGGTTGACCCAGGCATATGGCCAGTACGGACTGAAAATAAAACAAATCAAAACTTTCAGATTGTTATCGAATGTAATTTGTGAATAGAAATCTGCAATCAATTATATCTATCATCGGATCTGCAATTTAAAAAAAAAAAGTCACTAGTTACTTTTTGATACTGCAAGTTCTCTAGCTAATAATCAAAGAAAGCAAACGTGAGCGTACGTCTGCCATGCTGGGTTCTTATAATCGCTGACTTTCTGGTCGCCGAAATAGCCAGGCTCGCCGCCAGTAGATTCGTAGGCCACGTTACTGGAGTAGTGGTTTAACCCTAGGAAGTCGGACGTACCTGGGGAAGGGTGCTGGGTTACTTGTGTTTCAATTGGCATTGATATTTTATAAAACAAAAACACTAAATGGCTGGAGCACACTAGAAACTCTGACAAGAAAAAAAATAAACTTTCTAACAGAGCTTGGGTCTATTTAACCTAACCCTTATAACATTACTACTACAAGTATTGAATAAAATTATTAACCTAACCCTTATAACATTACTACTACAAGTATTGTATAAAATTATTAACCTAACACTTATAACTGCAAGTATTCAATAAAATTAAAACAAGTTAATCATTTTTCGATTCAGATTTAACTTGAGATTTTCTTTTAATAGAACATCAAGAGCTTAACAAAGTAAATATTATTTTTTAAAAGAGCTTAATTTTCCTGAAAAATCTGTTGGCAATACAACTTTAAGAGCTTAACAACAGTAAATATTATTTTTAAAAGAGCTTAATTTTCCTGAAAAATCTGCTGTCAATTAGTTCCTCTGGAACATTCCACAAAAAACAGGTACTAAATAACCTTGACCTTACCCTTGATTCTAAGTTTTTCCTCCGGTGTGAACTCCGGCAGCCTGGAGGTGGCCAGACCTTCTTCAAGACTGGCGTTTAGAACGTAGGCTTTCATCACATCCGGGTAGTCGCCACTGACCAGGATGGGGTGGGCGTGCCAGCCCATCCAGAACTGGAGTTTCCGGTCTGACGCCTCGATGTCCTGCTCCACGGTCACGTCACGTGGTTCAAACCACTCGCAGTTCAAGGTGATGCCAACCTGACCTAGTGCATGGCAAACACTTACACAATTACAATTAAGTTTAGAGATCACATCAAGTGTCTACTTATATAAACAGTGTTTCTTCCAGACTTTTTTCTCCGTGGGGGTGGGGGATGGGCAGGGGCGTAGCGAGAAGGGGGGGCGGGGGTGCGGACCGCACCGGGTGACACCATTTAGGGGGGTGACACCAAGGTAAAAAATAGCAAAATATATAGAGAAAAACTTGAGGGGGGGGGGGGTGCAAATCGAAAATTTGAAAGTTTGTCCCCGGGAAGGGTCGCTACGCCTCTGGGGGGGGGGGGGTGACACCATTAAGTGCCGCACAGGGTGACACCCGACCCCGCTACGCCACTGAGGATGGGCACTTGATATTTTCGGGGCGGACACTGATAAAAGTATACATTTTCGATGTAAATACCATATCGTTCGGGTGGGGAGCGGTTGACTTCTTTCACGGTGGGGGGGGGGGGGGCGCTTAGCCCTCTCTGGGATGCCTGGAAGAAATTATGTATGTAAAGACAGCTTATAAGATTCAAAGTAACCGTAAGAATAAAGCCGAATTGAACTTAAACCCAGTTGGTGGGTCAGTGTAAAGAGTATGCTAAATAATCTATATATATAATTCTCTTCTTGGAGACCCTAGAAAACAAGCCGTAAGCGCGCCTTGCAGTCCCCTATCTTCTTCACTAGGCATAAATCAACCTCCCCCACCCCTACATGGTCTGGTGAGCTGTGGTTCACGCTAAATGTTTACAAACTTACAGCCGGGATTAGTGACGCCAATTAGGGGCAGATAATTTAGTTTGAAACTACTTTAGACTTAGGGGAGGTAATTAAGAGGAGGCTGCTTTCACGGGGTGTAGGGTAGGGGTTGGGGGAAAGAAGGGTGGGGTTAGTATCGTCCTTAACGACCCACTGATAGTGTTTTAAAGCAAATATATTCAGTGGCAGCGTTGGTACTGTCGAATTCACAAATTATGAATTACTGAAAAGTAGAAAATAAAACAACTAAAAAGCGGCGTATGATATGCCGCGGGTCGGCCCGTACAAAATATTTTAACCAATTGATATGAGAGTTCCTAGCCAATCTAATCACTCAGTTTGTATGGGGAAGGAACCTAAGCAGTCATTGTCAATTTTGTTTTGTTTTAAGGTTTCTACCCAGACAGTAGACAGAGGGAAATCTAAAAGAATGCGAATGGCTTTAAAGCATTGCTATTTTTTAACGCTTTGTTTACTAATCTATTTATTTATTATCCCTATGAGGTTCGCGCTAGAAAGAAACCCCCCTCATAATTATTCAGATAAAATGAATTACTGGTTTTGTCTCCCAATCAATCAAAAACAAAAGGGGTGTGCGGAAGGAATATCCACACAACTGCGACGCATACACAAGGATCTGCTCTGTTGGTATAACTATGACACAAAATTATGATACAAATTTGTCAGATAGTGGCAACAAACCTTTCTGTGTATCCTTGAACTTATCTTGATACAAATGATAAGCTTCAGCGTGGGCTTTGATTACGTAATGTGACGCCTTGTACGGGTTGTTCCTGATGTCTTTAATGCCAGGGGCGTCGTTGCCTTGTCCGTAGCCGAACAGGGTGAAGACCCAAGGCTCGTTAAACGTTATCCACATTTTTACCTAGAGAAATCAAAATCGCAAAATGATCAATATCAGTTCTCCTAATATAAATTCCTGCGTTATGTATCCCCCCCCCCCCATTTCCCCGTCTCGTATGGTCTGGTACCTGGTCTCCAAACTGTGTGTAGCAGAGCTCAGCGTAATCTTTGAACCAGCCGACAACGTCTGGGTTTAACCATCCGCCTTTGTCTTGGAGGCCTTGGGGTAGGTCCCAGTGGTACATGGTGACTAGAGGCTCCACCCCTGTCAGATATAAAGTGGTACATGGTCACTACAGGCTCCACCCCTGTCAGATATAAAGTGGTACATGGTGACTAGAGTCTCCACCCCTGTCAGATATAAAGTGGTACATGGTGACTAGAGGCTCCACCCCTGTCACTAGAGGCTCCACCCCTGTCAGATATAAAGTGGTACATGGTGACCAGAGGCTCCACCCCTGTCACCAGAGGCTCCACCCCTGTCAGATATAAAGTGGTACATGGTGACTAGAGGCTCCACCCCTGTCACTAGAGGCTCCACCCCTGTCAGATATATAGTGGTACATGGTGACTAGAGGCTCCACCCCTGTCAGATATAAAGTGGTACATGGTCACTAGAGGCTCCACCCCTGTCAGATATAAAGTGGTACATGGTGACTAGAGGCTCCACCCCTGTCACTAGAGGCTCCACCCCTGTCAGATATAAAGTGGTACATGGTGACTAGAGGCTCCACCCCTGTCAGATATAAAGTGGTACATGGTCACTAGAGGCTCCACCCCTGTCAGATATAAAGTGGTACATGGTCACTAGAGGCTCCACCCCTGTCAGATATAAAGTGGTACATGGTGACTAGAGGCTCCACCCCTGTCACTAGAGGCTCCACCCCTGTCAGATATAAAGTGGTACATGGTGACTAGAGGCTCCACCCCTGTCACCAGAGGCTCCACCCCTGTCAGATATAAAGTGGTACATGGTGACTAGAGGCTCCACCCCTGTCTCTAGAGGCTCCACCCCTGTCACATATAAAGTGGTACATGGTCACTAGAGGCTCCACCCCTGTCAGATATAAAGTGGTACATGGTCACTAGAGGCTCCACCCCTGTCAGATATAAAGTGGTACATGGTCACCAGAGGCTCCACCCCTGTCAGATATAAAGTGGTACATGGTGACTAGAGGCTCCACCCCTGTCAGATATAAAGTGGTACATGGTGACTAGAGGCTCCACCCCTGTCAGATATAAAGTGGTACATGGTCACTAGAGGTTCCACCCCTGTCAGATATAAAGTGGTACATGGTCACTAGAGGCTCCACCCCTGTCAGATATAAAGTGGTACATGGTGACTAGAGGCTCCACCCCTGTCAGATATAAAGTGGTACATGGTCACTAGAGGCTCCACCCCTGTCAGATATAAAGTGGTACATGGTGACTAGAGGCTCCACCCCTGTCAGATATAAAGTGGTACATGGTGACTACAGGCTCCACCCCTGTCAGATATAAAGTGGTACATGGTGACTAGAGGTTCCACCCCTGTCAGATATAAAGTGGTACACGGTCTCTAGAGGCTCCACCCCTGTCAGATATAAAGTGGTACATGGTCACTAGAGGCTCCACCCCTGTCAGATATAAAGTGGTACATGGTCACTAGAGGCTCCACCCCTGTCAGATATAAAGTGGTACATGGTGACTAGAGACTCCACCCCTGTCAGATATAAAGTGGTACATGGTCACTAGAGGCTCCACCCCTCTCAGATATAAAGTGGTACATGGTGACTAGAGGCTCCACCCCTGTCACTAGAGGCTCCACCCCTGTCAGATATAAAGTGGTACATGGTGACTAGAGGCTCCACCCCTGTCACTAGAGGCTCCACCCCTGTCAGATATAAAGTGGTACATGGTGACTAGAGGCTCCACCCCTGTCAGATATAAAGTGGTACATGGTCACTAGAGGCTCCACCCCTGTCAGATATAAAGTGGTACATGGTGACTAGAGGCTCCACCCCTGTCAGATATAAAGTGGTACATGGTCACTAGAGGCTCCACCCCTGTCAGATATAAAGTGGTACATGGTCTCTAGAGGCTCCACCCCTGTCAGATATAAAGTGGTACATGGTCACTAGAGGCTCCACCCCTGTCAGATATAAAGTGGTACATGGTGACTAGAGGCTCCACCCCTGTCTCTAGAGGCTCCACCCCTGTCAGATATAAAGTGGTACATGGTCACTAGAGGCTCCACCCCTGTCAGATATAAAGTGGTACATGGTGACTAGAGGCTCCACCCCTGTCAGATATAAAGTGGTACATGGTCACTAGAGGCTCCACCCCTGTCAGATATAAAGTGGTACATGGTCACTAGAGGCTCCACCCCTGTCAGATATAAAGTGGTACATGGTGACTAGAGGCTCCACCCCTGTCAGATATAAAGTGGTACATGGTCACTAGAGGCTCCACCCCTGTCAGATATAAAGTGGTACATGGTGACTAGAGGCTCCACCCCTGTCACTAGAGGCTCCACCCCTGTCAGATATAAAGTGGTACATGGTGACTAGAGGCTCCACCCCTGTCAGATATAAAGTGGTACATGGTGACTAGAGGCTCCACCCCTGTCAGATATAAAGTGGTACATGGTGACTAGAGGCTCCACCCCTGTCAGATATAAAGTGGTACATGGTCACTAGAGGCTCCACCCCTGTCAGATATAAAGTGGTACATGGTCACTAGAGGCTCCACCCCTGTCAGATATAAAGTGGTATATGGTGACTAGAGGCTCCACCCCTGTCAGATATAAAGTGGTACATGGTGACTAGAGGCTCCACCCCTGTCAGATATAAAGTGGTACATGGAGACTAGAGGCTCCACCCCTGTCAGATATAAAGTGGTACATGGTAACTAGAGGCTCCACCCCTGTCACTAGAGGCTCCACCCCTGTCACTAGAGGCTCCACCCCTGTCACTAGAGGCTCCACCCCTGTCACTAGAGGCTCCACCCCTGTCACTAGAGGCTCCACCCCTGTCAGATATAAAGTGGTACATGGTCACTAGAGGCTCCACCCCTGTCAGATATAAAGTGGTACATGGTGACTAGAGGCTCCACCCCTGTCAGATATAAAGTGGTACATGGTCACTAGAGGCTCCACCCCTGTCAGATATAAAGTGGTACATGGTGACTAGAGGCTCCACCCCTGTCACTAGAGGCTCCACCCCTGTCAGATATAAAGTGGTACATGGTGACTAGAGGCTCCACCCCTGTCAGATATAAAGTGGTACATGGTCACTAGAAGCTCCATCCCTGTCAGTTATAAGTAGTTAATTTACAAGAATGAGCGAGGGCGATTCGCGTCGATTTCTATTTTTTTAATTTCAAATCTTCAATATCGCAGAACCACACTTTTACATTCTCAAAGACGTTATGGAATATACACACATAAATAACTTGACCACACCCCACACCCATGAGAAAATCCTGCAAACACCACATATGTGAGTTCAGAAAGCTCATTATTATCGAATGAAACTTTTTGAATGACCTACCTATTTCTCTGAGTTTCCTGATGAATGTTTTGTAATGATCGATTCCGGCTTGGTTAGCTGGCAGAGTTCCGTTGGGTAGGAGACGGGCCCATGACAGAGAGAAGCGGTAGTGGCTGATCTAATGAATGGGGAACAAAATGAACGACACATCGTTTATTATTGGCACAAATATACTTACATTATATCAACTCAGTTTTCTTCAACATACACAAACTAACCATATAAGTCTGTGGGCAGGAAAACTTTGGTGTGTTTAATGTATTAGTTTAAAGATTTTTTTTCAGTAATTGTTTTCTAGCAGCTTTTAAAAAAAATATAGATAGATCTTTTCGCCAGAATAGTAAAATTAGTAATCAAATAATAATATTCTAGGACTATCTCAATCCACTTTAGAAGCTGTTAATTTTTTAAAATATTTTTGACTTTACGGATATCACCGGCTCAGGAGGTGTCTCCTATTAGCCAGTCAGGCCTCAACACGGCAAACGCCGACTAACTGGCTTGGATATCGGTTTGAATAACTTGCATCGTTCGCTTCTATCCTGTGGTTCTCACCAGGCTTATCTTCCATCCCATTGAACGCAGGGTAAATTCGTACCCCACCGTCCAGTAAAAATGAAATTATATAACTATTAATGTTTGTGCAAGGAGCTGGAGAGCCGCATCTGGACGTCAAAGGAGCTGCATGCGGCTCGCAAGCCGCAGGTTGCCGACCCCTTGTTTAGCGTATAAAACGTACCCCCAGGTCTTTGATGATCTGAATGTCCTCGTCCATTTTGTTATAGCTGTCACAAGCCACGTCACCCGTGTCGTTGTTTTTTATCAATCCCAGGTGGCTCTGTCGGTCCCAGATACTCTCACCTTTACCTGTGAATAATTATCGTTAAATGATGTGCGTGTGGTTAAATGTTAGCACCATTAAATTGTCACATTCAGTAATAGTTTACATGAATATAGCTAACACCTATTGTTTTCACCCAAGACCCCTCTCAGTCCCCATTTGCCAATCAACAACCCTCACCCACATCTTACCATCAGCATCCCATCCCCACATCCCCCACCCCATCTTACCATCAACATCCCCCATCCTCATCAGCACCCCATCACCCACCCCAATCGTACCATCAGCATCCCCCACCCCCAACTTACCATCAGCATCCCACCCCCACCCCCACCCCCATCTTACCATCAGCATTCCACCCCCACACCCCCCACCCCCATCTTACCATCAGCATCCCACCCCCACCCCCACCCCCATCTTACCATCAGCATTCCACCCCCACACCCCCCACCCCCATCTTACCATCAGCATTCCACCCCCACAACCCCCATCCCCATCTTACCATCAGCATCCCACCCCCACACCCCCACACCCATCTTACCATCAGCATCCCAGGCGCCCTCTATCTGGTAAGCAGACGTGGCCATGCCCCAGGCGAAATTCTCTGGAAATTTGCCGTACAGGAAGTCGTCAGTCATCTCCACAGCCGTGCCCCACCCACCTTTCTGTGTGTAGCCGTGTTTGAAGCTGGTGGATCAAAAATAGATTTCTACATTGTTTACCAACAGAGACGGGCTTTAAAATAGTACTGATGCTTACCTAACCACCCTCTTCCCTAGCCTGACACCTACCCGCCATCTGCCCTAAACTTACACCTACCCTCCATCTGCCCTAAACTTACACCTACCCGCCATCTGCCCTAAACTTACACCTACCCTCCATGTGCCCTAAATTACACCTACCCGCCATCTGCCCTACCCTCCATCTGCCCTACCCACCATCTGCCCTAAGCTTACACCTACCCTACATCTGCCCTAGACTGGCACCTACCCTCCATCTGCGATTAAGGTTTTGATAAACCGAGCCGATGCCTTGGGTGTTCTGGGTCTAGCCGGGTCAGTAAAGTTGACGTAATGAAGTCCGAATCTCTCGTCATAGGCTCTCGTCCACTCCAGGTTGTCCATCAACGACCAGGCCGTGTAGCCCTTCACGTTACAGCCGTCCAATTTGATGGCTGGTTTAAGTGGAGGACATTGATAAAAGTTTCAAAGGTAAAACATGTCGTAAAGTAATAAAAAGAAAGATAGCTGTTGGATGGTGTAGTTTGAAATGTCCGGTTGACCTTTTAAAATCTTTCTCGATATTTTTCAATTAAAGGAAATTTTTGCAATAGGGCTGGTAAGTAGGTCACCAACTAGTTCTATGGCTCATGCATGTGTTATTGAGCCGTAGAACTGGTTGGTGACCTACTTACCAGCCCTATTGCATTTGTAACTATTTCAAAACTATGCTAAGTATTGATCTCTCTTATTAGATGTTTTGACCGCTAACCTGAAGCTCATGAGTTTGTTTCCAGGTCTACCGTCAACCAGAGGAAAATCAATTCTGCCAAGAGATTTCTAACCTCACATACCTTATATATACGGAGTTCAGATAAACAGATCAACTCTACTTCACCTGCCCTAATGAGGACCCAGACAAAGCTCACCTTTCAAAATTTCGCTCAGGTAGAGCCTGTAGTAGTGGACCCTGTGCCAGTCGTGCAGGCTGCCGTTCCGGTCACTGATGCCGTTCTCTGTGATGTAGACCGGCACGTTGTTGTAGTTGTTCTTCAGCCAGTTCAACACCTTCCGGATACCAAACGGCGTCACCTTCAGCCAATCGGAACCTGACCTGAGGGAGGGGACAGGTGCAAGTGTCAACGACCCATCAAACAATAGGGGCGGACCGGTGCAAGCGTCGACGACCCATCAAACAATAGGGCTTGTAAGTCGACGGTCTCGAAATCTACTAGCTGGCAAGTACGAGAACGAGAAGTTTTGACCTACTTACAAGCCCTATTGCCCACAATGAATGAGTTACAGAAAAGTTGTGGCTAATTTGAAGCCTGAACTTACCCCACCCAGGATGGGTTTGTTTCCCCCCTAGTCTCCTGGTCGTTGTAGTAGTTGGGTGGGTTAGACGGAGGCTGGGGGTCGTTGGTCGTCAGGCCGGCAGAATAAAAATTTATTCCGAAGAAATCAGAAGAACCTGGAAGACAACAGCCCGCGTTACTATAGCAACGCTAACTAGTGGTTACGTATTCAACGGTTGTGGAATATTCGTTGAAATTTTCTTTTGTTTATACATCCCCAATATACTCGTTAGTAGTTTTTATCTGTTGAAATCCTGTAAAGAGCCGAGAAGTAGTTACTGTTTACCGTTAATAATTTGCTTCTCCTGGTCTGTAAACTCTGGCAACCTGCTCTCACTGAGGCCCTGTGCCAGACTTCTTTCTAGAACTCTCCGCTTCATTTCCTGAAAAAACATACACCAAAAATGTAGACTGAAATACAAGCGATCGGTTTTTAATGGGCACATTTTTTTTCGCTCTTGCTGTTAAATTCAATTTATTGTTTTTTACTAATATCCAATTGAAATTTCTTTCTTATCATCGATATAAAACAAATGTGGAAGAGAGTTTGGTGTCAGTACCGGAGGATAGTCGCCATCTACAAATATCGGGTGAGCGAACCAGCCTCCATAGAAGCTGATGCTCCGCTCTGACGCCTTGATGTCGTCCAGACTCAGTGGGTCGAGCGGTTCTGGCCAACCTTGGTTGATTGTGATGCCAACCTCGCCTGGGAATGAAAGTCGTGTTTCATTGGTCAGTAAAACGTCGATATCAAACATGGTTTATTGACTATTTAGTTCAAATAGATTGATAAAGTTGTGTAGGCGTGCATGAAAGACTGTTATGAAAACAAAACAAGGATTTATACGTGCTGCAGATTGCATAGAATCAGCTCTCACCTTTTTGAGTTGCTTTAAACTCCTGCTGATACAGTCTGTATGCTTTAGCGTGGGCCACGATTAAGTTGTACCCACTAATGTAGCCGCCCCTACCCGGGTCCCTGTGTCCGGGGGCACTCGTCCCATCCCCGTACCCCATGATGGTAACGATTGGGGGCTCGTTAAATGTGATCCACTTCTTGACTCGGTCTCCAAACCTTTGGAAGCAGAGCCTGCTGTACTCGGCGAAGTCGTCTTGTATGGACTTGTTCAGCCAGCCGCCCTTGTCTTCTAGGGCTTGGGGGAGGTCCCAGTGGTATAAGGTCACCATAGGTCTGGACAAAATGTTTTCTCTGTCTTAGTAAACTATATCTAATCCTTAAAATACTGTATAGAATAAACAGTGATTTTTTTCTCTGTCTTAGTAAACTATAGCTAAACCTTAAAATTATACTGTAGGCCTATAGGATAAACAGTGATATAATTTGTTGTCATCCAATTTTGTATTCGTTAAAATTGATCAATCGTAGTTGTTTAGTCAAAGAACGCTGATGCCTTCTAATTTAAAAAAAAAAGAACATGATGCCCTTCACCCGCAACTTGTGCCTGGCGTCTGATGTGGCTCGCATTTAACCCCACCACCTTGACGCTATTATCTAGCTTTGTGTAGGCTTTATATTGTTAGTTGTACCAACGGCACCACGCGAATCACTAGCAATGAATAGACTTACTGTATGTTATTCGCCAGAAGCTCATCAATGACGTTGTTGTAGTACTGTATGCCTGGTTCGTTGACCGTGTTCAGGGTACCATCAGACATCACGCGAGGCCAGGAGATGGAGAAACGGTAATGGGTCACCTGTCAATAGACAAACGGTAATGGGTCACCTGTCAATGGACAAACGGTAATGGGTCACCTGTCAATAGACAAACGGTAGTGTCACCTGTCAATAGACAAACGGTAATGTGTCACCTGTCAATAGACAAACGGTAATGTGTCACCTGTCAATAGACAAACGGTAGTGTCACCTGTCAATAGACAAACGGTAATGTGTCACCTGTCAATAGACAAACGGTAATGGGTCACCTGTCAATGGACAAACGGTAATGTGTCACCTGTCAATAGACAAACGGTAATGGGTCACCTGTCAATAGACAAACGGTAATGGGTGACCTGTCAATAGACAAACGGTAATGTGTCACCAGTCAATAGACAAACGGTAATGGGTCACCTGTCAATAGACAAACGGTAATGTGTCACCTGTCAATAGACAAACGGTAATGTGTCACCTGTCAATAGACAAACGGTAATGGTGCACCTGTCAATAGACAAACGGTAATGGTGCACCTGTCAATAGACAAACGGTAATGTGTCACCTGTCAATGGACAAACGGTAATTGGTCACCTGTCAATAGACAAACGGTAATGTGTCACCTGTCAATAGACAAACGGTAATGTGTCACCTGACAATAGACAAACGGTAATATGTCACCTGTCAATAGACAAACGGTAATGGGTCACCTGTCAATAGACAAACGGTAATGTGTCACCTGTCAATAGACATAGAGTAATGGGTCACCTGTCAATAGACAAACGGTAATGGTTCACCTGTCAATAGACAAGCGGTAATGTGTCACCTGTCAATAGACAAATGGTAATGGGTCACCTGTCGATGGACAAACGGTAATAGGTCACCTGTCAATGGACAAATGGCAATGGGTCACCTGTCGATGGACAAACGGTAATGGGTCAGCTGTCAATGGACAAATGGTAATGGGTCAGCTGTCTATGGTCAAACGATTAACCTAACCACAGAAAGTAAACAATCGTATCCGTTTCCGTTTTTACAAACTTTTCCTTAACTTAAAACCTTATTGTGTAATTTGTTTCAAATTTATTACACTAGAGCAGAGATCGGCAACCTGTGGCTCGCGAGCCGCATGAGGCTCTTTTTATGTCAAGATGCGGCTCTCGAGTTCCATGCGCAAATATTATTATTAATATTACTTTATTTAAAAAATCATTAAAAATATTATTGTGCTATTCTTTTTTCTACGAGATTTTATTCTATTTTTAAAAGTTTAAGTATTTAAAATGGTTTAAAAATCATGTCTATATCCCGAATTGCCATCTCCTGTTGTTTCATATAAGAATATTCGAGAAAGTTTAGCAGAGATCACTCCCGGTTCATTTTTTAATATTTTAGAACAGATACTTTTTTTTACTTTCTCGTATATACGAAGTATAGAGAAAGTCTTGTAATCGTGCAAAAAAAATCGAGATTTTTACAAATCTCGACGGAGATTTTTACAAATCTCGACGGAGATTTTTACAAATCTCGACGTTTTACACCTCACTGATACGGAAAAACATAATTTTGCAATCTTGTCCGTATGTCTGTGTGTGTGTGTGTGTGTGTCTGTCTGTCTGTCTGTCTGTCTGTCTGTCTGTCTGTCTGTCTGTCTGTCTGTCTGTCTGTCTGTCTGTCTGTCTGTCTGTCTGTCTGTCTGTCTGTGTGTAAACACGATAACTTGAGTACCGTTACAGCTAGGTTGATGAAATTTCATATATAAGTATTTTATCAAAATCGTAGATCCATATCAACTTTTGTGCGATTTCCGATAACCGGAAGTGGTACTTTTTCTACTTTGAATTTTTCAAAAGCCTTTAACTTGAGTACTATTTAGGATAGATAAACGAAATTTCACATGTAAGTAAAAGATCTAAATCTCTACCTTCTGTCAAATTTTGAGTAATTTCCGTTGACCGGGAATACCAACTTATTTTTGGTTTATTATTGTCCCTTTTAATGGGGAGTCAAAATATTTTTAAAAGTTTTTTTTAACCTATGCTGTAATTATAAATACTCTCGCTTTTATTGAACAACATTGAAATGATGTTAACGGTTTTTGTTATTTTTGAATACAAAAAAATTTTAAATAGCAATTTAATAAAAACGAACTTTTTCCACATAAATTTACAATAAAAGTAATACTAATATTAAAATATCTAATAAAATAGTTATCATCATATTTTACTAAGTTATTTATGCATATCTTCATTTCTGTTTAGCCTTTAGTAAATCATTTATAGGTTGTCTCCCTTAAATCAAATTTTATTTCTAGTTTAAAGAACGGGAGATACTTCGTTGTCATTACCCAAGCTTACACAAATCTTCTAATACAGGGGTCGGCAACCTGTGGCTCGCGAGCTGCGTGCGGCTCTTTTGACGTGCAGATGCCTCTCCAGCTCACTGCACAAATATTAATGGTTATATAAATTCATTTGTACTGGACGGTGGGGTACGACTTTACCCTGCGTTCAGTGGGATGGAAGATAAGCTTAGTGAGAACCAAAGGACAGAAGCGAACGATGCAAGTTATTCAAACCGGAATCCAAGCCAGTTAGTCGGAGTTTGCCGTGTTGAGGCCTGCCTGGCTAATGGGAGACACCTTCTGAGCCGGTGTTATCCGTAAAGAAAATATAAAATTAAAATTAACAGCTTCTAAAGTGGATTGAGATGGTCCTAGAATTATATTATTTGACTACTAATGTTATTATTCTGGCGAAACATGTCTATGTTTTTATAAGAATAAATATAATTTCATATTTTAAGGGGGGGGGGGGACTAAAATCTCCGGAGGGGGGGGGGCGGACACTGTTAAAAGTATATATTTTCTATATAAATTCCATTTCGTTCAAGGGGGGGGGAGGGGGCGGTAGACTTTCTCTTCCGAAGAGATGCCTGGAATAAACTCTGAATACCAAATATTGAAATAAAAATGTTGTGGCTCTTTAAAAACTGGGAAATTTTGTAAATTGTAACTTTTGGCTCTTGCGCATCAAAAGGTTGCCGACCCCTGCACTAGAGAATTCTAAATGACAATGCAAGAATATCCTATTTTAAAAATCAATGAATATATTTTAAAAGTCCATGAAATATAATTACGAGATTACTACACGTCATGACGACTCAGATTACCCCGAGGTTCTTGAGAAGCTGGACATCTTCCTTGTACTTGTGGTAGCTGTCACACGCCACGTCACCTGTCTCGTTGTGGTCAATCTTCCCTGCGTGGGCCCAGGTGTCCCAGATGCTCGGGCCCTTGCCTGCAAACATCATCTGTGTACTACACTGGTCTTCGTGGCCCATGAGGGTTAACTGTACTACACTGGTGTTCGTGGCCCATGAGGGTTAACTGTACTACACTGGTCTTCGTGGCCCATGAGGGTTAACTGTACTACACTGGTCTTCGTGGCCCATGAGGGTTAACATTTGATTCAAATTTTACAACTCGTTATTACAATATCGCTTGACACCTTACTATGAGCAATACCTGCCATCAACATCATTACACTACACCATACTTCTTACTTACAGTAACCCACGTTACTTACCTCAGCTAATCCCCACCCCTTACCTCTGCTAACCACCACCCCTTACCTCTGCTAATCACCACCCCTTACCTCTGCTAATTACCACCCCTTACCTCTGCTAACCACCACCCCTTACCTCTGCTAATCCCCACCGATTACATCTGCTAATCCCCACCCCTTACCTCTGCTAATCCCCACCCTTTACCTCTGCTAATCCCCACCCCTTACCGTCAGTATTCCAGGCCCCCTCTATCTGGTAAGAAGCTGTTGCTGTTGACCATGCAAAGTCTCCAGGGAACTGGTCATAAAAGACCTGGAAATCATTCTCCATGTACACAACACCTGTCGCCAGACCACCTTGACCACTAGAGTGGGGGGGGGGGATTAAAAGAATATGTTTATTTACCCACACTAGCTTTCATATGTCCAACAAACGAAATAAAAAAAATAAAATGTATACATTTAGTTGGTTTGACCTATTCAACTCTTGACCTAATCCTTAGTTTTACTATGTTTAAACTCTCCAATATATACCTCAATGACCTATAACCTCCTTATGTCCCCCCTCCCCCAACAATGACCTATAACCTCCCCAAACCACTGACATATAACCTCCCCAAACCACTGACATATAACCTCCCCATGTCCCCCTCCCTCAAAAATGACCTATAACCTCCCCACACCCACACCCCCAACACTGACCTATAACCTCCCCCAACACTGACCTCTAACCTCCCCCAACACTGACCTATAACCTTTCTTGAAGCCGTTGTCTCTGATGAGGTTAGCGAAGAACTGTGCCGAAGCCTTGGGGGTTCGAGTCCTGTTGGGGTGGTTAAAGTCCACGTGATAGAGGCCGAACTTCTCCGTGTAGCCACTCTGCCACTCGAAGTTGTCCATCAGCGACCAGGCGGTGTAGCCTCGAATGTTGCAGCCGTCTTGGTGCAGCGCTGCAGACGACAGAACTTTCTGTTCAAGCTATTGGTAGCTACTCTAATATATCTTATACCTCAAGTAAATATGACCACAAATTTTTACGTCTATGTTTGTGAAGGAATATTTTGGTGTAGACACATTAAACGCAGTAACGTTTAGAAATAACAATGTTGTGTCTTGACATGCAAGAAACTGGAGAACTCTACTTCCTCTGTCATCTTGACCATCATGTCTAAAAGTGTAACTTTCGGGATTTTAAGACATTTTGTAAACTTTTTATTTAGTTCACCTAGTCTGTTTATTGGTTTGTGACAAATCTTGTAACTCAATTTCAACCCACTTAAAATGCAGTGATTTCGTCCAAATTTTCCTTAAATATGTTTGTTATGGATGACAATGCATTAATAATTAGTCATTAAACATTAATTTAAACTGTTCAATAACAAATAAAACAGATATCATAAGAAAGCCAATATATAAGCTTGTATATACACTGAAAATTTGAAAATGAAAATTTGTTTTCCATAGTAAAAACATTGATCCCCAAAACATGTTGGAGATTTTATTGATTTTATGAGCAACTAATGCTACACACTAAATTGCGATCCTGTGGGCATCTGTCAGTGTTGAGTTCCCGTCCCCAAACCTAACGTGTCCATCCCCCATCACCCCACCATTCCCCATCGCCCTACCCCTGCCCCCCCTGTCCTCACCATTGAGCATCTGATTGATATGTTGCCTGTAGTACGTTATCCTGTGAGCATCTCCCAGTGTCGAGTTCCTGTCCCCACCCCACCTGTCCCCACCCCACCCACACTGTCCCCACCCCACCCACCCTGTCCCCCACCCCCCACCCCCTGACCTCACCCTTTAGCATCTGGTTGATATGTTGCCTGTAATACGTTATCCTGTGAGCATCTCTCAGTGTCGAGTTCCTGTCCCCACCCCACTCACCCTGTCCCCACCCCTCACCCCCACCCCCACCCCTGACCTCACCCTTAAGCATCTGGTTGATATGCTGCCTGTAATACGTTATCCTGTGAGCATCTCTCAGTGTCGAGTTCCTGTCCCCACCCCACTCACCCTGTCCCCACCCCCCACCCCACCCCCCACCCCCTGACCTCACCCTTAAGCATCTGGTTGATATGTTGCCTGTAGTACGTTATCCTGTGAGCATTTCTCAGTGTCGAGTTTCTGTCCCCACCCCACCCACCCTGTCCCCACCCCACCCATTCTGTCCCCACCCCCTGACCTCACCCTTAAGCATCTGGTTGATATGCTGCCTGTAGTATGTTATCCTGTGAGCATCTCTCAGTGTCGAGTTCCTGTCCCCACCCCACTCACCCTGTCCCCACCCCTCACCCCCACCCCCACCCCTGACCTCACCCTTAAGCATCTGGTTGATATGCTGCCTGTAATACGTTATCCTGTGAGCATCTCTCAGTGTCGAGTTCCTGTCCCCACCCCACTCACCCTGTCCCCACCCCCCACCCCACCCCCCACCCCCTGACCTCACCCTTAAGCATCTGGTTGATATGTTGCCTGTAGTACGTTATCCTGTGAGCATTTCTCAGTGTCGAGTTTCTGTCCCCACCCCACCCACCCTGTCCCCACCCCACCCATTCTGTCCCCACCCCCTGACCTCACCCTTAAGCATCTGGTTGATATGCTGCCTGTAGTACGTTATCCTGTGAGCATCTCTCAGTGTCGAGTTCCTGTCTCCACCCCCCCCACCCTGTCCCCACCCCACCCCCACCCCCTGACCTCACCCTTAAGCATCTGGTTGATATGCTGCCTGTAGTACGTTATCCTGTGAGCATCTCTCAGTGTCGAGTTCCTGTCCCCACCCCACCCAGCTTGTCCCCACCCCACCCCCACCCCACCCCCACCCCACCCCCACCCCCTGACCTCACCTTTGAGCATCTGGTTGATATGCTGCCTGTAGTACGTTATCCTGTGAGCATCTCTCAGTGTCGAGTTCCTGTCCCCACCCCACCCACCCTGTCCCCACCCCACCCACACTGTCCCCACCCCCCCCCCACCCCCCTGTCCTCACCCTTCAGCATCTGGTTGATATGCTGCCTGTAGTAAGTTATCCTGTGAGCATCTCTCAGTGTCGAGTTCCCGTCCCCACCCCACCCACCCTGTCCCCACCCCACCCACCCTGTCCCCACCCCACCCACACTGTCCCCACCCCCCCCCCCCCCCACCCCCCTGTCCTCACCCTTCAGCATCTGGTTGATATGCTGCCTGTAGTAAGTTATCCTGTGAGCATCTCTCAGTGTCGAGTTCCTGTCCCCAACCCACCCACCTTGTCCCCACCCCCCACCCACCCTGTCCCCACCCCCCACCCACCCTGTCCCCACCCCCCCACCCCCCTGACCTCACCTTTGAGCATCTGGTTGATATGCTGCCTGTAGTACGTTATCCTGTGAGCATCTCTCAGTGTCGAGTTCCTGTCAGAGATGCCGTTCTCAGTGACGTAGACCGGGATGTTGTTGTACGTTGTTTTGATCCAGTTAAAGATCCCACGGAACCCCAACGGTACGCTGAACAGCCAAAAGGACCCTGACCTTTGAATAAAACAAAACACGGTTTGAAAATTGGTTTCTTAAACATTTGATTACAATAAAGTAGACGCTATAAATGTGTTATTCTGGACTTGTTTCAAGTATAAAATATTTTAGCTCTTAATCTTTTAATCTTTTAACACTTTTAATCGAGTGTCTAAATCGAAATTCTTACACACAAACACCGCAATGCCAAATTATAATTAATTTGGCAATAAGCGCTTAAATTATATATACGAATAAAATTAGTAAAGCCGATAAGAAACTATCGTAGTAATTTTTTGAAAGCGTCATAAAGGGGATCCAAAATTTGTCCGATAAACTTCTTAAAAGCAACCAACAAGTAAGTGTATGTCACAAAATTGACTAGAAGTATGTTATAATAAAGCTATAATGTTTAGACTTTAAAATAAAACCTACACTTAAGTAGTAAATGAGTAAAATATATTCTGTTGACATGACTACATAGCTAATATAAAAGATTTCTTTTAATTATTACCTGATGAAATTTAGAGCGTTTTATTGTGTTTTATTAAGAATGTCTTAATTACACTTGGTTAATATAGCTATTCTTGTGAAAGTTATTTCCCTTGAAAAAACTTGGGATTTCAAAATGGGAGATAATTCGTTGCTTAACTTTACATTCATTTCAAATTCATGCACCTTAGGTTGACAGCTTACACATATTTATAAATACAACTTTTAAGTTATTATTTGCTATTGTAAAAATTATATAGAGCAGAAGTTCTAAACAAAATAGTTAGGTAGATTTTTTTTTAGCATTATCAGGTTAAAAAACAAATACATAAGTAGCCGTTGTAGATTGCAATACTTAATGTTAGTAGACACACATCATGACTGAGATAGTGCAACAAATGCGTCTAAAATCGTCTTAATCGCAAATTTTAATCATCTAATTAATTGTCTTTTTCATATTTTTCACCCTCATCTAAAGGATTCATATATAGCAATTGTAGGCTGGAATCTATAACTTTTATAACCTGTTATTTTTCAAAAACAAAACATCGTTACATAATCACACGCTATAGACATTTTACAATTATAACTAAAGACAGTCAAGCTGAAAACAGGTCAGTTCCGTTCTGGAACTCACCTTGGGAAGTCTGCTTAGAGCCTAACACTAGAAGAACTGTGTTGTTTTTTTCCAGTGTTTTTTTTTCCGGGACGGGGGAGGGGGGGGCTATTTTGTAAAGTACAAAGTAGACTCGTGGACTCAGCAACTACTACAATAGCATGTGATTACGATTGCAAGCTGGAATTAGTACAAACTTTTTGCGACGAAGGAGGGAAGTAAAATTTGATTTTTATGTGTACTTATAACGTGTATGCAATTGATAATAAATTAATATGTACCTTTTGATTAATTGTTTTCTTATACATATGTTTTAGTAACTAATTTGCGTGAAAAGGGGCGTTTTAATAAGTTTTGCCTAGGGCGAAAAATAACCTGGTGCCGGCACTGCCAGGATCCATATAAATCTGCAAGCCAAAAAAATCATTAGTTCCGTGTTGATGCAGCACGTGTTTGTTCGATGTGTTATACAAAAATTGGGAGCAATAATGTTTCAACTTTAAAAACGTAACCAAAGTTTGTTAAGAATGTGTTAATTTGTTAAGAATGGGTTAATTTGTTAAGAATGGGTTAATTTGTTAAGAATGGGTTAATTTGTTAAGAGAAATTCCACGAGTTACTTTAAAAGTATTTTCTCTGTTGATAAAAAGAAATTTATGCCAGATCTTACCCTGGCCATGCCGGGTCCACTTCTCGCGAGATGTCCTGGTCGTTTTCAAAAGATGGGGGGTCAAAGGGCAGGTCAGCTGGTGTGGCGTATCGTGACGTGTAGTAGTTCAAGCCAATAAAATCTGACGTGCCTGGTGGGATGTATGGTGGGAAATGTTTTGGGAAATGTGGTGGGGAATGTGGTGGGGAATGTGGTGGGGAATGTTGTGGGGAATGTTGTGGGGAATGTGGTGGGGAATATGGTGGGAAATGTGGTGGGAAATGTGGTGGGGAATGTGGTGGGAAATGTGGTGGGGAATGTGGTGGGAAATGTGGTGGGGAATGTTGTGGGGAATGTGGAGAGAAATGTGCTGGAAATGTGCTGGAAATGTGGTGGGAAATGTGGTGGGGAAATGTGGTGGGAAATGTGGTGGGAAATGTGGTGGGGAATGTGGTGGGAAATGTAGTGGAGAATGTGGTGGGGAATGTGGTGGGAAATGTGGTGGCGAATGTGGTGGGGAATGTGGTGGGGAATGTGGAGAGAAATGTGCTGGAAATGTGGTGGGAAATGTGGTGGGAAATGTGGTGGGAAATGTGGTGGGAAATGTGGCGGGGAATGTGGTGGGGAATGTGGTGGGGAATGTGATGGGAAATGTGGTGGGGAATGTGATGGGAAATGTGGTGGGGAATGTGGTGGGGAATGTGGTGGGGAATGTGGTGGGGAATGTGGTGGGAAATGTGGTGGGGAATGTGGTGGGGAATGTGGTGGGAAATGTGGTGGGATTTATGGTGGGAAATGTGGTGGGGAATGTGGTGAGAAATGTAGTGGGGAATGTGGTGGGAAATGTGGTGGGGAATGTGGTGGGGAATGTGGTGGGGAATGTGGTGGGAAATGTGGTGGAGAATGTGGTGGGAAATGTGGTGGGGAATGTGGTGGGGAATGTGGTGGGGAATGTGGTGGGAAATGTGGTGAGAAATGTTGTGGGGAATGTGGTGAGAAATGTTGTGGGGAATGTGGTGGGAAATGTGGTGGGGAATGTGGTGGGGAATGTGGTGGGGAAAGTGGTGGGAATGTGGTGGGGAATGTGGTGGGGAATGTGGTGGGGAATGTGGTGGGGAATGTGGTGGGGAATGTGGTGGGGAAATATAAATATGTGGTAGGGTCGAAGGTGTGTTTGCATAAAGTAACTTTGGGATCAATTGTGTCATGGGGCTGTTGGAGACTTTGGTGGAGTTGGACGGAGGTTTGCCATAAGTTGACTTTTAAATCAATTGTGTAGGAAAGCCTTTAAATTATAAATTTTGAACTGAAACATGAAGTTACAAAAAGCTTTAAAAAGACAGATTTAGTCAAGGGCTGATTACCTTCATTTACGAATGATGACAAGATTTTAACGAGGTCAGAAAAACAGCTGAACTTATTTATTAAAAAAACTGAGTTTAATTTTTCCCATATTACCTTTGTTGAGTCGAATTTCTTCATCCGTGAAAGTTGGAAGTCGGGATGGTTGACTAAGTTTTTGACTTTTTTCTTTGATCTTTGTCTTCATGACCTCGGGGTAATCGCCTGGTGAGACATAAGGACAGTGGAGTTTCAGATAGAGAGAGATTAGGTGATAACTGTACGGATGCTGAATTCATAGAGTTCAGTGACAGATATATATTCGATTTACAGTATATTTGACTAACGCGGAACCTATTTTACAGGTACGGCTCAAGCTATTTTAGACCTTGTGGGGTATTTACTTGAACCCACCTGTCAAGAAAATGGGATGAGCGAACCAGCCAAAGTTGAAAAGTCTCCCCCTCTCTGAGGCCTCAATGTCCCCTGGGTCCGTGCTGTTCTTGGGCAGGTAGTTGTCAGTGTTGAGTGTGATGCCGATCTGACCTGGAGAAAGTTGCTTAGGTTACTTACTGGCTACTATGAATCGTAGCTAAAGCCCTGACTCCGTTTATAACCCTGACCTTGAGCCCCGTGACTCACATTTGCCAAATTGACCTTGAACCCCGTGACTCAACTTTACCGTGACTCACCTTTGCCACCTTGAACTTGAACCTCGTGACTCACTTTTGCCATCTTGACCTTGAACCCCATGCCTCACCTTTGCCATATTGACCTTGAACCCCGTGACTCACCTTTACCACCTTGACCTTGAACCTCGTGACTCACATTTGCCCAATTAACCTTGAACCCCGTGACTCACCTTTACCATGACTCACCTTTACCACCTGGACTTTGAGCCCTATACGTGTCGTTGTACAGCCTGTAGACGGCGACGTGAGCCTTGATCAGGTTGTGTGCGACGATGTAGACGTTGGTGCCAGGACCCCACCTGCCCGGTGCCTTCTCACCTGTACCGTAGCCGTGATTCGACACGACCCACGGTTCGTTCAGTGTGATCCAGTAATTCACCTGCATGAAATCGTTAGTAATTCACAGGTTTTATGGGCACAACTAGGGAAATGTAGAAGGTGATTTACACTCCCCAGTGCCCCGAAATAAGAATTAATCGACATTTGTTTACCTTCATTAAATAAAGTATTTTATATTTTTAGTTTTCTTTATTAATTACTTCTCAATAATGTGTGAGAAGATTTTTTTGTAAACATTAGTGTTTTAAAATGTAACAAGCAAAGCCGCTTTAGTACGCAGCCCTTTATATCTTTACTTTAATAAAACAATCATTTTCATGATAATCTATCTATATATATAATTCTCTTCTGGGAGACGCTAGAAAACAAGCTGTAAACGCGCTCCCTACCACCCCCACCCCTACATGGTCTGGTGAGCTGCGGTTCACTCTAAATGTTTACAAGCAGAGCCGGGTTTAGTGACGACTAATAGGGGCAGATAATTTAGTTTGAAACGATTTTAAGCATGGGGGGGGGGGATAACTAAGTGGATTTTACTTTAACGGAGAGGGGGGGGGGGGAATATCGTCCTTAACGAGCTACTTATATTTTTTTAAAGAAATATTTTCAGTGGCAGCGTTGGTAGTGTCGAATTCACAAATTATGAATAACTGAAAAGTAGAAAAAACAACAACTAAATAGCGGCGTATGATATGCCGCGGGTCGGTTCGTTAATGTTAATAAAACTAGGAGCGTTGAGTTTACCAAGGGACCGAACTCTTTGAAAACCAGCTCAGCATAGTCCCTGAAGTAGCCGACAATGTCCTCGTTGAGCCAGCCGCCCTTCTGTTCTAGAGCTTCAGGCAGGTCCCAGTGGTACAGTGTGATCATTGGCTCGATGCCGTTCTGCTTCAGCTCCGTGATAAGCCTGTGATTTTAAAAAAGCAATAATTAGATTATACATTAACTGCTTCGTTTTATAACATCGAATGTGATTTTAAAATTAGGTGCTTTGCATGGTAACTTGACTGTAATGGACACCAGCGAGAAAAGTCTCAAAGGTATTTGAGAGGTGCATAAATTAATTTAAAAATCTTGCACGGCGTAGTTACAATAAATATGGTTATAAAATTCTGTCTGTCTGGTTTTTTTCGGACTTTACTAAAGATTGGACGTATTTGATGTTTTTAATATTTTCGGTAACTAAATAAAAATGTAAAAAAAAAGCAAAAACAATTTGGTTTTCACGTGTAATGGCGACATAAACAATGGCAAACTGCTATTGGATAGGCCGACATAAATTTTATTGTACACATTGTAAGCTAAAAATAGAAAACTAGGTCATGGGGTTTTAAATTTGCATTGTTATTTAAAAACTTGATCTGCAAAGTTTTGTAAACAAATAGTTATCGATCACTAAGTTACTGTACAGCCAATCAATATTTGTCTTACGAAAGTGAAACATCCGGTTATAACTTAGGCTTGATGAAAATAAATAGAAATGTAGCCTTAAACTCAACAAATTATTTTCAAGTTCTCTGGATTTGCAACTTTTATAGCATTTATTCTAAAAATATAAAATTTCTAAATTAATTTTAGGCTTAGGGCCTAAGTTTTTTTTTTTTTTTTTTTACGGTCTAAATCTAAAAAGCAGAGCACGTTTTTATTCCATGTCAACAACACTATGGAAGGAATCTCATCAACTCGCTTGTCTCCATTGTCTTACCTGTGTCCTGTTAACTGTACCTGTCTTACCTGTGCCATGTTAACTGTACCTGTCTTACCTGTGCCCTGTTAACTGTACCTGTCTTACCTGTGCCCTGTTAACTGTACCTGTCTTACCTGTGGCATGTTAACTGTACCTGTCTTACCTGTCCTAGATGGACTGTACCTGTCTTACCTGCGATAGTAGTCCAGCCCTGCCCTGTTGATTGTGCGGTTAGTACCATCTGGCATGACACGAGACCAGCCAATAGAAAAACGGTAGTGAGTGAACTGTTGGGGGAGTCATAGAAGGCCAAACATGATTGGTTGAAACATTAACAATATACTTCATGTGCTTTAGTACAAACATGAATGGTCTTCATTGGTGCGGATCTAAAGCTAAAAGCGTAACGATATATCGGCAACGCGAAAAGATTAGGTCAAATTAGACTGGTCAAGCCAGACCTTTGATCCTTTGTTTACATTAAAGTATTGAAATCAAATATGATATGTACTTTTATTGGCAATTTAATTTTTGTTTACATTTGAAAATACAAATGGCTACCTATAAAAGGACCTACCCCCATCTGTTTGAGCATCTGAACATCTTCCTTGTACTTGTGGTAGCTGTCACAGGCCACACGTCCTGTCTGTTTGTCCTCTACACGTCCAGGCTCGCTGGTGAACACGTCCCAGATACTCTGGCCTTTACCTGGGTTTATCAAAGACGACAGATTTTATCAAACGTCCCAAATACTCGGACCTTTACCTGGGTTTATCAAAGACGTCAGATTTTATCAAACGTCCCAGATACTCGGACCTTTACCTGGGTTTATCAAAGACGTCAGATTTTATCAAACGTCACAGATACTCGGACCTTTACCTGGGTTTATCAAAGACGTCAGATTTTATCAAACGTCCCGGATACTCGGACCTTTACCTGGGTTTATCATACTCAGACGTCAGATGATTTTATCAAACGTCCCAGATACTTGGACCTTTACCTGGGTTTATCAAACTCAGACGTCAGATTTTATCAAACGTCCCAGATACTCGGTCCTTTACCTGGGTTTATCAAAGACGTCAGATTTTATCAAACGTCCTAGATACTTTGACCTTTACCTGGTTTTATCAAAGACGTCAGATTTTATCAAACGTCCCAGATACTCGGACCTTTACCTGGGTTTTGTTAAAATCTTTCTGACATAAAAAAGACCCACTTATCGACGTGATCGACCGTCATCAAATCAACACTTCATCCATATCATAAGTCCCAAACTGATGTGATATCCTATACCAAGCCCCTATTATAACTGATGTGATATCCTATACCAAGCCCCCAATAACTGATGTGATATCCTATACCAAGCCCTAATTATAACTGATGTGATATCCTATACCAAGCCCCTATTATAACTGATGTGATATCCTATACCAAGCCCCCAATAACTGATGTGATATCCTATACCAAGCCCCTATTATAACTGATGTAATATTCTATACCGAGCCCCTACAACTGATGCGATATTCTATACCAAGCCCCCTATAACTGATGTGTTATCCTATACCAAGCCCCCTATAACTGATGCGATATCCTATACCAAGCCCCCTATAACTGATGTAATATTCTATACCAAGCCCCTACAACTGATGTGATATTCTATAACAAGCCCCCTATAACTGATGTGATATTCTATACCAAGCCCCGTATAACTGATGTGATACAGATAAAGCCTCTCACCATCCACATCCCAAGCCCCCTATAACTGATGCGATATTCTATACCAAGCCCCTATAACTGATGTGATACAGCATCTTACTATCCACATCACAAGCCACCTATAACTGATGTGATATACTATACCAAGGCCCTACAACTGATGCGATATTCTTTATCAAGCCCCCTATAACTGATGTGATATTCTATACAAAGTCCCCTATAACTGATGTGATACAGATAAAGCCTCTCACCATTCACATCCCAAGCCCCCTATAACTGATGTGATATTCTATACCAAGCCCCCTACAACTGATGTGATATCCTATACCAAGCCCCTATAACTGATGTGATATCCTATACCAAGCCCCCTATAACTGATGTGATATTCTATACCAAGCCCCCTACAACTGATGTGATATTCTATACCAAGCCCCCTATAACTGATATGATATTCTATACCAAGCCCCCTATAACTGATGTGATATCCTATACCAAGCCCCTATAACTGATGTGATAAAGCCTCTCACCATCCACATCCCAAGCCCCCTCCACCTGGTAGGCTGCCGTTGCCGCAGCCCAGACGAAGCCCTCTGGGAAAGTCTCAAACAGGAAGTCCTTGTCCCCGTCCTGGAGGTCTTTGTTCACGTCCAGACCGTTGTAATCGTTAGCCTGGACCGTTGCCATGACGACCGTGAGAAGTAAGAACACAGCAGCCATGACTGAGTTTTCTGGTAATTTGCGAACAAAAACGTAGAATTAGCAAAATTTATACAAATATTTTAGCAGCAGGATTTGAGTTAAACAGCACTATAGGATAGAATCAATCATTTAGAGGAAAACAAATAATCTTGTGTTCAGTACAGATAATTTACACGTTTTATTATTTAAAAATTCAGATTTCAGAAATAAACAAAAGAAAATGAAAACACCACCTGTCTTATCCAGTGTATTCCGTAGCGTTGGCTGTCTACAGAATGGTGTCTTATCTCCTCGGCTCTGATAGCTGGAAGATCAAACTAACAACACTGCGTACTTCGTCCTGCATTCAAAAAATAAATACAATGACAGTTGTCAGATAAAAGATAATTCATTTCAAATATTGATATCTTATTGTCGTGGTTTAAGCAGTGGCGTAGCGAGGTCGGGTGTCACCCGGTGCGGCACTTAATGGTGTCACCCCCCCCCCCCCCAGAGGCATAGAGACCCTTCCCAGGGACAAACTTTCAAATTTTCGATTTGCACCCCCCCCCCCTCAAACTTTCGATTTGCACCCCCCCCTCGAGTTTTCGATTTGCACCCCCCCCCCTCAAACTTTCAATTTGCACCCCCCCTCGAGTTTTTCTCTATATATTTTGCTATTTTTTGCCTTGGTGTCACCCCCCTAAATGGTGTCACCCGGTGCGGTCCGCACCCCCCGCCCCCCCCTCGCTACGCCCCTGGGTTTAAGTATGAGAGACCTAAGCTTTTTTAATATAGGTTAAAAATATAATTCAATGCAAATATTGATATCTTATTGTCGTGGTTTAAGTATGAGAGACCTAAGCTTTTTTAATATAGGTTAAAAATATAATTCAATGCAAATATTGATATCTTATTGTCGTGGTTTAAGTATGAGAGACCTAAGCTTTTTTAATATAGGTTAAAAATATAATTCAATGCAAATATTGATATCTTATTGTCGTGGTTTAAGTATGAGAGACCTAAGCTTTTTTAATATAGGTTAAAAATATAATTCAATGCAAATATTGATATCTTATTGTCGTGGTTTAAGTATGAGAGACCTAAACTTTTTTAATATAGGTTAAAAATATAATTCAATGCAAATATTGATATCTTATTGTCGTGGTTTAAGTATGAGAGACCTAAGCTTTTTTAATATAGGTTAAAAATATAATTCAATGCAAATATTGATATCTTATTGTCGTGGTTTAAGTATGAGAGACCTAAGCTTTTTTAATATAGGTTAAAAATATAATTCAATGCAAATATTGATATCTTATTGTCGTGGTTTAAGTATGAGAGACCTAAGCTATTTTAATATAGGTTAAAAATATAATTCAATGCAAATATCGATATCTTATTGTCGTGGTTTAAGTATGAGAGACCTAAGCTTTTTTAATATAGGTTAAAAATATAATTCAATGCAAATATTGATATCTTATTGTCGTGGTTTAAGTATGAGAGACCTAAGCTTTTTTAATATAGGTTAAAAATATAATTCAATGCAAATATTGATATCTTATTGTCGTGGTTTAAGTATGAGAGACCTAAGCTTTTTTAATATAGGTTAAAAATATAATTCAATGCAAATATTGATATCTTATTGTCGTGGTTTAAGTATGAGAGACCTAAGCTTTTTTAATATAGGTTAAAAATATAATTCAATGCGAATATTGATATTGTATTGTCATGGTTTAAGTACGAGAGACCTCAGAATTTTTTAAAAGCTATGTGTGACTTTATAGGTTAAAAAAAATTAGTATGTTTTAGTATTTTACAAGATTTTATTTATCGTGTTACAAAGTCTGGTGTCAGTTTGCTGTCAGTCAAGAAGTGCTCAAGTCAACTCGTGATATCCATTGCTAATAAAACGTTGATTTAAATATAAAACTATCGCCGACGCAAGCAAGAATATTAATTTTCATTTAAAAGACAAAGTTTATATTTTTAACGATTTGAATAACAAAAGGTAACCAAGTAGTTGTCCTCGGGTTTGGTAAGATGTGTTACCCTTTGTTCTCTTGTAGGCTGACAGTTGATCTAAATCTCTAATCTACGTTGGACTTTGATTTTGTTTAGTGCAAGGTTGTGGTAAGGGGGAAAAGGGGGGGGGGGGGGGAGCGAGGGTAAGAAAAGAGCTTGTCAAGTCAGCAATTTATTTTGGATTAAATAAAGTTGATAAACTTTAAACTGGGGAGAGTTCACCAAAAGTAAGATCACCAAGTACCTACCGTTTTCAACTTTATGACACAACTTCTTGTAGTAGCAAGAAAACCAAGCTTTATGTTATGATGTATGTTGCAGTGTCAGGCATTAGTGGGTTGGTTTATTTAAACAAAGACCGCTATCCATGATATTCATGATGTATCATGCTAAACATGATATTTGTTGTGTCCTACAAGCAGAATCTCTTCAATTTATAAATATGAATAAACGTGCCACACATTGTTCATTTGGACTAAAGAGAATGTTGTTGATATTTATTATGTTTCTTTTTTACTTTCTCGTATATACGAAGTATAGAGAAAGTATTGTAATCGTGCACAAAAATCAACTGAAATTTTAACAATTTTCACCGTATTACACCTCAGTCCTTCATCACATTTGAAGTATAGAGGACTTATTTTAATCGGGCAAAAATTATCAATCCAGATTTATCAAAATTAAGAGGTTTTATGCGTAATCCAGTCTGAAAAACTGGGCTTTGCAATTCTGTCCGTATGTCTGTGTGTCTGTGTGTGTGTGTCTGTGTGTAAACACGATAACTTGAGTACCGTTACAGCTAGGTTGATGAAATTTCATATATAAGTATTTTATCAAAATCGTAGATCCTGTTCAACTTTTGAGCGATTTCCGATAGCCGGAAGTGGTACTTTTTCTACTTTGAATTTTTCAAAAACCTATAACTTGAGTACTACTTCAGATAGATAAATGAAATTTAAGTAAAAGATCTAATTCTCTACCTTCTGTTAAATTTTGAGTCATTTCCGTTGGCCTGAAGTAGTAATTTACGCTACTTCCGATTTCTCAAAAAACTAATGTAAATTTTTAAAGAACTAATAATATTGCGCACTATTATGCACTTTTTTATTTGGCGTTCACTTGGTGTGCAATTCTTTTGTCTACGAGATTTTATTCTATTTCTAAAACTGTAAGTATTTAAAATGGATTAAAAATCATGTCTATAGCCCGAGTTCCCATCCCCTGTTGTTTTATATAAGAATATTCGAGAAAGTTTTGGGGAGATCACTCCCGGTTTATTAATGTTAGTGTTGATACATGAGTCAGACAAAACTATCATGGACGGCTTTATGGCAGCAAAACGACTCAACAGTTTCCTAGGTCGCAGCAATTCATCATGAAACTACAACACATTCGGGGTTCGCTTTATTCGACAAAGTATTAAATATACTGGGAAAAACTTAAATGACTAATAAATTCCCTTGAAAAGCAGTGGCTTTCGCATTGACCTTTATTATTTTAAAAATGTATTGTTATACTTGGTATAAGCTTGCATTTAATTCAAAATTGTTGTTTGTTTGCGGGTTTGCGGATATTGTTTCAACTAAATTTTGACACGATTTCATTCACTTTCAGATATATCTAACTTTCAACCTAATTACATATTAAATTAGTCATTAAAAGGATTATTAAAAGTTCAATAACCAGAGGGGAGATCACAAGTCAAGTAGTAGCCTACAACGGTCTCGGGTAGGGTTTTTAAGTTACTGGTTGCTTTAAAGAAAGCAAGTACTTTTTATTTACTCATTTTAGTGCATTTAAAAGCTAATTTTTATATCTATAGATCCCCTGTTGTTTAGTTTTTTTATACTCTCTTTATGTTTTAATGTTAAATTTAAAAGATATAGGCCCCTACGTGTCAAGTACCTATATAAATATTTCTTTGATTCAGAAAAAAACATGTAAAAAAAATTAGATAAATTTAGACAATATTTCAAGACTAGAATGTGTTTATACTTTTTAATCACGAAAAACAGAGTAACAAGAATCATCCACTGACATTTTTATACATAACCATTAAAAATACTTATAAAAATATACATGTAAGTCATCCCGACCTGATGAGTATACAATTTGTAACATAAACAGTATATGTACATGAACGTGAAAGAAAGTTAGTTACAACAGGGTGAACAAAAATAGAGATCTCTTTTTGTCTCTCAGGTACCACGGCCGCCCTAGACTTAGCAAGACCGTCGTCACATTTTATGTCCCAGGACCCCTCAAAACTCCACGGTCTGTCACAATTTTAGTAAAGGTTGCAGTAGAGTTCCTGGCCGTCCTTGACCTTACAGGGTCGCTGAAGTCGACCTTGAACAAGCCGAACTTGGGCCTGTAGCCAGCGGTCCACTCAAAACTGTCGGCAAGTGATCGATAGGTGTAGGCCTTGACGTCACTTCCGTCGATAACAACAGCTGAAATATTGAGCAAAAATCAGACATTTCTTGGGATTTGATGCCTTCAGAGTATTGACAAAAAAACAACATATACAGTGATGACGATAAACCAAGAATCCGATTGGTTTACAACAATTGCTAAAGAACGTCTTTGTACTTTTTAAATCGACAGGTTTCGCATTCTTTTTAATAAAACAAATTTCTATTAAAATTGGAGCAAGTACTTTGTTTGGTTTTAATGAAATGTACGTGTTTGAATCGGGAAAAAATCCATAGCTATTCGATAAACATTCAACTCACCTTTGAGTACCTCGTCCACATGATGACTAATGAAATCAGACCTGAAATTATCGTTCAGATCCCCAGCCTCGTCCTTGACCCCATTTCCTGTGACCATGACCTGGATGTTGTTGTACCGTCGTCTGATGACGCCCAGTACAGCCCTCAGTCCCTGAGGATTCGATCTGTTAGGGCTGGGGTAATCGGTCAGAGCGAGTACTCCTTCCTCTGTAACGTTAGCATCTCTGCCCACAGATTTTGTGTTGTAGTAATCGAGTCCAAAGAAGTCGGCGCTCCCTGTAAAATACCAAGTTATCTGTTTGTTTATCTTGTATTGAATGCATACAACAGCCATAGAACATTATTAAATGTAATTATATATATCTATACCGAATTCATTGATTTCTTTAACTTGTACTTCTGCAGATTTGGGTTCTAGCTTTGTTTCCTATATTATCAGTAGCTAAATATCACTGTCACCGATTACGATTTGCAAGAAGTTTAATCGTAATTTTGAACATTAACTGAGTAACTATTGTTATAAGAACCATAGTTGTAATGAAGAAAGCTAACGCCCACCTTGAATCAGCTCTTGTTCTGACGCCGACAGTGGAACCAAGTCTTGTCCAGCTGTGACCTTGACCTCATCAGAAAAGTCGCCGCTGCCAAAGATGGGGTCAGCAAAAAGCCCAAAGCTGTACTCTGTGACCCGCTCGGCTGACCTGGCGTGGCTGGGGTCTCTGGGATTGTTTGGACTGGCCAGTATTGGGGCCAGAGAGATGCCCACAAAACCTGGAGGGGAGATCAGCTAGAATAAAAACTTTTTTAAAGAAAGTGATGCTATTTTGTGCCTGACATCAGGTGAAGTAGAGTTGACGTGTTCCTGGGATCTCGGCATTTGAGAGTATAGTGCAGATAGTCCCCCAGTCGCATTTACTTTCCCATTTAAAGCCAGGTTCCGATCAGAATTAATGGACTCAAGTACGTTTATATGGACTCGAACCCAAACAGAACAAATACTACTTACGTGTGTTAACCTAAACGACAACAACCAAAGAGCCATCACCTTTTTGGTCAGCTTTAAACTCCGTCTGGTACAGCCTGTATGCACGTGCGTGAGCGAGCAAGACGTTTTTGTAGACCTTGTACCTGTCCTGCTCCTGACCCGCAGGTAACAGGGACGGCAGGTTTTCTGGCAGGGAAAAGGTCGACCAGTAAAATACCTGTCGGACAAAACAATAAGGAGTTACCCAAACATTTTTTTCAATTATTACAAAGCCAGCGAACGCACATGGGTCAATTTTGTGTTATGAAAAATTTAGGAATGATAGATCAGTATGAATATTACAGCGACCCACGGTCGTCTTTTTTTTTTTGGCCATCATTGGCCACAATGTCAACTTTTGGCTTCACAGCTAAGGATACAGAGTAGCATCCCCTGTTTTGGTCAGTTTTCATGCCATTTTACTTTATTCATTTAATTACTATAATATATACAGTTTTATGATCATGTCTTTGAAACTGTATAAAACTACAAAAGAAATTATTATTGTTACATTAGCTGTTTAAAATAAATTTCGGAAAAAAAAACAGCGTGATGACAGCTATGGCTATAGATGTTTGAAAGGGACGAATGTTTGATTTGATGTGTCTCATTGTACTCAACATAGCATCCAGATTGCTAATAATATTTATAATTTTTTTTTCTTACTCCCAAATTTATTTCAGCTCTAGTTATAAGCTTAGATCCCTTCAACCCACACCCACCCCCTCCCACCCCAAAAAAAGCCAACACCTTTAACAATATTATTAATATTATTTTTTTATTCCCTAAATTTATTTCAGCTCCACTTATTAGACCATACCCCATCAACCCACCTCGCCCAAAGGGAGAAAAAGAGAAGGAAGGGGGGGGGGGGTTAAACCAAAAAAAAAACCAGACAGTTGAATCGACATTTAATCACATATTTGCATTTTCACGTTGAAAGTAAAATTGTAATTAGACGTTTTGTATGATGTATAAGTAAACCACTTTGGATAAACCAAAGAACCTATCAGAAAGATGTTTATCATTGTAAATCTGAATTAGTACTTATAAGCCGATGATAACAAGGTAATAGTAAAGCGAAAATGGCAAGATAGATAGACATTGTAAATTGTGTGTCGGGGGTAATTTTTTTTCTTTCTCTTTTTTGCCTCAGACATGTAATATTTACTTCGATGCGATAATCACTTGGATAAAATTGCAACATCAGAGTTTAAATTTGCTAATAAAATATACTTACTGGTTTTATTTTATGATTTAAATAGAAAAAATGTTAATCTGTTTTAAACTATGATTAAAATTTACGTAATAATAATTTACTGTTAAAATTCTGATGTTTTATTTTATGTTCGTTAAGTGTTTATTCTTTATAAATATGAATATTTTAACGTTCTCTTAAATAATAATTAGACCAATCCGGTTTTTTTTATTTGCACTCGAGTTCAGTCCCCTACTTCATCAAATCGTATTTAACTAAATTAAACTAATGCAATGCACCATGAGGACGTTTGAGTACCTTCGTCCCAAACTGTTCGAAACAGACCCGGGCTAGGTAAAGATATTCATCGACCATTGCAGGCTCCCACCAGCCGGTTTTCTGGGGAATATTCAAATTTGGGTTTAACTAAAGATCGATAACTGGGTATTTGTGTTGAATTATTTGATTGAATTGTGTGTGGGTTAGACTTGTGTGTTTCATGATAGGCTCTCTCAGGGTAGGATTATATGTACTGTTTGACGTTAGCATTTTATGTACTGTTTCATATTGGGATTATATGTAGTATGATGTAAGCATTATATGTACTGTTTGATGTAAGCATTATATGTACTGTTTGACGTTAGCATTAAATGTACTGTTTCATGTTAGGAATATGTGTACAATTTTTAAATAAGTGACTTTTAAGGAATAAATGTTTATGTTAATCAAAATATCAAATTATCGCTAGACTGACCTTGACCCCAGTCGTGGTTTTATTTGAGCTAGACTGACCTGAAAGAGAGCCGGGTAATCCCATTGGTTGATGACGACAGCAGGCACTAGACCAGCGTCCAGCAACTGGTCAATGAGCGTGTGGTAATAGTTGATGCCAGACTGGCTTACACCTCCAGCACTTCCGGTTGGCAGGACACGTGACCAGGTGATTGGGAAGTAAAAGTGGTTGGCCTGTAGGTGAATAAAAGTGGTTGGCCTGTAGGTAAATAAAAGTGGTTGGTCCGTAGGCAAATAAAAGTGGTTGGCCTGTAGGCAAATAAAAGTGGTTGGCCTGTAGGCAAATGAAAGTGGTTGGCCCGTAGGCAAATAAAAGTGGTTGGCCTGTAGGCAAATAAAAGTGGTTGGCCTGTAGAAAAATAAAAGTGGTTGGCCTGTAGGCAAATAAAAGTGGTTGGCCTGTAGGTGAATAAAAGTGGTTGGCCTGTAGGCAAATAAAAGTGGTTGGCCTGTAGGAAAATAAAAGTGGTTGGCCTGTAGGCAAATAAAAGTGGTTGGCCTGTAGGTGAATAAAAGTGGTTGGCCTGTAGGCAAATAAAAGTGGTTGGTCTGTAGGCAAATAAAAGTGGTTGGCCTGTAGGCAAATAAAAGTGGTTGGCCTGTAGGTGAATAAAAGTGGTTGGCCTGTAGGAATAGAAAAAGATTCGCTTGCAGGTGAATAATCTGTAGTGACATTAATTGGCCATCCTAGCATTATCTGAACACACATGGAATTACCTGGCAATACCTGGATACTCCTGGCATTACCTGGATACTCCTGGCATTACCTGGATACTCCTGGCATTACCTGGATACTCCTGGCATTACCTGGATACTCCTTATATTACCTGGATACTCCTGAGATTACCGGTATATTCCTGACATTACCTGGATACATCTGACATTACCTGGATACTCCTGATATTACCTGGACACTCCTGAAATTACCTGGATACTCCTGATATTACCTGGATACTCCTGAGATTACCGGTATATTCCTGACATTACATGGATACTCCTGACATAACCTGGATACTCCTCCCATTACCTGGATACACCTGACATTACCTGGATACACCTGACATTACCTGGATACACCTGACATTACCTGGCTACACCTGACATTACCTGGATACATCTGACATTACCTGGATAACCTGACATTACCTGGATACATCTGACATTACCTGGATACACCTGACATTACCTGGATACACCTGACATTACCTGGATACATCTGACATTACCTGGATACTCCTGGCTTTACCTGACATTACCTGGATACACCTGACATTACCTGGATACATCTGACATTACCTGGATACATCTGACATTACCTGGATACTCCTGGCTTTACCTGACATTACCTGGATACACCTGACATTACCTGGATACATCTGACATTACCTATCTACTGCTGACATTACCTGGATACAACTTACATTACCTGGATACACCTGGCATTACCTGGATACACCTGGCATTACCTGGATACACCTGACATTACCTGGATACTCCTGAGCGACATTATATCCCTCGAGATCTGAGCACTGGCGTCCAAGACTGAAGGCACCAGACTTGTCGTGTTGAGGAGCAGATCCACGACACTGGACCCACGATCTGTTGAACAAAACGTTTGGTCCTGCTTTAACCAGCACCATTGCTCAGTTCCTGGTGAATCTTTTAACACAACAAAGGCACAGGTTGAAAGACAACAACTTTTTGTTTACTAATGATCATTGTTTAAAGATATTGTAAAAATGGATCAGATGCGATTGAGTTTTACAACATGCACCTACATATACTGATGTATCAGTTCTATCAACATACCCATTCAACTGAGACTACTGATGTATCAGTTCTATCAACATACCCATACAACTGAGGCTACTGATGTTTCAGTCGTACAACATACAACTGAGACTACTGATGTTTCAGTTCTATCAACATACCCATACAACTGAGGCTACTGATGTTTCAGTCGTACAACATACAACTGAGACTACTGATGTTTCAGTTCTATCAACATACCCATACAACTGAGGCTACTGTTGTTTCAGTTCTATCAACATACAACTGAGGCTACTGATGTTTCAGTCGTACAACATACAACTGAGACTACTGATGTTTCAGTTCTATCAACATACCCATACAACTGAGGCTACTGATGTTTCAGTCGTACAACATACAACTGAGTCTACTGATGTTTCAGTAATATCAACATACCCATACAACTGAGGCTACTGATGTTTCAGTCGTACAACATACAACTGAGACTACTGATGTTTCAGTTCTATCAACATACCCATACAACTGAGGCTACTGATGTTTCAGTTCTATCAACATAGCCATACAACTGAGACTACTGATGTATCAGTTCTATCAACATAGCCATACAACTGAGGCTAATGTTGTTTCAGTTCTATCAACATACCCATACAACTGAGACTACTGATGTATCAGTCTTACAACATACAACTGAGTCTACTGATGTATCAGTTCTATCAACATACAACTGAGGCTACTGATGTTTCAGTTATATCAACATACAACTGAGGCTACTGATGTATCAGTTCTATCAACATACCCATACAACTGAGACTACTGATGTTTCAGTCGTACAACATACAACTGAGACTACTGATGTTTCAGTTCTATCAACATACCCATACAACTGAGACTACTGATGTATCAGTTCTATCAACATACAACTGAGACTACTGATGTATCAGTTCTATCAACATACCGTGGTTGTTGACCTCCCCTTGTACGTCAAACCCCACTGCTGACACACCAAAAGAAAAGGCATCAGGAAACTGGCCGTAGTAGACGTCATTCTCATAGAGAGGTGCAGCTCTTGTCTTAGGGTCGGTTGGGGTTCCTTCTATAAAGCCGTTCTGTCTGGAGAGAGTGGGGGGATGTAGTCGTTGGAAATTTGTATTACGGGATGTTGAAGTTGAACTAAAACGCTTACGTTATAGTGTATAGTGACATATTTGTTATGAGTTAATTGCCATGTAAACATACATAAGTAATACGTGAGTTCATTATTCGATGGCGCATACTCATCTGTAAAGACACTAAGACTAACCTGTAAAGACACTAAGACTCACCTGTAAAGACACTAAGACTAACCTGTAAAGACACTAAGACTCACCTGTAAAGACACTAAGACTCACATGTAAAGACACTAAGACTCACCTGTAAAGACACTAAGACTCACCTGTAAAGCTCATACAAATAGCGAGCTGATGTTTTGGGTCTCCGTGTTCTGTTGGGGTGGTTAAAATCCACCTGATAGACGCCAAACTTGACGGAGTATCCAATCGACCACTCGAAGTTGTCCAGCAGTGACCAAGTGAAGTAGCCTTTCACGTTCACTTTGTCCAGTACGATAGCTGTCCAATATAACACAACTTAGACCAATCTTCATGCACAGTAAAAGATACCAATGGACAAAATATCGGTGTACATTCATAATATTCACAAACTTATAAGATATCATAGTATCGGCATAACTAATGATGTAGACATTTTCAAAGCTATATTTCAGATTCTTTGATGTCAAAGACATTCTGCTCAAACTATCGTTCATAAGTTTAACATCAATGCCCAGGTAGAGTTATACCATAGGCTACACAGGTAGACTTATACCATAGACTACACAGGTAGACTTACAGGCTACACAGGTAGACTTATACCATAGACTACACATGTAGACTTACAGGCTAGACAGGTAGACTTATGCCATAGTTTACACAGGTAGACTTATGCCATAGTTTACACAGGTAGACTTATAGGCTAGACAGGTAGACTTATACCATAGGCTACACAGGTAGACTTATACCATAGGCTACACAGGTAGACTTATAGGCTAGACAGGTAGACTTATACCATAGGCTACACAGGTAGACTTATACCATAGGCTACACAGGTAGACTTATACCATAGACTACACAGGTAGACTTATACCATAGGCTACACAGGTAGACTTATAGGCTAGACAGGTAGACTTATACCATAGGCTACACAGGTAGACTTATATCATAGGCTACACAGGTAGACTTATACCATAGGCTACACAGGTAGACTTATGGGCTACACAGGTAGACTTATACCATAGGCGACCCAGGTAGACTTACAGTTTAGACAGGTAGACGTACCTTTGAGGACGTTGTTGATATAATCCTGTAAATAGAGCACACGATGGGGGTCGTCTAACGTGCCGTTGTCGTCACTGATACCGTTTTCTGTGATGTAGATGGGGATGTCGCCATATTCCCTTCTTATCCAGTTCAGGACTTTCCTCAGGCCAATCGGGTTGACCCAGGCATATGGCCAGTACGGGCTGATAATAAAGAGATTGAACGAAATTTTATATCATACATTACTTTTAAATGTTTTAAAACCTAATCCAAATTATGAACACAGAAACCCCTAGCTTACGTCTAATTTTATGTTGTCTGACCATAGTTTTTAACACAATGATTTTCTTCACATTTAATCATTGCATCAGTGATTTACTTTCTATCATTATAACTCGGTTATCAAATACGCTATGATTATTATTTATTGATTATTGTAGTGGGTTTTGGTGCCTACGTCTGCCATGCCGGGTCCTTATAATCGCTGACTTTCTGGTCGCCGAAATAGCCAGGCTCGCCTCCAATAGATTCGTAGGCCACGTTACTTGAGTAGTGGTTTAACCCTAGGAAGTCGGCAGTGCCTGGGGAAGGGTGTATTGTCGAAAGTTGATCTTTAATTTTAAAGATCGTCAGTAAACTAATCGTTGTTTATTATACACAATATTTTCAACTGCTAAATATACGATATCATTTAGTGATTTCCTTAAAAAAACATTTTTTTTCTTCTAAAAAAAGATCTAGTGTTACATTTTTTTAATTAAAAATCCCCATATAATATATAACATGCGATAAAACTATTTGAAATTATATATAGAATTTTCCTCGAGTAATTCAAAAACCTTGACCTTACCCTTGATTCTAAGTTTTTCCTCCGGTGTAAACTCCGGCAGCCTGGAGGTGGCCAGACCTTCTTCAAGACTGGCGTTTAGAACGTAGGCTTTCATCACATCCGGGTAGTCGCCACTGACCAGGATGGGGTGGGCGTGCCAGCCCATCCAGAACTGGAGTTTCCGGTCTGACGCCTCGATGTCCTGCTCCACGGTCACGTCACGTGGTTCAAACCACTCGCAGTTCAAGGTGATGCCAACCTGACCTGGTGCATGGCAAACACTAACATTTACATTTTAAGATCTTATAAAATCCATGATTTTTTTTAAAATGTATCCAAGAAATAGCACAACAAAACCTGTTTGTGTATCCTTGAACATATCTTGATACAAATGATAAGCTTCAGCGTGGGCTTTGATGACGTAATGTGACGCCTTGTACGGGTTATTCCTGATGTCTTTGATGCCAGGGGCGTCGTTGCCTTGTCCGTAGCCGAACAGGGTGAAGACCCAAGGCTCGTTAAACGTTATCCACATTTTTACCTGAGATTAGAATAGCAATTTCAAATAAATAAATTGTGTTGAATATAATACGTATGTATCCCCCCATCACCCCGTCTCGTACGGTCTGGTACCTGGTCTCCAAACTGTGTATAGCAAAGCTCAGCGTAATCTTTGAACCAGCCGACAATGTCTGGGTTTAACCAGCCGCCCTTGTCTTGGAGGCCTTGGGGTAGGTCCCAGTGGTACATGGTGACTAGAGGCTCCACCCCTGTCAGATATAAAGTGATACATGGTGACTAGAGGCTCCACCCCTGTCAGATATAAAGTGGTACATGGTGACTAGAGGCTCCACCCCTGTCAGATATAAAGTGGAACATGGTCACTAGAGGCTCCACCCCTGTCAGATATAAAGTGGTACATGGTGACTAGAGGCTCCACCCCTGTCAGATATAAAGTGGTACATGGTAACTAGAGGCTCCACCCCTGTCAGATATAAAGTGATACATGGTGACTAGAGGCTCCACCCCTGTCAGATATAAAGTGGTACATGGTGACTAGAGGCTCCACCCCTGTCAGATATAAAGTGGTACATGGTCACTAGAGGCTCCACCCCTGTCACTAGATGCTCCACCCCTGCCAGATATAAAGTGGTACATGGTGACTAGAGGCTCCACCCCTGTCAGATATAAAGTGGTACATGGTGACTAGAGGCTCCACCCCTGTCAGATATAAAGTGGTACATGGTGACTAGAGGCTCCACCCCTGTCAGATATAAAGTGGTACATGGTGACTAGAGGCTCCACCCCTGTCACTAGAGGCTCCACCCCTGTCAGATATAAAGTGGTACATGGTCACTAGAGGCTCCACCCCTGTCACTAGAGGCTCCACCCCTGCCAGATATAAAGTGGTACATGGTCACTAGAGGCTCCACCCCTGTCAGATATAAAGTGGTACATGGTGACTAGAGGCTCCACCCCTGTCAGATATAAAGTGGTACATGGTCACGAGAGGCTCCACCCCTGTCACTAGAGGCTCCACCCCTGTCAGATATAAAGTGGTACATGGTCACTAGAGGCTCCACCCCTGTCACTAGAGGCTCCACCCCTGTCAGATATAAAGTGGTACATGGTCACTAGAGGCTCCACCCCTGTCAGATATAAAGTGGTACATGGTCACTAGAGGCTCCACCCCTGTCAGATATAAAGTGGTACATGGTGACTAGAGGCTCCACCCCTGTCAGATATAAAGTGGTACATGGTCACTAGAGGCTCCATCCCTGTCAGATATAAAGTGGTACATGGTCACTAGAGGCTCCACCCCTGTCAGATATAAAGTGGTACATGGTCACTAGAGGCTCCACCCCTGTCACTAGAGGCTCCACCCCTGTCAGATATAAAGTGGTACATGGTCACTAGAGGCTCCATCCCTGTCAGATATAAAGTGGTACATGGTCACTAGAGGCTCCACCCCTGTCAGATATAAAGTGGTACATGGTGACTAGAGGCTCCACCCCTGTCAGATATAAAGTGGTACATGGTGACTAGAGGCTCCATCCCTGTCAGATATAAAGTGGTACATGGTGACTAGAGGCTCCACCCCTGTCAGATATAAAGTGGTACATGGTCACTAGAGGCTCCATCCCTGTCAGATATAAAGTGGTACATGGTCACTAGAGGCTCCACCCCTGTCAGATATAAAGTGGTACATGGTGACTAGAGGCTCCATCCCTGTCAGATATAAAGTGGTACATGGTCACTAGAGGCTCCATCCCTGTCAGATATAAAGTGGTACATGGTCACTAGAGGCTCCACCCCTGCCACTAGAGGCTCCACCCCTGTCAGATATAAAGTGGTACATGGTCACTAGAGGCTCCACCCCTGTCAGATATAAAGTGGTACATGGTCACTAGAGGCTCCATCCCTGTCAGATATAAAGTGGTACATGGTGACTAGAGGCTCCATCCCTGTCAGATATAAAGTGGTACATGGTGACTAGAGGCTCCACCCCTGTCAGATATAAAGTGGTACATGGTCACTAGAGGCTCCATCCCTGTCAGATATAAAGTGGTACATGGTCACTAGAGGCTCCACCCCTGTCAGATATAAAGTGGTACATGGTCACTAGAGGCTCCATCCCTGTCAGATATAAAGTGGTACATGGTACCTAGAGGCTCCACCCCTGTAGAATTAGAGCAAGTCAAGTAGGTAAACTAATGTTCTCAACTGCTGGTAAAATACTGACCAAAGCTATCGAGAAAGTGTACTGTTGGAGTGGAAACAATAACAATTTTTTTGCTCTTAAATTTCTGTATTTTATAAAAGCTTTACGAAGTTCTTATTACTAAACTAGTCTTCAAATGTTGAGATAGAAGTTTAATTTTATTGATATGATGAGAACGAACCTATTTCTCTGAGTTTCCTGATGAATGTTTTGTAATGATCCATTCCGGCTTGGTTAGCTGGCAGAGTTCCGTTGGGTAGGAGACGGGCCCAGGACAGAGAGAAGCGGTAGTGGCTGATCTGATAAACGCATTTCAAATCACAAACAGTTATTTCCAGGCAAAGCTCAATGGCTACTTGTATGAAAGCCTAACGTATATGTCCTGAATTTTAAGACTATTATCCTATAACTTTATCTCCCATTTAGTCGATTCTCATATGAATATTGACAAATATATAATTGATTCCATTAAACGTTGACCTTGATATAAAACGTACCCCCAGGTCTTTGATGATCTGAATGTCCTCGTCCATTTTGTTATAGCTGTCACAAGCCACGTCACCCGTGTCGTTGTTTTTTATCAATCCCAGGTGGCTCTGTCGGTCCCAGATACTCTCTCCTTTACCTGAACCAGGTGTTTGTTTAAACAGGAGGTTTACTGTAAGCTCAGCCCAACTGAGGCACATTCAAATTTCAAATACCCTTGCTTATTTCATTTCATCCCCCCTACTGATTTATTACAATTAACATCCCACCCTTCACATCTTCTGACCGTCCTCACAATGACCCCCCCCCCCACCCCACCCCGTCCCAGTGTTGTAAGCATCAAATTTTTACCCCTGTATTTACCATCCTTGTAGAGCCATCTCTTTCTTAACATCAACATCCCCATCCCCCACCCCCATCTTACCATCAACATGCCCCACCCCCACCTTACCATCAGCATCCCACCCCCACATCCCCAACTTACCATCAGCACCCCATCACCCACCCCATCATACCATCAGCATCCCACGCGCCCTCTATCTGGTAAGCAGACGTGGCCATGCCCCAGGCGAAATTCTCTGGAAATTTGCCGTACAGGAAGTCGTCAGTCATTTCCACAGCCGTGCCCCACCCACCTTTCTGTGTGTAGCCGTGTTTGAAGCTGGTGGAGACAAGCACAACTGTACATTGTTTACAAGCAGCGACACAAAACACGTGTACTCGTAGATTACAACTTTACACCTACATAGTGTAAAACATTTCCTCACCCATTATCCGCCACCAGTGTTTTGAAAAACTGGGCCGATGCCTTGGGTGTCCTGGGTCTGGCCGGGTCAGTAAAGTTGACGTGGTAGAGGCCGAACTTCTCGTCAAACGCCCACAGCCACTCCAGGTTGTCCATCAGGGACCAGGCCGTGTAGCCCTTCACGTTACAGCCGTCTAATTTAATGGCTGAAATGACGTCATCAAAATGTGGGGGTTTTTTTTACCGATACATCAACGGGGACTACAGTGGGTGTGTAGGGCATGGGCATATAAAGAACTCAAGTGTTAGTTAAGATTTAAAGTACCCAAAGCTAGTAACACATCATGGACCAGAAGCGTGATAGCTCAGAAATAAAAAGTAGAGGAGCTTCGATTAGAACAGTTTTTAGTCATATATTGGTTGTTAACACTACCAAAGTCTGGCCTGCTCTAGAGATATGGGCAGCAACTTCAAGCTGCCTTACTGCAACAGGTAAATTGAAATCAGAGTAGACCGTCTAAAGTTTTGTATCTAAGAAATATTTCAATGGCCATAAGGAGGATGCCGTGTCTAGTGGTAGGACGCTCGGCTGCTAGTCTGGAATTCATATGTTCAGATCAAGGGCTTGAGCACATTAACCGTTGGGTATCTGACTGACGTCCGGGAAAGTCAATTCAGCTAAAGTACATCTGGTTTCTTAAATACTTTACGGAGGTCATAGAAACAGATCAACTCTACCTTACCTGCCCTAATGAGGACCCAGACAGAGCTCACCTTTCAAAACTTCACTCAGGTAGAGCCTGTAGTAGTGGATCCTGTGCCAGTCGTGCAGGCTGCCGTTCCGGTCACTGATGCCGTTCTCTGTGATGTAGACCGGCACGTTGTTGTAGTGGTACTTGTACCAGTTCATCAACTTCCGGATGGAAAAGGGCGCCACCTTCAGCCAAAACGATCCCGACCTGTTGCGGATATGCCATTAGGTCAACTAAACAAGGTTTGATTCAAATATGTTAGGATGATAACAGTGATGTTTTATTTATTTTTTATAAATATAGACTTTTTATAAAAAAAAGATTAAAAACGTGTGTAGCTAGTTGGTTTTTGTGTGTGATTTTTTTGGCCAAAACAACAATCTTCGTCTAGATTATTAGTATTGTATAATTTTGTATTTTAGGCGGTTGTTTTTCACAATCATTAAATCCACATTTAATAATAATCTGAGTTTTATCTAACAATGTAGCTTACCCGAGCCATTTGGGGTCGTATTCTGATGACGTGGCCTTGTCGTTGTAGTAGTTTGGTGGATTGGACGCGGGTTGTGGGTCGTTGCTGTCGTATGTCGCGGTGTAGAGGTTGGCGCCCAGGAAGTCAGCAGTACCTGACAACAACATGAGGGACATTGGTATCTTGGGGCATTGACCACTGGTGTAGATACTAGAACACGAGTTAGTGGGGGAGGGGGGGGACAGTGGGGCATCGACCACTGGTATAGGTACTAGAACACGAGTTAGTGGGGGGGTAATGTGGGGCATAGGCCACTAGTGTAAAAACTAGAACTGTGTTTCAATCCTAAAGTTTCCAACGACGACTTCTGCAAGCAGAAGAAGCTTAAAGAAAACGTGTGAGCCCTAATACTTAGATACAAACAGCCAGCACGATTTAACAGGTCAATGGTTGGACAGAACAAAACACCTGTAAGCAACAGATGGCACACTATTTGAGAATCATGTAGTAAAAACCAGCCTATCACCATCTAACTCAAAAGAAAAAAAAGTGAATTTCATGTACTCAAGTAATTTTAGCCAGGATTAAGCGTAAAAGTACTTTTAAAGTGTATAAAACCAAATACGACCCAAATATTTTGTAGCACAAACCAACAAAAATCATCTTCCTATTGCCATGTATTCAAGAGTAAACAAACATCAGTACTTTTTTAGAGGAGAGTAGAGGCTATCGTGTGAAAAAAACAAAGCTAACTGTCAACAGATTAATCAAAATAATTATCGCGACCTTTAATTAACTGTTTTTCGTCTTCGGTGAAAGCTGGCAGACGACTCTCATTAAGGCCCTGCTCTCGGCTTCTCTCGGCAACTCTCGCTTTCATAATCTGTCAAGGTGAAACAAATATCTAGAAACATATTTTTTTCATCACATTTTTTAAGACACATTTTTTTCATTACCTGTCAAACATAAAACAATTTTTTTTCAGAATTTGTCAACAAAAGCACACTTTCAATATTTTATAAAGCTGTATCAAATGTGGTTACTTACGATATTGAAATATGGGCTACAAAACCTATGTGTATTTGTCATTTTCTAGGACGTTCTTAATAATCCAAAAGCGAATCAAAAACCTTAGGATCGAAACTTCGATTTCTGTATTCAAATATATGGGTAGTCGCCTCTGATGAAAATCGTATCACAAACCTTAGTATCGATATTTTGATGAAGTATTTAGACAAATGTTTGAGTAGTACCTGCGGGTAGTCGCCTCTGATGAAAATCGTATCACAAACCTTAGTATCGATATTTTGATGAAGTATTTAGACAAATGTTTGAGTAGTACCTGCGGGTAGTCGCCTCTGATGAAAATCGTATCACAAACCTTAGTATCGATATTTTGATGAAGTATTTAGACAAATGTTTGAGTAGTACCTGCGGGTAGTCGCCGTCGATGAAGATCGGATGTCCAAACCAATCGCTGTAGAAACTTAAGCTGGTCATGGCGGCCTTCACGTCTGATAGGTTCAGCGGGTCACGTGGTTCGGCCCAGTTCTGGTTGATGGTGATGCCAACCTCTCCTAATTGTGGACATTAATTAATTAACTAATCATCTATCACACTGTGCCCATTCAGTTGAAGAAGGATGCGAATCACTCACCTTTCTGGGTAGGCTTAAAGTCCCTCTCGTAGAGCCTGTAGGCTTTAGCGTGGGCCAGGATCAGGTTGTGACCCGCCTGATAAGCTCCTCTAGCGGGGTCAAAGTTCCCAGGGGGGAAAATACCATCTCCGTAACCGAGGATGGTGACAATTGGGGGCTCGTTAAATGTGATCCATTTCTTCACCTGTTGTGGTGGGGTTTATGTCAGTGTAAGAAGTGAAGAAGCATGCGTTAATAATGTCTCGCAGCTTTCATATAGGGTTAAATTAATTAGGATTTACCCGATCTCCGAACCGTTGGAAACAGAGTCTGCTGTACTCGACAAAATCATCCTGTAGGCTGCTGTTGAGCCAGCCGCCTTTGTCTTGCAGGGTTTGTGGTAGGTCCCAGTGATACAGCGTCACCATAGGTCTAGACAGGCAAAAATAGGTATCTCTTTGCTAGACTATCAGGATTGTCTTGGTTTAAATAACAGATTTCAGCTGAGTTAAGTTTAATTAAAATAAGTATGTTCGTGTTTAATTGTTAAACTACAAGAAGTTTTCTAAGTAGGCTGAGTTTTGGAGTGAAACAACTCTGATGCTGATGTACCCAGACAAACATTTAAAAAGCGACTGTTAAAGTAAACTAACGTCATATGTTACCTACTGTCGACTTACTGAATATTGTTGAGTATGTTCAAGTAAACAAACGTAATATGTTACCTGCTGTCGACTTACTGAATATTGTTGTGCATGAGTTCAAGTAAACAAACGTAATATGTTACCTGCTGTCGACTTACTGAATATTGTTGTGCATGAGTTCAAGTAAACTAACGTCATATGTTACCTGCTGTCGACTTACTGAATATTGTTGTGCATGAGTTCAAGTAAACTAACGTCATATGTTACATGCTAACGACTTACTGAATATTGTTGTGTATGAGTTCAAGTAAACTAACGTCATATGTTACATGCTGTCGACTTACTGAATATTGTTATGTATGAGTTCATCAATCAGGTTGTTGTAGTACTGGATCCCCGGCTCATTGATGGTGTTTGGCGTGCCGTCAGCCATCACTCGGGGCCAGGAGATGGAGAAACGGTAATGGTTGACCTAGAGGCAGACACCAGGGGAGAAACGGTAATGGTTGACCTAGAGGCAGACACCAGGGGAGAAACGGTAATGGTTGACCTAGAGGCAGACACCAGGGGAGAAACGGTAATGGTTGACCTAGAGGCAGACACCAGGGGAGGGGGAGAAACGGTAATGGTTGACCTAGAGGCAGAAACCAGGGGAGAAACGGTAATGGTTGACCTAGAGGCAGACACCAGGGGAGAAACGGTAATGGTTGACCTAGAGGCAGGCACCAGGGGAGAAACGGTAATGGTTGACCTAGAGGCAGACACCAGGGGAGAAACGGTAATGGTTGACCTAGAGGCAGACACCAGGGGAGAAACGGTAATGGTTGACCTAGAGGCAGACACCAGGGGAGAAACGGTAATGGTTGACCTAGAGGCAGACACCAGGGGAGAAACGGTAATGGTTGACCTAGAGGCAGACACCAGGGGAGGGGGAGAAACGGTAATGGTTGACCTAGAGGCAGAAACCAGGGGAGAAACGGTAATGGTTGACCTAGAGGCAGACACCAGGGGAGAAACGGTAATGGTTGACCTAGAGGCAGACACCAGGTGAGAAACGGTAATGGTTGACCTAGAGGCAGACAGCAGGGGAGAAACGGTAATGGTTCAACTAGACAGGGGAGAAACGGTAATGGTTGACCTAGAGGCAGACACCAGGGGAGAAACGGTAATGGTTGACCTAGAGGCAGACACCAGGGGAGGGGGAGAAACGGTAATGGTTGACCTAGAGGCAGGCACCAGGGGAGAAACGGTAATGGTTCAACTAGAGGCAGGCACCAGGGGAGAAACGGTAATGGTTGACCTAGAGGCAGACACCAGGGGAGGGGGAGAAACGGTAATGGTTGACCTAGAGGCACACACCAGGGGAGAAACGGTAATGGTTGACCTAGAGGCAGGCACCAGGGGAGAAACGGTAATGGTTCAACTAGACAGGGGAGAAACGGTAATGGTTGACCTAGAGGCAGGCACCAGGGGAGAAACGGTAATGGTTGACCTAGAGGCAGACACCAGGGGAGGGGGAGAAACGGTAATGGTTGACCTAGAGGCAGACACCAGGGGAGAAACGGTAATGGTTGACCTAGAGGCAGACACCAGGGGAGAAACGGTAATGGTTGACCTAGAGGCAGACACCAGGGGAGAAACGGTAATGGTTGACCTAGAGGCAGACACCAGGGGAGGGGGAGAAACGGTAATGGTTGACCTAGAGGCAGAAACCAGGGGAGAAACGGTAATGGTTGACCTAGAGGCAGACACCAGGGGAGAAACGGTAATGGTTGACCTAGAGGCAGACACCAGGGGTTTATTCTGGCTTGTGTTTACTTAAAACATTTCTTTCATTCAACCAGCCGAAGTTGTTTGCGATCAAGTCATTTACTTGTAAGATGTAATGATAGTCTGTGATATGTTTACATTTTTACAAACGGGTTTTTTAATCCTTAGGAATTACCAAACGTTTTTTCCTTAATGACACAGCTAGAGATGTTTTCCCAAAACCTTGAATTAATTCCCCCCCCCCCCCCCCCCCCAAGAGTGAGGTAACGATGTTTTACTAAAAAGATTTTGCTAAATTTATTTGACCCCAATAATTGAGCTAACAATGTTTCACTACTAAGAATGAGCTAAAGATATTTTACCCCAAAGATTGAGCTTAAGATATTTTACCCCAAAGATTGAGCTTAAGATATTTGACCCCAAAGATTGAGCTAAAGATATTTTACCCCGAGGTACTTGAGCATCTGAACATCTTCCTTGTACTTGTGGTAGCTGTCACAGGCCACGTCACCAGTCTCGTTGTGGGAGATTTTATTGCTGTGGGCCCAGGTGTCCCAGATACTCGGGCCCTTGCCTGGACAGTTCAAAATATGACGTCATTAGTGGTCAATGTTTGATCAAGCTCTTTAAGTCATAATGATACAGTCGGTTCTCCTAGTCTAGTTTATTCAAATATGGCGAGATATCTATAGCAGTTCAGATTTTATTTTAACACGACTAAACTGTTTTAAATTTAATGCAACCAAAAAGTAGAAGTATAAATTTATACTGAACATTAGCATAGCCCACATGCAAGGTACGATAATACTACACATCACACATCACACAGAACACATCACACGACATATACCCCACATCACACATGGTAAGATGCTGTCATACATCACACGTCATACATCACACGTCATACATCACACGTCATACATCACACGTCATACATCACACAAGGTAAGATGCAGTAGCGGTGGCCAATACATCACACGTTATATATCACACATCATACACCACACATCATACATCACACATCATACAGCACACATCACAGATGTATCAACTCACCATCCTCATTCCAGCCGCCCTCGACCTGGTAAGATGCTGTATCGGTGGCCAATACATCACACATCATACGTTACACGTCATACATCACACATCACACATGGTAAGATGCAGTAGCGGTGGCCCATACATTACACGTCATACATCACAGATGTATCAACTCACCATCCTCATCCCACCCCCCTTCGACCTGGTAAGATGCTGTAGCGGTGGCCCACAGGAAGTCGTCAGGGAACTGGTCGTACAGGACCTGGAACTCGTCTTCCATGTAAACAATGCCAGTAGGCTGGGCAGCATCGCCGCTGGTGGGAGGAGATTCAGGAGTCATAGACTATTGATAAAGGTGAGATTTTGGAGTCATGGAAATATTGATAAAGGTGAGATTTTGGAGATGGAAATATTGATAAAGGTGAGATTTAGGAGATGGAAATATTGATAAAGGTGAGATTTAGGAGATGGAAATATTGATAAAGGTGAGATTTAGGAGATGGAATATTGATAAAAGGGAGATTTTGGAGTCATGGAATTATTGATGGTGGGAAGATTCAACAGTCATGCATATATTGATAGTGGGGAGATTCGGGAGTCGTAATGGACACTTTATATATATAAACACACATAAAGACAGATGTTTCTGTGTGGTCAGTTCTATGCCTGTCCGTCTTCACATAGTCAGACGTGAGTCATCCCAGATGGATGGACTTAGGGGTGTCAAACGGTCTAATGCTTACGATCCCATATATATATATATATATATATATATATATATATATATATATATATATATATATATATATGTATATATATATATATGTATATATATATATATGTATATATATATATATATGTATATATATATGTTAGGGGTTCTTCGAGAGGTGGATATCTTATATCCCACTTCTGACACCAAATGTCAGGGGGGTTTAAACCGAAGAGGTGATCTTATTGACTCATCCGTGCACCTTTGCGTGGTGACAAAGGGGTCTAAGAGACCTGAGCAAAACTAATTACTTTACACCAATACAACATTAATTTTACACTAAAAATAAGACATAGTAAACACACATAATATGCATTTATTTATCTTTGTTTGACGTCACAAGGGCTTATATGTTAAAAGCAAAGACACAATACAAATAAGACCTGGCCAGTCTTTCATATTCAAGAAAACACCACTTGAATTTCTAATACAAGTAAAAAAGACAAAAATAATCAAACTTACATTTCAATGCAGAATTAGTCACCGTGGTAACTGACATTAATTCATAGAAAACACATATATAAGTGTGAATAGCAAATCTACATTTACACAACTCAGAATTCACACTTGTCATATCCTCTAGTCCTAACTTAAATACTTGCACTGCTTATGTAATCTCAGAATCACACCTGTCAAAGTTATTCTTCCTAGTCCTAATTTCACTTGTACTGCTATGTAATCTCAAAATCAAAAACGTAAAAGACATCGTCTCTAGTTCTAACTTTACTACTTGCACTGTTATGTAATCCCAGAATCACACGGGTAAATGTTATCATCACTAATTCTGATTCCACTAATCAAACACGGTTAAAGTTCATCTATGAATACTCATCAGTACTCACAACAATCTAGCTCGACACTCAAGCGGCAGGAAGTTTCCAGCCACTGGAATAACACATTGGGCCACTGGTACAAACATCGGGCCACAAAGATAATGGCCACTGGAACGAAGAACATATCTACACGGCAGGAAGATTTCCAGCCACTAGAATAAAACATCTGGTCACTAGTACAAACATCGGGCCACAAAGATAATGGCCACTGGAACGAAGAACATATCTACACGGCAAACGTTTGGCCACTGGTACAACATTGGCCACATGTATAAACATCAGGTCACACATGTAAATATCTGGAACGAAACACATATGTACAGCAACAAAACATCGGCTGGGCCAATAATCCAGCCTTAGTGGCCAGCCCTCAAGGCTGCCACCATCCGAGGCCTAGACCATGGTGTCTAGCCTATGTGTCTGTCAGAGAAAGAGACCTCAACATAGTCGCCCTTCCTCATATATAGGTTAGTCTCACCCCCCTTATCATCTCCCTAGAGCTATAGAACCCGAGTTGGGCTCCGTCCCATCTCTCGACGTTCGAGATAGCACCGGTCACTATGCACCCATGCGTTGCACACCCGATAACTGACCGCTATAGATCTTCACGTTGTCTCAGGGCTAACGATCGTGTCATACACCGCTCGAGCTAACGCACGACCACGCGGTACTCCCGCCGCGTTTCACACCTGACAACTGACCACAACAGAGATCCTGAGTAATGATTCTACCGGGACGTCCAGCGGCGTGCCCGAACTCAACTTTAGACATAAATCACCGCGGGTGTCTTCCCAGCATTACGTGCCACTCATGCACCTGCATAGAGCTCGCAGCCCTTAATGACCAGAGTGAGCCGATAACCTTTAATTAAATTTTAGATATCCCCGGCCTGCTCATCCCCAATATCTTAGATTAACCCCTTGGGTTTCTGTAACTAGTCCTAGTCACCTTAGCCCCTTTAATAAGCACCCAAGTTACCATTTTACTTAAAAATAAACAATATAGTACAAGCCAACATGCTTACTTAAGAATCAACAATTTGGTACCAGCCAACATATATATATATATATATATATGTATATATATATATATATATGTATATATATATATATGTATATATGTATATATATATATATATGTATATATATATATATATGTATATATATATATATATATATATATATATATATATATATATATATATATATATATATATATATATATGTATATATATATATATATATGTATATATATATATATATATATGTATATATATATATATATATATATATATATATATATATATATATATATACATATATATATATATATACATATATATATGTATATATATATATATATATATTATTACTAATATTAGTTAACAAAAATAACAAGCAGCATTGTTAAGTACGTTTAGGTATAACTCAAGGGAGGCAATCTCAATATTTAATCGAAAAAAAATAGTTTTATATATTGAAATTCAGTACTTATTTCTCTACCTACAAAATACAAAATGGGTTTATTATTAATTGTTACTTTACAAATATATACTAAAAATTAAAAGGCTTTTATTTACTCTTTATACATCTAAGTATTTACGTGTAACATTTGACGAGCAAAAACTAGAGTCTGTTATACATAGTTGTAAAGCTATAGACATCAAATAAAATAATTACATGTCAATCTAACTTCAACATCGAATTATTGAAGGCTATTGTAATCATATGGGCACTGTCCAATTGACCCTCTCTGAAAAAATTCCTTTCCTCTCCCCACCCAGATTTCTGACACTTTCTTTTGACCTCCACCCCTTTTACTGTCATCCTTTGCAATTTTTTTTATAATCAAATACATGACATCATGTAAATATTCATTATGTACATTTGCAAAACCTTTCGTTTTCATTTGGTGTTCAAAATCATGTTAAAAAATTTGATGTTGATGTACTTGTTTTAATTGCAAATAAAAGTTTTAAAAAAAAAAAAAAAAAAATCATTATGGGATTATAATGTACATAATAATGTGTGTATAGCTGATTGAAAAAAAAAATTACATGTATTTAAATTTACTGATGTTGAAATTTAATCCAGTGCTTATTAAAAAGGAATTTTTTTTTTAATGTTTTATTTTCATATACAATTTGTGATATTTTTTTTGTCTGTGTTGAAGCAATATTGTATACAAAAGAATTTTGAATGCTCATCAAATAAATCTGAAGTCTGTAAGTATCGTTGAATGTGTACGTGAGTTTATGATCTCAATGAAAGAATGTGATCTTTGAACCTTGAGGTTTATATCGCATTTATTTTGTCAAATATTTTATAAATTTTTGCTTTATGTGTCAATAAAACTCTTTTTCTTTGAAAAAAAGAAATGGGATTATAATGTGAACTTTTGACTTGGGAGCACAGTATACTAAGCAGTCAAGAGAAATCGAATTTGCACACTTTATTTTAGTCTAGTTTTTATGCCATTTTATGTTCTCCATTTAATTACTGTATATGCAATTGATGTTCTTGTCTTTGATGCTGTGTAAAACCATCAAATAAATTAATATTACTATTTTAAATGTTTAAAACAAATGATTTTTTTTTAATTTTTTTTTTTAATTAAAAAAATATAAAATATAATCACTTCCGCAATCAAACAATGGTACTAGAATGATATTATAGGCTTGACTTACAGTTCATAGTTCTCCAGCCATTATTTAAACGCATCTTGTGGCCCCAATTCAAGGGTGTTTTTATCCAAAAGAGAATGCGAACATGTGATCTCTTCTAGTGTCAAGTTCTTCCATAACTTCCCCACTCCCAACACCTATAACCTCCCCAAACTACTGATCTATAACCTCCCCATGTCCCCCCAACTGACCTATAACCTCCCCATGTCCCCCCAACTGATCTATAACCTCCCCAAACTACTGATCTATAACCTCCCCATGTCCCCCCAACTGACCTATAACCTCCCCATGTCCCCCCAACTGACCTATAACCTCCCCATGTCCCCCCAACTGATCTATAACCTCCCCATGTCCCCCCCAACTGACCTATAACCTCCCCATGTCCCCCCAACTGACCTATAACCTCCCCATGTCCCCCCAACTGACCTATAACCTCCCCATGTCCCCCCAACTGACCTATAACCTCCCCATGTCCCCCCCCAACTGACCTATAACCTCCCCATGTCCCCCCAACTGACCTATAACCTCCCCATGTCCCCCCCCCCAACTGACCTATAACCTCCCCATGTCCCCCCAACTGATCTATAACCTCCCCATGTCCCCCCAACTGATCTATAACCTCCCCATGTCCACCCCCAACACTGACCTATAACCTCCCCCAACACTGACCTCTAACCTCCCCCAACACTGACCTCTAACCTCCCCCAACACTGACCTATAACCTCCCCCAACACTGACCTATAACCTCCCCCAACACTGACCTCTAACCTCCCCCAACAATGACCTATAACCTCCCCCAACACTGACCTCTAACCTCCCACAACTCTGACCTCTAACCTCCCCCAACAATGACCTATAACCTCCCCCAACTCTGACCTCTAACCTCCCCCAACAATGACCTATAACCTCCCCACACCCACACCCCCAACACTGACCTCTAACCTCCCCCAACTCTGACCTCTAACCTCCCCCAACAATGACCTATAACCTCCCCACACCCACACCCCCAACACTGACCTCTAACCTCCCCCAACACTGACCTATAACCTCCCCCCAACACTGACCTATAACCTCTCCAACACTGACCTATAACCTCCCCCAACACTGACCTATAACCTCCCCACACCCACACCCCAAGCTACTGACCTATAACCTCTCCCAACACTGACCTATAACCTCCCCCAACACTGACCTATAACCTCCCCATGTCCACCCCAATAATGACCTATAACCTCCCCCAACACTGACCTATAACCTCCCCCAACACTGACCTATAACCTCCCCCAACACTGACCTATAACCTCCCCCAACACTGACCTATAACCTTTCTTGAAGCCGTTGTCTCTGATGAGGTTAGCGAAGAACTGTGCCGAAGCCTTGGGGGTTCGAGTCCTGTTGGGGTGGTTAAAGTCCACGTGATAGAGGCCGAACTTCTCCGTGTAGCCACTCTGCCACTCGAAGTTGTCCATCAGAGACCAGGCGGTGTAGCCTCGAATGTTGCAGCCGTCTTGGTGCAGCGCTGCAGACGACAGGGAAGCTTATTACAGCTAGACAAACGTGCTATAAATTAAGCTAATAACTGGGATATGTAGGGTATCTTTAGCTTTGGTGTAAGCGGAGAGGGTGAAGTAAAGCCTTGAAATAATGAGCTCACACACCTGTTCCCCAACCCTGTGACCCACACTGCCACCCCCACCCCGTCTCCCCCACCCTCATCCCATTCCCCCCTACACACACACCCTGTCCCCCTTACTACCCTCACCACTACTCCTGGTTGATATGTTGCCTGTAGTACGTAATCCTGTGAGCATCTCTCAGTGTCGAGTTCCTGTCCCCACCCCCCCCCCCCCACCCCCCTGTCCTCACCCTTAAGCATCTGGTTGATATGCTGCCTGTAGTATGTTATCCTGTGAGCATCTCTCAGTGTCGAGTTCCTGTCCCCACCCCACCCAGCTTGTCCCCACCCCACCCCCACCCCACCCCCACCCCCTGTCCTCACCCTTAAGCATCTGGTTGATATGCTGCCTGTAGTACGTTATCCTGTGAGCATCTCTCAGTGTCGAGTTCCTGTCCCCACCCCACCCACCCTGTCCCCCACCCCCACCCCCCACCCCACTCCCCACCCCTGACCTCACCCTTAAGCATCTGGTTGATATGCTGCCTGTAGTACGTTATCCTGTGAGCATCTCTCAGTGTCGAGTTCCTGTCCCCACCCCACCCACCCTGTCCCCACCCCACCCACACTGTCCCCACCCCCCCCCCCCCACCCCCCTGTCCTCACCCTTAAGCATCTGGTTGATATGCTGCCTGTAGTATGTTATCCTGTGAGCATCTCTCAGTGTCGAGTTCCTGTCCCCACCCCACCCAGCTTGTCCCCACCCCACCCCCACCCCACCCCCACCCCCTGTCCTCACCCTTAAGCATCTGGTTGATATGCTGCCTGTAGTACGTTATCCTGTGAGCATCTCTCAGTGTCGAGTTCCTGTTCCCACCCCCCACCCACCCTGTCCCCACCCCCACCCACCCTGTCCCCACCCCACCCACCCTGTCCCCACCCCCCACCCCCTGACCTCACCTTTGAGCATCTGGTTGATATGCTGCCTGTAGTACGTTATCCTGTGAGCATCTCTCAGTGTCGAGTTCCTGTCCCCACCCCCCACCCCCTGACCTCACCTTTGAGCATCTGGTTGATATGCTGCCTGTAGTACGTTATCCTGTGAGCATCTCTCAGTGTCGAGTTCCTGTCCCCACCCCACCCTGTCCTCACCCCCCCCCCCCACCCCACCCCTGACCTCACCCCCCCCCCCCCCCACCTGACCTCACCCTTGAGCATCTGGTTGATATGTTGCCTGTAGTACGTTATCCTGTGAGCATCTCTCAGTGTCGAGTTCCTGTCAGAGATGCCGTTCTCAGTGACGTAGACCGGGATGTTGTTGTACGTTGTTTTGATCCAGTTAAAGATCCCACGGAACCCTAACGGTACGCTGAACAGCCAAAACGACCCTGACCTTGGATAAAACAGAAGATACGGTTTAAACTCTTCATTCTCAAATTTCATTACAGGGGGTCTACGCTCTAAATATACTTATCTTGAATGTAAAAAATAAAGATAAGGTGTTTTAGATCTTAAGATTGGAATCTTTGTGTATCTGTCATTTTAACTACGTCAGGTATTTTTGTTAAGACAGATTTTCTAAAGACATACTTTGAGTTCCTTATGACTGTTAGGATTCCTTGCAATAGCACCATTTCAACCACACCCAGAATAGATTGATTCATCAATATATCAAGATGATGGGTTGATATTGTCAATACAGTAGATCAAAATCATTTACTTTTCTTACTTGGAGTTTGCACACAACACTAGCTCGCAGAAATAGAATGTTATAAAAGAATACAACAAAGTAAAAAGTATCAAATCTTACCCTGGCCATGCCGGGTCCACTTCACGCGAGATGTCCTGGTCGTTTTCAAAAGATGGGGGGTCAAAGGGCAGGTCAGCTGGTGTGGCGTATCGTGACGTGTAGTAGTTCAAGCCAATGAAATCTGACGTGCCTGGTGGGATTTGTGGTGGGAAATGTCGTGGGAAATGTGGTGGCAAATGTGGTGGGGAATGTGGTGGGGAATGTGGCGGGAAATGTGGTGGGGAATGTGGTGGGGAATGTGGTGGGGAATGTGGTGGGGAATGTGGTGGGGAATGTGGTGGGGAATGTGGTGGGGAATGTGGTGGGGAATGTGGTGAGGAATGTGATGAGAATGTTGGAGACTTGGGTGGAGTAAGATGGAGGTTTGCACCCGGTTTTCCTGGTGGGAATTACGGAGGTTGTTGTGGGAAATATATGTGGGAACAGAGTTTCCTTCAGGCATCTCTTTGAGGGTGGGGGCAGCACCTCCCCCCCCCCCCCCAACGAAATGGAAATTAAATAGAAAATATATACTTTTAACAGTGTTCGCCCCCCCCCTAGAAAAAAGTCTAGAAGTAACACTATGTGGGAATATAGGAAACGCTGGTAGGATTGAAGAGATGTTTGCCTAAAGTGACTTAGGAATCAATTTTGTTTGACAGACGTTTAATTATAAATTCAGTGCTGGCCACACGATACCGAGGTCAGCAAACAATTCTTCGATCACGAGGTGAGAAAATGGTGCTTATTATTGCTATTACCTTTGTTGAGACGAATTTCTTCATCCGTGAAAGTTGGAAGTCGAGATGGGTGACCAAGTTTTTGACTTTTTTCTTTGATCTTTGTCTTCATAACCTCGGGGTAATCGCCTGGTGTGACATAAGGATAGTGGAGTTTCAGATAGAGAGAGACTAGGTGATTAGATAACTGTATGGATGATGAATTCATACTGTTGAGTGAGGGAGAAATATATATATATATATATATATATATATATATATATATATATACATATATAGGATTTACAATCATAGTTGACTCACGTAGAACCGATTTTACAGTATAACTGAAGTTATTTTAAACATTGTGGAATATTTAATATTATATTATTGTTGAGCCCACCTGTCAAGAAAATGGGATGAGCGAACCAGCCAAAGTTGAAAAGTCTCCCCCTCTCTGAGGCCTCAATGTCCCCTGGGTCCGTGCTGTTCTTGGGCAGGTAGTTGTCAGTGTTGAGTGTGATGCCGATCTGACCTGGAGAATGTTGTTTGACGTTTAATACTGGTGACTATAAATAGCAGCCTCAGACTTCCATGTTTGCCACCTGACCTTGAACCCTGTGAATCATCTTTGCCACCTTGACCTTCAATCCTGTGACTCACCTTTGCCAACTTGCCATTTGAACCCCGAGACTTACCTTTACCACCCCGACTTTACACTCTTCACTCACATTTGCTAATTTGACAGTGAACCCTGTGACTCACCTTTGACACCTTTGAGCCCTTGACTGACCTTTACCAACTTGCCCTTAAACCCTTGACTCACCTTTGCCACTGAACCTTGAACCCCGTGCCTCACCCTTGCCACCTTGACCTTGAATCCCTTGAATAAATTTTGCCATCTTGACCTTGAACCCCGTGACTCACCTATGTCACCTTGACCTTGAACCTCGTGACTCACCTATGCCGCCTTGACCTTGAACCCCGTGACTCACCTTTACCACCTGGACTTTGAGCCCTATACGTGTCGTTGTACAGCCTGTAGACGGCGACGTGAGCCTTGATCAGGTTGTGTGCGACGAGGTAGACGTTGGTGCCAGGACCCCACCTGCCCGGGGCCTTCTCACCTGTACCGTAGCCGTGATTCGACACGACCCACGGCTCGTTCAGTGTGATCCAGTAATTTACCTGCAAACAGGTACTCCAGATTTGTTTTACTTTTGTTTTGAAACTAAACATTACAAATAGATCACGGTATATGTTTTTGTAATGATATTGTCACTTTAAAACCTGGTCCATCATCAACTTACAATATACGTGTTTTGAATCTAAATAAACGAAGTGCTCATTTACCAAGGGAGCGAACTCTTTGAAAACCAGCTCAGCATAGTCCCTGAAGTAGCCGACAATGTCCTCGTTGAGCCAGCCGCCCTTCTGTTCTAGAGCTTCAGGCAGGTCCCAGTGGTACAGTGTGATCATTGGTTCGATGCCGTTCTGCTTCAGCTCCGTGATAAGCCTGTGATTTTAAAAAAGCATTAATTAGATTATACATTAACTGCTTCGTTTTATAACATCGGATGTGATTTTAAAATTAGGTGCTTTGCATGGTAACTTGACTGTAATTGTCTTACCTGTGTCCTGTTAACTGTACCTGTCTTACCTGTGCCATGTTAACTGTACCTGTCTTACCTGTGCCATGTTAACTGTACCTGTCTTACCTGTGCCATGTTAACTGTGCCTGTCTTACCTGTGCCATGTTAACTAAACCTGTCTTACCTGTGCCCTGTTAACTGTACCTGTCTTACCTGTGTCCTGTTAACTGTACCTGTCTTACCTGTGCCATGTTAACTGTACCTGTCTCACCTGTACCATGTTAACTGTACCTGTCTTACCTGCGATAGTAGTCCAGCCCCGCCCTGTTGATTGTGCGGTTAGTGCCGTCTGGCATGACACGAGACCAGCCAATAGAAAAACGGTAGTGAGTGAACTGTTGGGGGAGTTATAGAAGGACAAATATGATTGGTTGAAAAATTAACAATATACTTCATGTGTTTTAGTACAAACATGAATTATGATGAATGGTCTTCATTGGTGCGGATCTAAAGCTAAAAGATTAACTATATATTGGTAACGCGAAAAGATTACGTCAAATTAGACTGTTCATGGTCAGACCTTTGATCCTTTGTTTACATTAAATTATTGGAATAAAAAAAGTTATGTACTTAAGTTAGTTGACTTTGACCTTTGAACTTTAAAAACACTTTTCTTGTCATTTTCATGTTAGTTTTGTTCAGTTGAAAATCTGGATAGCTGCCTATATTATGACCTACCCCCATCTGTTTGAGCATCTGAACGTCTTCCTTGTACTTGTGGTAGCTGTCACAGGCCACACGTCCTGTCTGTTTGTCCTCTACACGTCCAGGCTCGCTGGTGAACACGTCCCAGATACTCGGACCTTTACCTGGGTTTATCAAAGACGTCAAATTTTATCAAACGTCCCAGATTTGATATTCTATACCAAGCCCCCTGTAACTGGTGCGATATTCTATACTACCAAGCCCCCTACAACTGGTGTGATATTCTATACCAAGCCCCCTATAACTGATGTGATATTCTATACCAAGCCCCCTATAACTGATGTGATATTCTATACCAAGCCCCCTATAACTGATGTGATATTCTATACCAAGCCCCCTATAACTGATGTGATATTCTATACCAAGCCCCACTATAACTGATGTGATATTCTATACCAAGCCCCCTATAACTGATGTGATATTCTATACCAAGCCCCACTATAACTGATGTGATATTCTATACCAAGCCCCCTATAACTGATGTGATATCCTATACAGATAAAGCCTCTCACCATCCACATTCCAAGCCCCCTATAACTGATGTGATATCCTATACCAAGCCCCCCCCCCATAACTGATGTGATATCCTATACCAAGCCCCTACAACTGATGTGATATTCTATACCAAGCCCCCCCCCATAACTAATGTGATATTCTATACCAAGCCCCTATAACTGATGTGATATCCTATACCAAACCCTATAACTGATGTGATATTCTATACCAAACCCCTATAACTGATGTGATATCCTATACAGATAAAGCCTCTCACCATCCACATCCCAAGCCCCCTATAACTGATGCGATATCCTATACCAAGCCCCCTATAACTGATGTGATATTCTATACCAAGCCCCCTATAACTGATCTGATATTCTATACCAAGCCCCTTATAACTGATGTGATATTCTATACAAAGCCCCTATAACTGATGTGATATTCTATACCAAGCCCCTTATAACTGATGTGATATTCTATACCAAGCCCCTTATAACTGATGTGATATTCTATACAAAGCCCCTATAACTGATGCGATATCATATACCAAGCCCCACTATAACTGATGCGATACCGATAAAGCATCTCACTATCCACATACCAAGCCCCCATTAACTGATGTGATATTCTATACCAAGCCCCCTATAACTGATGTGATATTCTATACCAAGCCCCCTATAACTGATGTGATATTCTATACCAAGCCCCCCATAACTGATGTGAAATTCTATACCAAGCCCCGTATAACTGATGTGATATTCTATACAAAGCCCCTACAACTGATGTGATATCCTATACCAAACCCTATAACTGATGTGATATTCTATACCAAGCCCCTACAACTGATGTGATATCCTATACCAAGCCCCCTATAACTGATGTGATATTCTATACAGACAAAGCCTCTCACCATCCACATCCCAAGCCCCCTCCACCTGGTAGGCTGCCGTTGCCGCAGCCCAGACGAAGCCCTCTGGGAAAGTCTCAAACAGGAAGTCCTTGTCGCCGTCCTGGAGGTCTTTGTTCACGTCCAGACCGTTGTAATCGTCTGCCTGTGTCGTTGCCATGACGACTGTGAGTATCGCAAGGACAATGACCTGTATGTTTGACCACCCCATGGCGGTACTGTTTGGTCAAGTCCAGGTAACTCAAGCTTTAAAAATTGAGATAATTTAAATCAATAGGAGAAAACTAAATCTTCAACTGAAAATATGCTACCATCATTAAACTCTATATAAAGAATTCAAAAGCAAAATTATTATTAAAACCTTATTAAAATGTAAATTGATCAAGCACCACAGCAGGATACGTACAGAATTCGTGAAGAAGAATGTCTGACCTCGGTTAACTAACGTGTCATTAGTAAACAAAACAAAACCACAATCACTGACTAGATGGAACCTGTTGTCTACACGACGTTTGTCTATTCGCAGCTGACCAGAACAACAGCTAGAGTGAAGCATCGAGTCATTTAGTGAGAGATAAGGTTAGCTCTTAGATAAGATTAGCTTGTACACAAGGAAGGTGTTCACACAAGCAACACCACCTGGTATAAGAACACCTATCTGTACACACGTTAAAGTTCTTGTCACACTATAAGCCTGTACATTGAAAAAAACTGATCGATTGTTGGATTCAATGAACTGGATGTTACAACATTGCTAATTTTTTTATGATGTAATTACGAAGTTTAATTAGCTTAATCGTTAAAAACAGGCCTAATTTGTTAACTGCCTTATGACCCCACCACTGTTATCCTCTGACTTAACAATTCCTCCCCCCCCCCTCAACTACACACACACTCTGACTGACCGATTTCCATCCCCCTCTGTTATTCTCTGAGTTACCTCCCTGTGTTATTCTCTGAGTTACCTCCCTGTGTTATTCTCTGAGTTACCTTTCCTCTGTTATTCTCTGAGTTACCTCCCTCTGATATTCTATGAGTTACTTCCCTCTTATATTCTCTGAGTTACCTCCCTCTGATATTCTCTGAGCTACCTCCCTCTGTTATTCTCTGAGTTACCTCCCTCTGATATTCTCTGAGCTACCTCCCTCTGTTATTCTCTGAGTTACCTCCCTCTGATATTCTATGAGTTACCTCCCCTAAAGCCACTAGTATCCGTCAAACAAAAGGCCAACAGAAAAAGTTAATCCCGTCTTTTGAATTCCTGTACAGATGAACGTCAGAATGTTGAGGGCTGTAAGCCTTTGGGGTGGGACGTTCTGTCATGGAACGTCAGAATGTTGAGGGCTGTGTGTCTTGTGGGGTGGGACGTTCTGTTGGGTGGGACGTTCTGTGGGGTGGGACGTTCTGTTGGGTGGGACGTTCTGTGGGGTGGGACGTTCTGTGGGGTGGGACGTTCTGTTGGGTGGGACGTTCTGTGGGGTGGGACGTTCTGTGGGGTGGGACGTTCTGTTGGGTGGGACGTTCTGTGGGGTGGGACGTTCTGTTGGGTGGGACGTTCTGTGGGGTGGGACGTTCTGTTGGGTGGGACGTTCTGTGGGTTGGGACGTTCTGTGGGGTGGGACGTTCTGTTGGGTGGGACGTTCTGTGGGGTGGGACGTTCTGTGGGGTGGGACGTTCTGTTGGGTGGGACGTTCTGTGGGGTGGGACGTTCTGTTGGGTGGGACGTTCTGTGGGGTGGGACGTTCTGTTGGGTGGGACGTTCTGTGGGTTGGGACGTTCTGTGGGGTGGGACGTTCTGTTGGGTGGGACGTTCTGTTGGGTGGGACGTTCTGTGGGGTGGGACGTTCTGTTGGGTGGGACGTTCTGTGGGGTGGGACGTTCTGTTGGGTGGGACGTTCTGTGGGGTGGGGTGGGAGGTTCTGTGGGGTGGGACGTTATGTGGGGTGGGACGTTCTGTGGGGTGGGACGTTCTGTGGGGTGGGACGTTCTGTCATGGAACGTGAGAATGTTGAGGGCTGTGTCTTGTGGGTGGGACGTTCGTTCTGTCATTGTTAGTGAGACGATTTGTTAAGTCAACTAGGGGAGACAAGTGGTCTGGTGAATTAGAAGAGACAAGTGGTCTGGTGAATTAGGGGAGACAAGTGGTCTGGTGAATAAGTGAGACAACGAATATCTTTAGGTAAACCTGTATCGAATGCCAAAGCATTCTTGTTTTAAATATTCAAGAGTTTCTCATTTTACCAGTTTTGTTATGAATACACATAGCCCGGTTTACTTCTTTATCATACAAAGAATAAAAACTGTATTTTAGGTACACACATCGAAATAAAGTGCACGGAACATCTGCAAACCAGCGGTTCCCAAATCTTTAAGGAGGGGCGACAATTAAATCAAGTGTACAGGAAAATATTATACAGGTCCAATTAAATCGTAATATCATTGTAGTTACGTTTTAATTAAGCACACTCAATTTAAAAGCTCTGATACATTTTTAGTAGCTCTTTTTTAAATTGGTTGACGATCGAATCGATTTCTAGATCCTTGTTTTGACAAAACATCAGTTAAAATCGTCCTTGGTCAAAACAAACTACAACAATACACAAACATTTTTAAAATAAAAAATAAAAACTAGTGTAAACGAAATGTTCTATTTATAGGACGTCCAGTAGCGTACGCAGGGGGGGAGCAGGGGGAGCGGCCGCTCCCCCTCTGGCCATTTTCAGCAAAGTGGCGCCTTTTTGGAAACTTTTTAAACTCAAAGTTTTAAACAATGATATTTGTTAACACATTTTTGGTCGGCACATCTATGTAAATCACAAGATTTCTTTTCATGCAACAATTAAGCATTATTGTACTAGTTTAGTAGTGTCTACGTTTACAACACGTATTAACAGCTGCATCAGTTTGCCATTCTAAAAATAACCATTACGATGCATTGCAATGTTTAAAAAACCTCTACGGTAGTACCACTTGGCAAGAGGGGTGTTAAGTTTAAGGCAACTGTATAATGTATTTGCTTACGAATAATTGAATTAGAAAATGTTATACATAAAACTTCACACACAATTACTTTATATATACAGTTTGAATCGTGTGATTAATTTTTTTTAAAATTACAATACAGGAACAAATACAACTGATGTGGCACCTCTATTTAAATTTACTTATGAGCAAACTGCGTAGTGGTGGGGAAATTTTGACGTCATCACGATGAAGTAGTGGTATTCTTACAGTGTGGGCGATAGTGATTACGATTACAAATTATATGAAACAGTTACAACCCCCTCCCCCATGGACCCCTCTGTAAAAAAATATTGTCATAATACCACTGCTACTTATTTAAATCTATTTCTGTAATATATATTTGTGTAATATATATTTGTGTAATATATATGTATGTTTAGAACAGTCATCTAAAAACTGACGCTATGTTCACTCTGAGTTGGTTATCTCCCCCCCCCCCTTCACCACCACAATTGTGTAGAGCGACATTAATGTCACACCTAGGTATACACCGGGTTGGATAATTGACCAAAAGTGAACGGACAGTGGTGAATGAAGTTGAACCCACCCCCCCCCCCCCTCCCCCAACCCAACCCGAACTGATCTGTTAAGTATATGTAGAAAAACGGGTAATGATGTACCAAAGTACCATGCCGCCAGAAAATTAGCTTTTTAAACGTAAAACTCTGTGAATATTGTTTTTGCAATTACCAGTAAAAAGTTGTGTGATCAATACAGTGATCGTACCCATACCTATCACTATGTTAAAAAATTATTTTTACAAGAACACAAAGAAGAAGTAGTTAACTAAAATATATGATCTGAACTAAAAGACCGATGTTTAGTTAAAAGTAGGCTGTTATTCCTTATGTTTTACTAATATTTCGAAAAGCGTGGTTTTATACCAACTCTGATTTTAAAAACTTTCATTATGCTGTAATACTTTAGCATTTATGATGACGATATATTAAATTCTGATTATAGACAAAAAAAATTTGTAAACACGAATAGTGTGAAACAATTTCATTATAATCTAAAGTAATTATTGATTTGTTTTGACATTTATAATTAAATGTGTAGATATATACATATTTATATTAAGAGAGTGATTATTTCCCCTTTTTCACTTGTCTTAAATAATTTCCCAGGAATTATTATGTAAGAAATTTTTTTACAAGAATTACAAAACAGATTGTGTTACGTTCATTGTTTTTGGTTGTAGTGTGTGTACATATATTTTTTTTTTTGTTTAGATTGATACAATTTTTGTTTTGTCGGCCTACATTGTGTGTTTTTTCTTATTTCTCCAGAGGGCTACTTTCAATTTATTTTACATCATAGCGAAGTAACGACATACAGCTTAATTATATATATATATATATATATATATATATATATATATATATATATATATATATATATATATATATATATATAATACACGTATATAGAACGTGTTAAATATTTGGCGCCTTTTTTGCTCTTTTCGCTCCCCCTACAACGAAAACCTGGATACGCCTCTGAGGACGTCTCCCTCACCACTACATTTTTTTCCCTTCAAGAAACAGCAATGTATTTCTAAAACATAAACTAATTTTGGTCAAGATTGGATATTTTGATCATTTGTGTTACTTTTACCAAAAAAGTGTCTTGAAAATTCCAATTAACTACTAATATTCAGTATAAAAAATTACCCCCCCCCCCCCATCCCCCACCTTGTATTAAAAGTCTGATCCTTTCCCAGCCACCTTTTTCAATAAGTATGACGTCATTTATGAGCAGCCCGTATTATTCTAAGGTCTATTTTTAATTAACAAATGAGGGCCTTTTTATGCATCTCTGACATAATTTCATTTACAAAACAAGAGTAATTTGTTATTCAGTAAAAGTATGTCCTAAAATGAAAAACAAGAATTTTATAGTAAAAGTAAATGAAATGTTATTGTTTGAATTTTACAGTAGCAAAAATTGATGCGGGGTAGTTCATTTCTTAAAACAATAACCATGCGCCCTATCTAGTGCCAAAAATATTTCCGCCTCGAAAATCGCGTCATTAGTAAATCCTCTTATGGTCTTTGTGACGTCACACGCCACCTTAGGAATGCGACATTCCACGAAGGAAGCGCCATGGAACAGTATGTGATGATGCGATGTCTGCTGTACTTCTGCTATGCTTGTCTATTCTGTGAGTTCTAGTTCCATTTTTTAAATTGCTTTAGTTAATCAGTGTCATTGTTTAGTAGAATTCATTGAATTCCATACGTCATGTTTTTTATTTTATTTTTTATTTTACATTTTCATTGTCTGGTGTAGCAGCTTTGACCGGTAACGATAATTTTGGAATATTGAACAGACTTCAGGATAGGTTCATAAATATGTTCTCTAATGTTATCTCTCCCTGCTAGAAAGTACACATTTCATTATACAGGGTTGCCGCCCCTCTATTAGACTAATTTCTCAGAGCGAGTGGATTATGTCCCCTTGATTATTTTGAGTTAATTTATCGCTAAAAAAACGTGAACAGTCCAAGCGTAAATATTGACAGGGGTAGTACTTTAGCGCGTGGTTTAAAAGTACATGATAACGTCAGATGTGACACAGGTGGTTGGGACCATTGGTGGGTGTGTGGGTGTGTGGGTGTCCGCGTATTGCGGTTAATGGCCGTCTGTTAGATGTGTTCACAGGGACCATTGGTGGAGGGTGTGTGGGTGTCGATATGATGCGGCCGTCTGTTAGATATGTTCACAGGGACCATTGGTGGAGGGTGTCAGGGTGTGTGGGTGTCCATATGATGCGGCCGTCTGTTAGATGTGTTCACAGGGACCATTGGTGGAGGGTGTCAGGGTGTGTGGGTGTCCATATGATGCGGCCGTCTGTTAGATGTGTTCACAGGGACCATTGGTGGAGGGTGTCAGGGTGTGTGGGTGTCCATATGATGCGGCCGTCTGTTAGATGTGTTCACAGGGACCATTGGTGGAGGGTGTCAGGGTGTGTGGGTGTCCATATGATGCGGCCGTCTGTTAGATGTGTTCACAGGGACCATTGGTGGAGGGTGTCAGGGTGTGTGGGTGTCCATATGATGCGGCCGTCTGTTAGATATGTTCACTTGACATGTGATCTAGTGTGGACATGTAGGGCAGTCATGTCATGGCGACTAGAATCGACTGAGCCAGACTGGGGACAGCCAGGCTTTGGACGGCCAGAAAATGGACGGTCAGACTGTGGACGGCCAGAAAATGGACGGTCAGTTTCTGGACGGCCAGAAACTGGACGGTTGGACCGTGGACGGCCAGAAAATGGACGGTTAGACCGTGGACGGCCAGAAAATGGACGATCAGACTGTGGACGGCCGGGTTGTGGGCGTTCATATGGTGGAATGGCAAATTTTGAACGGTCAGATTGTGGATGATTAACTAAAGATCCGCTATAAAGGGTTACCACGTGATTCGACAATGATCAGTTGATCAACTGTACAGTCAGACAACAAGAAACTCAACAAACATGTTTAGTGTTCAGTTAACACACAGGGTGTGGGGGGGGGGGGGGGGGGGGGGCGAATGAATTCTGCCCCGTGGTAAAGTGGTTCAAGACTTGAAGTAAAGTTTTATGTATTTAAAAAAACGTAACTATTAAAATTTGTATTTAATTAAATGGGCTACAACAAAATTTACAAAATCTGACAGTGCGTGTATTTTTAAGTGTTAGATATAAATACAAATATGTCATTAGATGTCACTTTTTATACATCTGTCATTGCTGACACACATACATCTGTCATTGCTGACACTCACAATTGAGAGTTGTCACAACTGTCAAGATGCCACTACTTTCTGCATACATGCCTTATCTGACATGACACTTGTTAAATCTAGTATGTATGTCACTGTTGACATCTGACATGACACTTATAAAATATGGCATGTATGTCACTATTGTCACATCTGACATGACACTAGCACATGTAAAACCTGATGCTGCCCTAAATAGCAGGTAAATTATAACTATAGTTCCTACCTTGTGGAAACACCACGCCGAAAGTTCGTTACACCAAAACTTTAAAGCCAGAATCTGATCAGTTTTGATACGATCGTAAACAAAAAACTCCAAGCAAGAGGGTGAACTCTGTTTTGATCAGTTCGTTATTTCACTGCCAAAATGTCTACGTTGATTTGATTAGTTTGTTGTAATGAAAAGTCCACGCCAAAACAAAATCTGTGTTTTGATCTGTTCGTTAAAAAAATCTCCAGAGCAGAATATCAGAATAGGAACTCAGTTTTGATACCTTCGTCAAAAAAAAAACCCTCCAAAATACAAACTCTATTTTGATACCTTCGTTAAAAAACCCCTCCAAAATACAAACTCTATTTTGATACCTTCGTCAAAAAAAAACGCAGAATACGAACTCTATTTTGATCAGTTCAGTTATCAATAACAGGGTTTAATTACAAAAGAATTTCAGATCCGGTTAATGGCTTTTAAAGGTAAACAATATGTATTTAAATAAGTCAGGGATCGACATGACCTCTCCCTTATCTACTGTCTACTTAACTGCCCCCACCCCTTCTCTCCTCACACAAACATTGGTGCTGTCTACGGGTTACTGAACTCCCTCCTCCCCTCCCCACACACATTGATGCTTTCTATGGATTACTGAGCTGCCCCCTTTTCCCCACCCCACTACACAAACACACACTTTGATGTCTACGGGTTACTGAACTGCCCCAACCCCAACCCCACACACATTGAAGCTGTCTTCCTCACCCCCCCCCCCACACACACACACAACCACACGCCTTGAAGCTGAATACGGGTTACTGAACTGCCCCCTCCTCCCCCCCCCCCCCCCCCCCCCACACACCTTGATGCAGTCTACGGGTCACTGAACTGATCACCATAACCCAAATGTGTTGCTAGGTAAACAATAACAAATGAGTCACGTGATGTGAGATTGAGACTTCCCCTACAGAACACTCCACCTGTTGGTGAGATTAGGGTCAAGCGCGAAACGATCAGATTAAAAAATGTTTGAAACTCAGGGCTGAGGCACGGCTGGGCGATGTTGGAGTTGTTTCCACCCCTCGGAGAATTTTGTTTTAGAAATTTTATTCAAAACTAAATTCTAAACTAGATCAAGTTATCCGTTTTATTCTCATTTTAAAAAATCACACTCAGGGGAGGAAATGTGGTTGGAACTTTTGTGCCAATGTGTGATGCGGGGGACGGGTTATCTTTCAACTGAATAGTATATTTTATGTTATAGACACGTGTAAACTATAACAAAAGTGTATCTTTACCCCCAGTTGTGACCCAACTATGTCAACAATAAAATTATTGAGAAAAATAATCCTGTGGGGGGAGGGGTCGTCATTGGGGTCTGACTTTTTGTGAAGATGTTTGACGAATGAGTAGACGCTTGTAAAAAGACGTTACTAAATTTTAATTGTTAGGGTTCAATCAGAAGTGGCTCAGAGACGATGTTGTATTTATGAAGGTTGAGAGATTTGACGTAGCAAATATTGTGTTCCTGTGGATTGGAGTAAAATGCCTGAACTCATCTATAAATGACACATGTGTTTTCTTTAAAAAAATGTAGGGTCCTATAGGATAGCGACCAGATTTACTAATAAACAAATAGGACACGGTAGAGAAAAGTGTGTGTGTGTGTATGTGTACCAAATGCAGATGTTTGCCATGTTTTCCTACAGCCCAGCAGACTGCCTCGAGTCGGGCGCCATCTTACGTCTGGCCACTGGGCAACACCACGGTCCACAGGGAGGTCATGGTTGGCAGGGACGCGCATCTTCCCGCCAACAACCAGTGTTTCCTGTTCTCTCAAGGTTACCGGGGGCTGCCCTACAGGTGAGGTCAAGGTTACAGGAGGCTGCCCTATAGGTGAGGTCAAGGCTACCGGGGGCTGCCATACAGGTAAGGCCAAGGTTACAGAAGACTGCCCTACAGGTGAGGTCAAGGTTACTGGGGGGCTGCCCTACAGGTGAGGTCAAGGTTACAGAAGACTGCCCTACAGGTGAGGTCAAGGTTACTGGGGGCTGCCCTACAGGTGAGGTCAAGGTTACCGGGGGCTGCCCTACAGGTGAGGTCAAGGTTACCGGGGGATGCACTACAGGTGAGGTCAAGGCTACCAAGAGCTGTCGTACAGGTGAGGTCAAAATTACCAGGGCTGCACTACAGGTGAGGTTAGGGCTACGGGTAAGGGCAATGCTACCCGGGACAGGTCAGGTAGGGACTGGCCTGCAGGTAAGAAAATGGCTACCGGCGATTACCCTACAGATGAGGTTAGAGCTACCGAGAATTGCCTAAAAGGTGAGTAAAACACTACCTTCGCCTTATTTACAGATGAGGTTATGGCTAATACATCTATCTTTAGCGGCTGGTGCTGTTTTTATCCACAGATCTCTAACCCTGGATGGTGAGGATGGAGATTTTGTGGATTTTTACCTGGATGGGAAGCTGGATTTCACCGACTTCGCTCTTTCACTTTTTGTTTATCCTCTGGGGGAGCCGAAAGGAACGTTGCTGAATTATTTGTGTCACACAGGTGAGTGATGGGATGCTGAATTATTTGTGTCACACAGGTGAGTGATGGGGTGCTGAATTATGTCACACAGGTGAGTGAATGGGGTGCTGAATTATTTGTGTCACACAGGTGAGTGAACGGTGCTGAATTATTTCTGTCACACAGGTGAGTGATGGGGTGCTATATTATAAGTTTTAAGCTGTTAAGAGAAACTATGCCCGACCAGCTGCTCTGCCATAATAACCATGAAACACTTTTAATGATCCGGCAGTGACTCTAGTCTTTCCGGCCATATGCCAAGAAAAATAGCTTGTACTGACGTCGTTCTTTGATGGTTTATCGAAAAACTTAAACATGCACATCTGTATTTAATAAATGAAATAAGCCCGCAATAATGCGAACTGTATAGGTTATCGTGATTAGCTGGATAAGATAAGGTAAATAGCCATGACGACTGTCGAAGGTCTCTTCTCCCCCCCCCCCCCCCCCCCCAGGTAACGTGATCAAGCTGGCTGTGCTGGAGGGTCTGCTCTTTGTTTCCTTCTGGGACGAGTACGGGGTTTCTGTGGGTGCCACGGCTCTACCGGACCTTCTCACCTCGGAGTCCTGGAGCCACATCCTCGTGTCCAGGCACTACGACACTGGCAGGGTCAAGGTCAGTCAACCAATCTTAAGTTGTTGTTTTTTTATCTTAAAATGTAAAAAAAGTTCATTTATCTTTCTGGATTTGACGGTCAATATGGCAGGTGAAGTAGAGTTCACCAGTTTATGTAACCACGGGACAATAATATTCTGAACTGCCGTTACTGTCACATTGCCAGGTATCTGTCAGGCTCATGGACATCCTACCGGCTCGAGTAGGAGATCCGATCTCAAGACTTTTGGGCTAGCAGTCTGGCGCTCTACCGCCCTACCGCCCTACCACGTCGACCATAAACGGACACAAATAACTTGCTCTGGGTGAATCTGGTACATGAAGTTTTTTGTCCTTTCAGGTTTATCACAACGGAGCGATGGTTGAGGACATTGATGACGATTTCCCCAACCGGATCCGGCTTCCCACCAGAGGGTCCATCCGGCTGGGCAGTTCCCAGAAGGAGGAAGACGCCAGGTTCAGGGGCCGCTTCGCCTGCTTCCAGTTCTACACCACCAACCCCACGGAGGCTGAGGTCAAGGCCGCTGCAGACTTCTGCTTGCCAGATCGCTGGAAGGTCGTCCCCCAGAGTCAGTGCTACTTCCTGTGTGGGATGATTTGTTTGGAGATTATTGGTCACGTCTGTTCCCTGTATCTGTCAACCAAAATGTGTTACCAAAAACATAAATAAACGGAGTAATGTTATAAAAATAAGATTTTTTTAGTATCGTTTATTTGTTATGTGTTTGTGAAAAACTGAAAGTACTTTTTTCATTTGTTTTAAATTGTGTTAGGACATACTTTTTTCTAACTAATGATCCAAGTGTATTTTTTGTTTACGTCAGTTGCCATGGAAACAAAGCTAGTGAACGGTGTTGAGAAAGAATGTGTACGCAACTATGTTGCACCTTTTGAGGACGACGAGCCAGAACCCAAACCTTGTGACGTCATCAACATGGCGTGCCTTGCATCCGGTAATGTTGGTTGTTTTTTTTTTTTTTAATCCGGTATTTATATACGATCAGATAATTAATTTTTGGGTTCTCCTGTGGATTATCGATCAATAAATTCCTATGATTCGATTATGTTAGCTCTAATTTTTTATTGTCCTCTAAATTGAAATTAAGCCTCGTCTAATGTCCTGATGAATGTCCTACTGACTGTCCTGCTGACTGTCTTACTGACTGTCCTACTGACTGTCCTACTGACTGTCCTACTGACTGTTTTACTGACTGTCCTACTGACTGTCCTGTTGACTGCCCTAATGACTGTCCTACTGACTGTCCTACTGACTATCCTACTGACTGTCCTGTTGACTGTGGTACTGACTATCCTAATTACTGTCTTACTGACTATCCTAATTACTGTCTTACTGACTATCCTAATTACTGTCATACTGACTGTCCTACTGACTGTCCTAATGACTGTCCTACTGACTGTCCTGCCGACTGTCCTGCTGACTGTCCTACTGACTGTCCTACTGACTGTCCTACTGACTGTCCTACTGACTGTCCTACTGACTGTCCTAATGACTGTCCTACTGACTGTTTTACTGACTGTCCTACTGATTGTCCTGATGACTGTCCTACTGACTGTCCTATTGAATGTCCTACAGGTCTGAACTGGAAGTCAGTCCTAAAGAAACACCAGTGGACGCCCAGTGCTAAAGACAGCGCCAACTATCGTCTGGTAGAGAGGGGCGTAGTCCCAGCACCTGCGGATGGCCTTGTGTTGGGGGAGGTGATGACAGTCGATAAAAAGGTCAGAGGTCAGGGTGTGAACGTTAAGTTATAAGCAGATTGTAGTTCTCTCACAATTTTTTTTCAATGACGGATCTGGTCCTGACCCTGGAGGATGCCTAGTCCAGTTCTGCTCAGCACGTAACAAAACTGACCAAATGACGTCACAAAACTGACCACATGACAGTGACCACGGCATACTTGATACGAATATTAGCAACGCAGTATTGACCACACAATATTGGTCACATTGCTTGTTGCAAATTTTCTCCTACCCCCCCCCCCCCAGGAAAAAGTCTGAAAAAAAAACGGTGGGCAGGGGTGTAGCGAGGGGGGGGGGGGGCGGGGGTGCGGACCGCACCGGATGACACCATTTAGAGGGGTGACACCAAGGCAAAAAATAGCAAAATATATAGAGAAAAACTTGAGGGGGTGTGCAAATCGAAAGTTTGAGGGGGGGTGCAAATCGAAAAGTTGAGGGGGGTGTAAATCGAAAGTCTGAGGGGGGGTGCAAATCGAAAATTTGTCGCTACGCCTCTGGGGGGTGACACCATTATGTGCCGCACCGGGTGACACCCGACCTCGCTACGCCACTGACGGTGGGCATGCTTCAGAGGGGCGGGTACCTTGCGGGAAAGAGACTGCAAATGTTCGTGACCTTTAACTTCCTGTCCTTTTCTGTGACAACTAGAATAACCTTTTTAACTCTAAGATTAGAGAGCTCTCCGTCATAAATCGAAACAAGAGTTGACAAAAGAAAAAAGACTTGAAATTAAAGCATCTCCCTGTTTCAGCTGTGTTCCCGCCTGTGTCTTCGTGTCGAGGGATGTAAAGCCTTCTCGTCCGTGCTGCACACGGCCAACACAACACGGTGTGTTCTGTACTCACGAGTCGCCGAGTCCACACGTGCCGAGCCAGGTGCCGTGTACTTTACGCTGGTGTAAACACAGGTGTTGGAGACTGACACTACGATGATACAGTGATAATACTGACACGGATGGCTGTGGTGGATAGGTGTCGTACATATTATAAACATGTTGAGTCCCCTGATAGATGGCAATATTTGAAAGCCTTAGAGTGGTGTTAAAAATATGACAGAGGTCGTCCATTATTGACGTCACGCTTTTGAACTATTTTTACATCCCATAACAAATGAAGACACCCCCCCCCCCCTTTTCCGACTACCCAAACACTAAAATTGTGCAATAACTTAAAATTAAGTTTTAAAACTCTCAAATAGCCACACAAAAGTCCGAACCCTCTTCCACAGAACTGAGACATCATAATGGATGACCCTTAATAAAAACGCCTGGTTTTAATAGAGGACATTCAATCAATTGCCTAAAAGATTATCAACTTTTAAACAATACATTTTTCACAAAAAAAAACAGTTATTGGGGTCATCCATAAATGACGTCACGCTTTTTTTGACGATTTTTACCTCCCCCCCTCCCCTCCGTCACAAGTCGTCACAAAAAGCCAGACCCCCCCCCCCTAAAATGACGTCACACCTCAACCTACAACCCCCCTCAAAATTGCAGTTGAATTTATTAAAAACATCGATATTTTTCCAAAATCTTGTCTAAACTATTACAATTTATTAAAACAGTTATCTAAATCGCGAAATAACGTCTAAAATTCGTTTTCTAACATTGCTTTTTATAATGCAAAAATGTGACGTCGCAACATCTGACCCCCCCCCCCCCCCCCCTTCCCCTTCATCACACATCGTCACAAAATTACGGATCCCCCCTCCCCCTTACGAGTGTGACGTCATTTATGGATGACCCCATTTCTAAATCAAACAATTACTTGTTTTTGTATGATCGTTGCTAACTTATAGATCAACAAATAAAACAAAGAATTTTGAGCGAGAATTTCATGTTTTTTATTTACCCAATACACCATCAGATGACAAAATGAAAAAGAAATCAAATGAACAGTGCCGTAGTCACACTTTACCTCATGAACACAGCAAATCAAAATGCCATGATAATCGTATAACCTCACCATCACTAGATGCATGCAGTTCAATTTGTGCTTTAAATAGAACATCACTTAAGCGAAGAAAAAATTTCTTCAGCTAAACAAGTTGGCACAGAATAAAAATAAAAAATAAAATCGGTTATGTACACATCAACCATGGCAGACAAATAAATCATGGAAAAGTTTGGCAATCAAAGAATGCATGTGGATAACCAGCAAGCTTTTACATTGGCTGAATGTACTGAGAGTATTTGTCTCGTGATTTCTTCAGATTTCCTGCTGGCCAAGATTCAGGTAGGGCAATTTGAAACATTTGGTGCTAATCCTAACAGGCAAGAGGAAATTGTCCACATTTTCTTTAAGCTTGTGGTCACTGCTAATGTGTTTGACATGGACTTATCAAGCTACATAACAATACCAGTACCACACAGTGGTACCACATCAGTCATAAGTCATCACAGCTAGACTGGACTTTCTGGAGAAACTAAAAGCCAATACTAAGTACATTTATCCCTAAACCCTTGCCTTAAACCTAACCCTGGCCTACAGTGAGGTATGGCCAAGCAGGAAATGTGATGAAATCCCAGTGATGAAATCTGTTGTTTGAAACCAAAGATAGGCACATGTTAATTTCAATAGTTCTCATGGTTAAATAGTTCACAGGAAGAAAGCTTGAATAAAACACACAGGGAATCATGCAGTTACAAGCACCAGGCAAATACGAGGAAGTTTTCACCCTAAACCTACCTAAGACACATGATAGACTAAAATATGAACATATAGTTGCCTACCTCAGACATCACAAAACATTAAAATTTGAACATACCTCAACCTTTCTGAGACACATGAACCACAGACAAAAATATGAACAAATGTTCATGTGCCTATCTATAAAATAAAATAATAGATAATAAAAAGCGGCGACAATACATCAGAAAATAAAATATGATCAAGATATTTTTAAGCTTATCTTACATATTGGAAATACTAAACTAATGAATGACTAAAGTAATGTTGGACTAATGACTGACTAAAGTATTGGCTGACTAATGACTGACTAAAGTAATGAATATCAAAACAGATGTAAGCAAATTTGTTCTGCTTGACTGCTGCTTTACGTCTGCAGCAATATGAATGACCTGTTCAAATTAGCATATTTTATGAGAATTAACTGAACACAAACACTAACATTTATCAGCAACATTGACCATAACTGATCTCAACAAAAACAAACAAACTGAAGTATCATAGACGCAGATAACTTAATGATATGTTTTAAATTAAATATTTTAAATAGTTAAATTAATTAAATAGATATGATGAATGTGATATATACAGTTGACACATCTCCTAGTTATTCCTACCTCAACATCAACTTGAAAAAATGTATGCATCTTGTTAGTTTAAGAAATCTTATCACATAAATGTAAATTCATAAAGTTTTGTTAAAGGAACACATTTAAGTAAAATGTAAGGGTAAAATAGCAAAAGATTATGGTTTCAAATATAAACCCTTTAGGGCAAGTTTTAGAATGAACACACAGGGTTTATTATTGACAGTCACTTGGTTAATTTAAATACAGGAACAGAGGCAGTTTTTTTTTTTACAAATATAAGTGTATATATTTAAAAACAATTAACTGGATTTATTTGAATTTAAAAGGTTGGTTTTTTTCGATGATTTAGAGGCTGAATACAAATATTTTTTTTAAAATGTTTGTACAGCTAATATTTTGATTATTTCTTGATTTTTATTAAACTTGAGACAGATTTAATTTGTAAAATTTAAATTTACAAAATCTGTAAAATGTGAGTACTTGACAGCCCTCTGAAGGGCAACACACAGAAGGGCAAATCTGGGGGCAAATAATTCAGAGTAAAAATGTAGACGTTTTTAAAAGAATCAATTACACGCTAGTGTCATTTCAAGAAAAATGTATTGCGTTGTTTGTGGTAAAGGTGTAGACTATCATCAAATAACTTACGAAATAACATGTTATAACTGAATAAAGTTAACAAAAAAGAAAATTTAAAAGCTTAGCCTTGACGCAATCATTGTATATAAACATACTTTTGAGCTAAGTTGTAAATTATTAAAGTGGTTTCAGTACAACGCTAAGTAAACATTTCACACCTTGATAGAAATTATTTTCTAAAATTGTGAAGACTTTCCCTCCATTAAAAACAATCAGTATATTTTACTCAATGATTTTTTCCGTGTCCAGACACATTTGTTCACTTTCTGACCAACTTTAACAGAAGCCAGTTATTTAAACTGGAATATTTGTCTTCTGTATAGTTATATCTATACACATTTCTAAACCTATTACCAGATCAGACATTGTGCATTCAATTTAAAACAAAAGTAAAAATACAAAGTGGATCTCTTGTAAAAATAAATTTCTATGTGGTTGAAAATTTCCAAACCAAATTTAACCTCAAACCAAAAGGGTTGCACCAGCAGTAAAATGTATACAACATTTTGTCCAATACAACAATCAATAATAAGTCAATGTAGAACAAATTAAAACATTTATAAATTTCTTTCATGTTATTCTATCAATACCTTTACAGAATAACCAAATTTAATTCCGGGCAGAAATTTCAGTGTAAAACAACTGATAAAGTAAAAACTTTTAAACAAAATTACAATAATTAAAATAAAACCTGTACTGGATTTTATAAAGTTTTGTTTGTAAATTTGGATATATGAAATGCTGAGATCATCATACACCTTAAACTTTAACTTACAAGTTACTTTTACACAAAAATACATAGATAATGCCTTGTTATAGTGTACCTAGATTCAGTTCAATAATTTACACATCTATAGAACAGTGGTGAAATATATAAGTAGGATGGCAGATATGGAGGTGTAAAACAGAGTTAGTTAAGGGAAATGTTCACTACTTCTTATGGCCACTGGATCAGTTAAACAAACTGTTGTTCCACGGGGATGAGCTCATGAGCTAGTTGGCGCCACACGGAATAATTTTTGAAGCACTCTAGTAACTGAATCTGTGAAAAGAAGAAATTTTATCTTTTGAATTTTATATAATATGAAAAAATAACATTCAAACTAGACTTTATCAATTAAGGTCATAAAAGCTGATGCTTAAGAAAAGGTGAATTAAATTAATTAAATTCATGTATGAACACATTTTTAGACATATTTTAAATTATATAACACACATGGAGACAACTTCAGAATCCAGAATGAAAATACAAATATCAAATGAAAACAACTTACTCATGAATTTAAAGTGAAATCCCATGTAGATAAAAGGCACATATATGACCAGTCCAGCAAGTATGAAGATGACAGCATACAAGAACTGAACTCCTGGATTTTGAATGATGGGGGCGATGACTAGGTAGATGGAGGCAAGGAGGACTATGATAGGTACAGGGAGGGGCACCTGCAAGAGAGGAAAATATGTTGGTAAATAAGTTTTCAAAAAACTTGTGAGAAATTATTATTTAATAACAGTATAGTTATAGTTTAAGTATTTTATGTCAGTATGCATATTAATCAAATTTGCACTTTATTTAATACTGTGAAATATTATATATAGATGACCACAGGTATTGTTCAATGGCGAGTCTCAGTATAATGGACTAAACTCAAGTTAGATAAAAAGTGCTCTAGGAAAATAATCACAAACCAAATAAACCAGATTATAGTATGCATGGCAATGCTAATTGTAACTGTCTTGACATGTTTAACCAACAAAATAATGTTGGTATAATTTTTACCTTGTACGGTCGCTTTGTGTCGGGTTCAATGACACGAAGTATCAGCAAAGAGCCAGTGGTGATGCCATAGAACAGCCAGGAAGCAAAGCTGAAGAAGTCAATCAGAGAACTCAGGTCTCCAGGAATGATCAAAAACAGGGAAATTGTCAACTGAAAGAAATGAAACAAAATTTTTTATTTAAGATGGAAATAGTCAACTGAAAGAAATGAAACAATATTTTTATTAAACATGGAAATTGTCAACTGAAAGAAGTGAAACAATATTTTTATTAAACATGGAAATTGTCAACTGAAAGAAATGAAACAATATTTTTATTAAAAATCAAAATTGTCAACTGAAAGAAATGAAACAATATTTTTATTAAACATGGAAATTGTCAACTGAAAGAAATGAAACAATATTTTATTAGACATGGAAATTGTCAACTGAGAGTAAAGACGTAATTTATTATGTCAAAAAAATGGTATAAACAACCGAAGAAAAAGAACAATCCTTACCGTAAACAAAACTGCAGGCATTGGTGTATTTCTGTCAATTTGTAAAAAGGATAAAACTCTAGGGAAGTGTCCATCTCTGCCAGCTGAATAACTCAGTCTGAAGTTACAAGAAAATTAGAACACCTCAAGTAAATTATTAAAAAGTTGCAAAGTTGTAGGTCTTAAACAATATTATTATTAATAAAAAGGTACCCAAATTAGAAATGTGGATATTAAAAAAAAAGGTTAAAAAGCTGATAAGACGGGGTCCAAACTTACCTTCCAGATGAAAACAAGCAGCCATTGGCTGAACCAAATGTTGAGGCTACTACAAAAATAGGAATTAAAAAGGCCATGACACCCAGCATCCGTTCACCCCAAGTCTGTTGAAGTAAATAGAAATAATTGAAGCAGATGTCTAAAACTGTTTTCAGTTACCACCAGGTATATGATGGTATGAGATAAATATTAACTGCCAACAAGTAACTCAGCTAATGCTTTAATTAACAAATCTAATTAACTTTAATTTATAAATCTACATTTTCTGAGTCAGTTAATTTAGGCAGCTCACCACAGCAACAGCATGGGAAATCATGATCTCTTCTTTAGACATGACGGCCAAATAGCCAATGTTGGCCATGACATAGCAGACAGTTGTCAGGGGAATGCCAATCATGATGGCACGTGGAAGATTCCTGTCATTCAAAACATATGTTCATATGATTTACATATCACTTCTCTCTCATTACTAAAATCATAACTATTTTCTGCTTTTAAAAGTTTAATTTTTTAAATGAATCTATAGCCTCAAAATATCCTAAAAATGGTTATACAGAATTACATTTTCAAAACAATTTGTAAAAAAATTAAGAATCTTTTGTTTCTGTGAAATTATTTATAATAATTTGAAAGGACGTATTGAAACCAAAAAGTGTACTAGATTTATTAGCTTTCAGTTTTTCGCAAAATATTTCAAGAAACATTTCTTACTTAGTTGGATCTTTTAGCTCTTCAGTTATAAAGTTTAAGCTGTTCCTGAAAATAGATATGAATAACATTTTAATTCAGGTATCATAGGACAATAGTTATAACAGTTAAATTAACTCATGGTGACAAAAATATGTAAAAAACAAACAAACAGGAAACGTTAAATATAACAGCAATAACTTCTGCTACAACAAGTAAGTTATCAAAACAGATTGTACCCGGCACAAATAGGTAAGAAATGTGGATGTTTTAAGAAAATGGAATAGTGCATAGGAGATGACTGAGATGTCAATGTTATCTGTGTATTTCTGGAGACAAACACTAGCATAGTGTCAGTAGAGAAATATAAGAGTGATCAAACCTTTGTGAATCTTCTTTACAGACTTAGCTATGAGAATCACTCACCAGCCATCAAAAGCCCACAGTCCATTGTAAAATGCTATGGCAACTTTCTGTGCATCATTCCTTGTATCTTCAAATCCTTCAGCAAGGTTCTCAGTATTTCCTAATTAATTTTATATAAATAGATAATCAGATATGAGTTAAAACTAAGATATTATACATAATCCCTTTAATAAATAATACAAACAAAACAAATCATAAACCTTTAATCAGTAAACTTTAAAATATTTTGTTTGCGTGGCAGATTGTGTATAAATGAGGTGAGTTATCTACCTTTAAAGATCATGACCAAACCACCAATGCTAATGATAGCAAGAGCAATCAGTTTGGTAAAGGTTGTCACATTCTGGACTAAAGTGGCAGCCTTGACTGAAATACTGTTGATAGCCGCAATTAGACCTAATGAGAGGACAGAAAAAACAGAATGTTGTTCATTTAGCTAATTCTTAATTACTTGGTATGCAACTTGCTGTTTATAAAAATGCAAATAGCTTAATACCTATTAATATAAACACAGTCAATAATAAGTAAATAGAGTTTTTAAATAATTAAACTAGGTACTTTATTATCTTGGCCACTGAAGGTACCAAGAGGCCAGCCAATTGCCTGTATGGATGTCCAAGACCTTTACTGATCTATGCCCAATGTGCAAAAGAATTAGACTGACTGACCTATTACAAATCTGACCCAAATAGCTTTAAACATGTGCAGATTAGTTTTTATACTCACACATAGCCACAGCAGTGACCAGTTTGACAGCCAACACTGGAGGGTCACAGTCAGGATAAAAAGGCTTCACAGCGTACGTCCCCAGCGCCATGGCCATTATAGCAAACATGGTCGGGCGAATGATAAACAGCGCCACCCAGTCATACAGAAACGCAGGCACCCTGGCAAACGAACGTGTGCCGTGAGAGCTGAAGAGCTTGTATTTGGACTTTGTGCCCTTACGGTCTTTGTTGAAGGTGTACATAAGGTAGGCGTGTTCGCCACCTGACTCTGGGATCATTGTGCCAAGCTCAGCGTATGACAGAGCACCTACAAAATAACATATTACCCTGATTAGGTTTTGGCTGAAGCAAATATTTTTATATTATTATGATGGAAGATGCATCTGTGGTAGAACACAAATAAAAGTGTGAAATTTATTTTTTAAGCTACCAGTAAAATATTAGGCTAATAGCTACCAGAAGAAAACATACCCATGGTGGTCAAAAGTCCACAAAGACACCACAAGATCAATGTTAAGCCCACTGAGCCACATCCTTCAATCATGCCTTTTGGACTTATAAAAATACCAGACCCTAGAAATAAAATATAAAAATAAATCCATAAATACAGTATTTTATATGGATGTTTACTGATGAAAGTTTATACTCATCTTTTAAAATTTTAATTTGAAATTGGTTAAAAAAATTTTAACATAAAACTAATATAAAACAGAAGATAGAATTGTTGTAGTGTACCTATCATAGTGCCAATGATGAGGGCTATCCCTGAGATGAGACCCACATCCCTCTTGAGTCCAACAGCAGTTTTGTTGGTGCTGGCCTTTGATACAGTATCATCTGCATTCTCCAACAGCTCTTTTTCTGTGACTGAGCCAGTCCCCTGTTGATACACAATTACACAGTAATAAAGTATAGTCACTTCTATTATCAAGCTAACAAAACTAAATTATAGCCACTTCAATCATAAAGCTAACACAGTAATAAGTGATACCCACTTTAATCATAAAGCTAGCAGTAATAAATGATACCCACTTCAATCATAAAGCTAACAGTAATAAATGATACCCACTTCAATCATAAAGCTAACAGTAATAAATGATACCCACTTCAATCATCAAAGTAATAGTAATAATTTATAACCCATTCAATCATAAAACTAGCAAAGTAATAAATTATAACTACTTGAATCATAAAGCTAGCAGTAATAAACAATAGCAACATAGTCAACCATAGCCAACTCATTCATAAAGATAACATTATGATTTATTGACACCTCAATCATACAAAAAAACATAGTAAAACATTATAACCACTTTGATTATTAAGCACACAGTGTGTAATAAATTATAGCCACTTTAGTCAAAACCTGCATGTATTACTCTACCGAGAACCAAAGATGCTTGCTGATGTAAAAATAAATGCAATAAAACATTGCTTCATTAAATATGGGCATGCATAATCTAGTGGTATCATCCACAATTCGTCACCCTAGATAAACAGGGACCTATATTAACCTATATAAACTGCATCATTTAGAATGTTCTTATTGCCTATGGTGAAGAACTGCAAACCAAGAAGCCTCAGCAGTTTTTTCTATTTATTGCTTTAAAATGTCCCTGAGGTAGATCTACAGAAATTTTTTTTAAATATGATTCTACACTAAAGTAGATATCTATAAATTACATTTTTTTAAAAAAACAATAAAATTAATTTAAAAATAAAACTATAAAATTAAAACAATAACCCCTCTCCAAAATAATGTGTTAAGGGCAAATTTATTTTTCTCTTTTTTTAAACTGTTAAAATTTCAAATTATGTAATAAGCTTTTTTAAATTAAAAAAACAACTAATAACTTCAAGTTTCAAGACTAATGTTACTTTAAGTGGTAGGCTACAGTGCTAACAGTCTAATTTGTTTTTAAAGAACATTTTTAGAGAGGAGTATTGAATAACGATAAGAAAAAGTACTTGACATCATGTGACTATAATGGTTGTTTCTCAGTTTTAACTCTGATGATAGATTAAGTCATTTTCCAAAACTTGTCAAGTGACAAAACTCCATTATCAGGAGAAGCACTTCAAACTAAATTACTATCTAAATTTGCGACATGGGAAATGCATTAAAAAATATTTTATTTCAATCATCATCTTACTTTCTCCTAAATCAAATGATGCGCTTAACAAATCTTTGGTAAAAATCAACAAAACAATTCTTTAAAACAATTTAATAAAAAAGGAACAGGTATACCTGAATTACACAGAGAGTGTAATTAAAATTATAGTAATCAGCTGACCAAATTTACGCTAGTTATAGTATATTAAAAGGAAACAGACATCTCAAGACCATATTTTAAAAATTTTGGAAAACTTCAGTTGTTTTTTTTACATATAGTACTATGGTAAAAGTATAAGTATGATGTCACTATGATGTAAGTATGATGGGTCACCATAACATATGTGATGTGTCACCATGGTATAAATGTGATGTAACCAAACTGCGATGTCACCCTAACATAAGTAAGACATATCACAATCAGGTGTCAGCCAATCAGGCCAAGTAGAATCTATGCTTTGTCACTGTGACTTGTCAATCAGGCCAAGTAGAATCTATGCTTTGTCACTGTGACTAGTGGGTTTACCAGGAAATCTATGAGGCCTCACTAAAGACCAGCGCTAGGTTATCTAAGAGTTGACATCTGAGCAAAGGAAAACAACAATGACGTGGCAAAAATTGAAGTCGTAAACTTTCCCTCCCAAACATTTTAAAGACCATATCTGATAATAAAATGCAAAATCATAACGGTGTGTCTCATAAGAAATCGTAGTCTTCTTCCTGTTAAAGATTAGCAACCATGAGCATACTACACAAAATAAGACTATTTTACTGTTCTACCCTTCCTTTACAGCTTATAATACAACAGAGCATTCCTCTAACATCAAAGTTTACCCCCCTCCCCCATAACAACAGACACAAGGTACAACCCATTCATTGAGTAATACGCATATTTTGGGATTTTTAAAAATAAGTTGTGGAAATCATCTCAATTGTTCCTTATGCAGCAGGTTGTGTTAATTTATTCATTCAATTAAGATAAACAATAGATATTCTGATTGAATAATAGTGAGGAAAAGGAAACAAACAAAGGCAGTGAAATATACCATATGTATATATATATATATATATATATATATATATATATATATATATATATATATATATATATATATATATATATATATATATATATATATATATATATATATACAACACAACTGTCTTACAAGTCAATACGACGGAGAATGACTTAGCAAAAACGCTTGTTTTGATTTTTAATCAAAACGATTTATCTGGCAATGTGCTCTAACTATAAATAGAAAGGTTTAAGACGGCGGAACTCATGCATATCCAAATATTTACACAAGTTGCTGACTTGGTTAAAATAGTTGATTGATAAGACTAGTAACCGTACAAAGTCGGGTCGATTCCTCAATGAAAGCACTAACGGGAGAGGTCGGGTAGAAATTAATGTAGCAGAAAGTTTGACAAGCCCATACACAACTTTACAAAAAAGGTGGCCATAGACTGAAATATCATCTATCTATATTATATACTACTAAAAGTCAAGTTTGTTTACATGTTTGAATATTTATTTGTTTGTTTGCCTGATCGAAAATTGTGATATGTTCGACTCTATCTGGAAAGCTGTAAAATGGTATGCAGGTAGAGAATAATTTTTTAATGCAGACAGACTGTTAATCACACATTTATTTAAAGACGTTAATTAATTTATTGATTTATTCCTACGCAGAATAACCCATTTTTTTTTAAAATGTTTAAACCTTGACTAAACTTTGTGGGAATAGTGACGTCACAGGTTTTTGTTTACTCTTTAGTACAATAAAATGGCGGCGTCTTTTGAAGAAAATTGTGTTCCCATTCAAAAGTTTAACGCGTTCTAAATCTAATTTTCTGTCGGTCATAACTTTAACAATACGTCCGTTTGCTGTATTTATTACGTCCCAACACTTATATCAATTTTCAACTGTCTTTTTCATTTAGTTTTACGATAAATTTCTCTAGATCTAAAGATCAGCTATCGAAGGAAATTTATGAATCTAGCCTAGATCTAGATCTAGCCTAGATGTAGGTCACTAGATTCAATGTAAATTCTACATCTAGAATCTATTTCAGGCCTTAATTATTTTATATAAATCTTTGTTTGGCTTATTTAAGATAAAATTTAATTTGAAAGTTAGTACTACTAGACTTATTTTTAGATCTAGATCTAGAATCTATACGCGTAAATCAAGTTGCATAAGGAGACACATAGTATAGTATAAAAATTCACTTGTGACGTCACGAGTAAATAGCTAAAATGGTAGCGTAGTCAGCTCTCATGCAGGAGGCACGGGTTCTAGACCAATATGTCAATGAAATTTTTTTTTTCAATTTTTTTTTTTTAGATGTGAATGATAACGTTGCCTATCTGAACTTGGCAAGATACAGGGCAGGTGAAGTAGAGTTCATCTGTTTCTTTGTCCTAAGCATATGAAAGGATAGTGTGGTCAGATACATGCTCGGCTGGAATTGTTTTTTAAACGATAAAAACATGTTGTCTGAGACTTGGCAGGACACTGGGCAGGTGAAGTAGAGTTGAGTAGGTCACCTGTGACGTCAGTTTATGAAGGGATAGTCCGAAATCGGTGTTTTCGGTGTTTTTAAAAGATAAAAAACATATATTTGAATGTGGGGTCTGTTTTTTGTGACGATAAGTGACACTGCAGTAGCGTACCGAGGAGGGGGGGGGGGGGGGGGACGGTAGGGGAGGGGAGGCGGGGGGTGGGGAGGGGAGGCGGGGGGTGGGGAGGGGAGGCGGGGGGTGGGGAGGGGAGGCGGGGGGGGGGGAAGGGGGGGGTGGGGAGGTGGAGGGGGGAAGGGGGGGGGGACATATGTTGGGGCGCCAAAATGGTTTGGAAAAATAAATTGATAGGTTGAGGGGGGTTCAAATCGAAAGTTTGAGTGGGGGGGGGGGGTGCACATCAAAAGTTTGAGGGGGGGGGGGGGGGGGGGTTCAAATCGAAAACTTTGTCCCCGGGCGCCGGGAAGGGTCGCTATGCCTCTGAGTGACAGACGTGATGTTTTTTGATGGATGACCCCCGAAACCCACAGTTATCCAACGGATGACGGGTATTCTAGTTTTACTTAAAAGCCTTGCGTGTGTCTTACAAAACGTAGAAAGCTGATTTTTTTTTTACAAGAAATCAACACATTAGTCTTCCCGTCAACGTATTATCAAGCCGTCCATTACCAGGTCATCGTCTGATGTTGAAACAGCCCCAGGCGTCAAATGGCCTGATGGTTAGAAGCTAGTGATCAAACACAAACGTACTGGGACTAATTTAAGGCCAATCAAAGATGCGTACGACCACCGACCGTTAACACTAATAAATGGCCATAAATGTATTTCAGCATCATGCAGATGTTCAATGCGTATGATTACACCATCACGTCACGTGAGCGTGGAATGTGTGCGTCTAATCACTGCTCATGTTCGATACAGGTCGATATTTTAAAGACTACAGCAAGTCCGACCCAGTGGAAAAACTCTTATATTCAAATAATCCCTTGCTATTTGTGATACGTTTAAAAGTTTCTACAAGTTTTCTGTTTATTGGTATACCTATTGTTAACTTCCCTCCCTCGTCCCTATTTGTAGACCATGGTTCATAGATTTATCAAACAGAACATCGCTGGGATCTGGGGGAGGGGGTACGGGGAGGGCCGGGCACTTCAAACTTCCGGGTGAGGTGGACACTGGATAATGTATATATTTTCTATATACATTATTTTTTTTTGTCTGTAGGGGGTGGTCCAGGGAGATGTCTGAAAGCAACACTGGCTGGGATACAGCACATCATGTTTGAAATCATCCCATGTTTACGTTCAGCGGCAAGCAGGCAGCTGCAGCTAATCTGGTTAATGAACTGACCCTGACCGGAAGTGACCTAGATTCATCAAACTATTCCCGTCTCTCAGACGTCAAAGTACGACGCACCCGAGTCATTATCAGGCTAGACCTACATCGGCCTGACCTGACCGTTTCCCGAGGTCACCGGCCCATTTCCTGACACTTAACTACAGCTGATTGTTTTTTTGTTTTTTTACAGCCACGTGGTCAGATAGTGCACAATGTCCAAAAAGTAATCGATTCACATTGACCACGGCAATTTGTTTAGTTGAGAGAAAAAAATGAAATGCAAACGAGGTGATAAGATTTTAAATTGGAGAAGAAAATACATGATGGCAGTGCAAGGGATGGACGACAAAACACATGGCTCAGCGTATTTTTGTGTTGATTGCAAGGATAGAATAGAGAAGGTTAGGTTAGCATGTCGCTGAAAGGAGCTTTGTCCTGGGCTAGTCTCTCATTCCCCTCCCCAAACCCCCAGGTCCGAGTTTTCGGTATTTCTCTGTGTCTGACTTTCTGTGGCAACAAGCAAGTTATTTTTTACGATCCAAGGTTGCTGGCCTTATGTTAAACCCCCAACCTGGAGGTCCAGGGTGCTAGTTTTCGTCTGACCAGCTTGGTTGAACCTACCAGGAGTTTACACTCCCACTGGTATAGCTCTGGAGGTCGTCAGGACACACAAACTGCCAAGCCACGACAAGGCCCTAAAGCCTGATGGCCAGAAGGATAGAGAAACGGCAAACTGTAGGTTGTATGCTTTGAATCGCTCAACTTTGTCATTACACACATTCAACCAACTCTAAACATTAACTGACCATCAACACAAATTCAACCAACTCTAAACATTAACTGACCATCAAGGAAGAATTTTTTATCGAAGGAAGAGTGTGTTAGCTAAGGATTATACGGGGATGGAGATTTTTTTTATCGAAGGTAGTGCAGAGTTTCTTCCAGGCAGCCTCCCCGAAGAAAGTTTACCGCCCCCCCCACCCCCGAACGAAATGGCATTTATATAGCAAACATATACTTTTACAAGTGACCCCCCCCCCCCCCAGGAAAATGTCCGCCCCCCCCCCCTCCAAAAAAATATATGCCCCCTCGGAAAAAAAAGAAAAAAAAGTCTGGAAGAAACACTACTGAGGAAGTGTGTGTTAGCTAAGCATCATACGGGGATGGGCCATTTAATTAATTATTAATGGCCTTAATAATTCATCCCAGAAATGTAAGCTAAGCATGTACTGTACAGAAATGTAAGGACTTATTTTACAGAAATTCAAGCCTGTTTTTAAGCGTATTTTAATACATACAAAATGGAAATCTGTATTTCGCACACAAAAAATAGCATGTATTTCAAAACTTAAACACATGAAACAAAAAACAGGTCGCTAAAGCACAGTCCAAAAAAAAAAATAAGTGAATTTCAATAACGGGTATTTCATAACTACAAGTAGTATAAAGCTGGCGCATTTTTTATTTTCATTTTGAGACCATGATAATTAGAGCTTAATTAATGCGTTCGCCAACATCGCTAAGCTTCACCAGCGTCACGGCAGAAAATCCATAGGCTAGACTGGGAAAGGAGAGGGAACAATACTGGATAACACGGTTCACAACATTGATTGTTTTAAATAATGTAAAACGGCAGTTGTTTATTAAGACACCATGTTCTCTAACCCTAACCCAAAATGCTACTATGATGCAACCACTCCCCGAGAAGTGCTTCCCCCACCCCACCCCGAGATGTCTGAAAGAAGTACCCCCCCCCCCCCAGTAAAGAGATCTAAGGATGCTGGTGACTACCACCCCGTTACGTGGCAAATAGGTGAACCGGCTGCCTAGGTTTAAACACACATTAGGCTTGACTCTAGACGAACTGCAGTCAGCATAACCTAAATCAGCTAGTGTCCCCCAAACGATGATTTAAATCTTAACTTTCACAATATACCAATTCTCTATGTCAGAGGCGTAGCGACCCTTCCCGGCGCCCGGGGACAAACTTTCGATTTGCATCCCCCCCCTCAAGATTTCGATTTGCACCCCCCTCAAGATTTCGATTTGCACCCCCCATCAAGCTTTCAATTTATTTTTCCAACCCATTTTGGCGCCCCCTAAGGTCGGCGCCCGGGGACATATGTTCCCCGCCCCACCCCCTCGCTACGCCTCTGCTCTATGTCGGTACGGCTAACCAACATGTAGGCTACAACACAATGGTGACAGTTAGCATATAATTATAGGCACTAGTATTTCTAGTTGAAGCGGCAGCAGGACAATACCTGTACTAAGCCTATTGTAGCCTATGGCGTGTTTTTGTTTCCAGTTGCTTAGGTTCAAGTTCGGGTCAGGTTTAGCGATAATAATAGATTCTGTAATGTTAAACTTAAGTAGTTTTAAGCGATTGGTGCGCATTTATGCAAGTAATCTTATCTAAATCTAAAGTCTACCGTTTTGATTGTTGCAATAAATTAAAATAGTTTTTCATTGACTTCTTGATTAATGAGACCCAATTACTTAAATATAAAACAGGCCTAATATGAAATTACAATAAATATATAGGGGCCTATGTAACATACGGGGCTCAAAGATTACACATTTTCTTCATTGTTAACTGTAATGTTGGGTGTTTGTTCATTCAAAAACAAACAGGTGTCGGGGCCTCATCTGCCCAGGGGTTCGAACTCGGGACTTTTCGGTATAGCAACCATGAACTTAGCCGGCCGAACTAAGCCGACCCCAAAGATCACTAAAAGTTACTTTGGCCTAGATCTATTTTTTTACCAAGATTAAGATTTAAGAGAGAATGGCGTCCTGTAACATAATAAGTAAACTTTCGGCCTTTAAAAAAAAGAGTAGATATAGACTCTACATGTAATTTAAGGAGCATCGGCATCAAGCCCCCCCCCCCCCCCCCCCCTTTATCGTAGGACGGTCTACAAATTTAAATGCCGATTTCGGAACTGTTGCATCAGCACAGACTAATCGATCAACTTCCGTGTAAATACAATACATCACACGTGCGAGTCAGCGTTATCGAGGGCAACAATAACATACGTTGTCAGATTATAGCTGAGTTACAATAGTTTGTAAAGTCTGTGTTTAAATCTGAGCAGCTATGAGGGTGGGGAAGGTTAAAACATGCAAGATTTATAAACTGTAACCATCCGTCAAAGTCCGTTCTAAAACAACCATGCTCTGTTGTGTGTTACTGTGTAACAGTCAGTCTGTTCAAAACATTACTCATGTACCCGTCCCATACTCATGTAGAGAGGGCCTTTATTTATGTTAATTTAAATGTGCTAGTTCAATAATAAAAGAAAATGACTTACTTTATTATCCTCCGCGGTTCTGGACATGACGAAGTAGATCCAGAATCTAGATCAAAACAACCCAACGCTTAAACACAGATCTAGGTCGCCGATAAAATATGGCGACTTCTCAATGAAGTTCAAGCTACACACTAAATTAGCGTAGCAGTCAATGTTCAGCGTCGAAACAAAATATTGTTATTTTTAAAAAATAGAATCTATATGATCAGACATTTATGTTAATCGATAAGTTGTTTTTCACACAGTTCATATCCGATGCCGAAAAAAACGAGGTCTACACCGTCTTCTACACCGCATATGTTTTGTTTCGCTAAACTTTATCGGGTCCGAGAGTTAGCGAGTGAAATAAATCCAACAAACAAATAAAGTTAATATCCACAATGTAGACACCTACGAACAGAACCACGTGTATGAGACTCAATTAGTATAAATGAGAAAAAACAATCCGACTACAAATCGTACTTGACCCCGAATTTCATTGTTATCGTTTGCCAGTTTAAAAATAACTACAGCACAACTTGCAGCGAACACCGCCAAAAAAGCGAGCTTGGCGGGGAAACGGATTTTATGTCCCTTTCTTCCAGTGCGGTTTCAAAATGATAATAATATTTAATTGGCCCAATCTTTTAATTACTTCAATTATAATATAATTATATTTACAGTAGGCCTAATTATAAGATGATAGGTTCGAGCTTTACGTAAAAGAGGTTTTGTGGGTTTATTATTAAGGGGTTGTCCGAAAACTACGACGTCGCACTCGTTGAATTTTGGTTGTGACGGGGAGGGGAGGGGATAAAAACGTGTGACGCAGCATTTTAAAAAATATTTCTAAATGTTAAGGTTTGTTACAATTATGATTATCTCGAGGGAGGGGTCGTAAAATTGTGGAGTCATTTTTGTTTTAGGGATTTTTGTGACAACAGGGGATGGGGGGGGGGGGGGGGGGGGGGGAATCTATAAAACGACCTGTAAATTAATTAAAGCGT